AACAGAAAAAGACATTCTCGTCAGATATAGTAATCGTACTAAAGGATGTAGAATTATATCCCGCAGACAAACAACGTTATCATGAAAAGAAGCCAAATATTGAATGGCAACTGATAGGAAGCAAAACCTCGTCAGTTAAGTGATCAAACTAAGGAATTATTACAGTCTTTTCTTCTATGGGCAAGGCAGCAAAAGCAAATCAGACTCTTATACTTTTATTCGTAAAATTTTACACTTTATAGTAAAACTGCTTGCAGCACAAAATCTACATCAATTCTGAAATGCGCGAACCTCGTGACGAGAAGAGAAAAAAAGGAGAGAATTAAATAACTTTCGTTTGTAAAATTTAAACATCAATACCCCATTCGCCCTCTCTAGAAGAAGATTTTTGAAAAAGAATTCCTCAAACACACTTTATGAGAAGCATCAAAACCCTAAATTCATTTTTCTAGTGCCCACCAGCGGCCGAGCGGTAAAGACGCTGAACACTGCTAGTTCGGTCCGAGGTTCGAATCCCGCGAACGGGCTTGCTGCATGGCGTTTTCGTGGTTTTCTCCATGTGTAAAGTAGACACGAACCAGTTTCCCTTAGAAAGTCCTCCACGAAGGCATCCATCCCTTTAGGCAGATAGCCCTCGTGTGCTTTGCCATAATTAAGTAATTCAATCTATTTTCTAGTAGTCTCTTTCCATTAATTTTCTCCTAAGAAATTTGTTTTTATTTTACTTAATTAAAAATATTGCATAATCCCCCCTTCCAGTTGAACATGGAAGAAAAAAGATATAGTACACACATACACATTTCATTCCACAAATTACAATTATTTTGATGCAAGACATTAATTTTACTACAACCGTTATATTTTTATCCACATTACTTACTAAAATCCTTCTTAATCTTTAATTACGACATTTGTGTTCTTTCTGAAAACGGAATAGTGTATCCGTCGTCTTTTCCGCGTGCTGCTAGATCTAGTTAGTCTCGCATAACATGTACTATGTTTCTGACAACACCTTAGCACTACAAAATGTACCCCAATGTCTATATTTTTTCTTTTGTTAAGTATGTTGGTAAGTAGATTTAGTTTATTTCGCTCATTACTTATTCACTTCGGTCTTCACCGAAATTCGCAATACGACCACTGCCTTCATCTTTATGCATACTGTACACTTTCAAACAATTAACTTGCAATCGTACTAAACTTAGCATTTGATCATACGTCACCAAACAGAAGCTCTTAAACTTAAGGTATCCGACCACGTTCGGAGCACTTTTTTCAAAAAAGCAGTGTAGGTATACTCTAAACATATTTTCTCATTTATTATCTACAGATATTAATTTTGGAATATCAAAATTTAATAGATAGTATTATTATCCTGCAAAAAATATTACATTTACGTGAAAATTTAAGCAAATTTTAAAACAATTTGAAACATTCTATATGAAAAAATATTAAAGTTATATTAAAACGGTTATAGAATAATAAATTACATGCTTTTGTCTAGGGAATGACGTAGGATTTTAAAGATATCTTAAATAATAAAAAAATTTTAGAATTTAGAATTTTTTTATGATATTTTTATAAATTGATAAATTTTTTTTTAATTTCGTTACTAAACAATTTTGACACTTGCTCCCTAAATTTCTTCTGTTATAAAGTTTTGTATGCTTGGCTATCATAAACTGAGCTCGACGTTAGAAAACTGTTTAGTGAATAATCACTAACTCTTTAAAGTACTACAAAGTCAGAAGAAGTGTGTAAAATGTAAAGAACCCTTGTTAGTTCAAATAAAGTTCACAGACGGCACCAACTTGTGCGTACAAAAGCCAGCCCTTTTGTCTTGACTCAAAAATTAATGAATAACTTAAAAGTAATGAAATTAAATATAGCCTAATGGCTTCACAGGTTTATTATCGTATCGCGCAAACTGGTTCTGACTCGAAACGTCGGAGTGAACAAGCCTAATATGTCATGAGTAGCTCAACGCCACAGAAATATAATCGCTAGATAATCTAAGTTAGCAAAGGGGTCTTTAGGCAGGCAGAACATGCTTTGATTTCACCTTTCAAAACCTTTCATTAAATACTAACTTCACTCTACTTCAGTTGAATACACGAGAACTAGTCAATTTTCATTCTAGCAAGAAAGTGGGTGTTGAAAGCGAGAGGGATAGGAAACCTACTTCATAAAATAACTGTTAAGTAAATTAGATAAATCCCCACACTGTGTACTACGTTCCTTCAGTTACAAGATAAAAGTCTTTAATATGATTTACTTTAATTGTTTTAATATTTTTCCATAGAACTATAAATGAGTATTTACACTATTTGTAACCAAAAGTGGAATCTTAGAAAGCTATTCATATTGAACTATAAACTGATGTACTAGAAGTAAAATATCGAGGAAAATCGATAAGAATTTCTTCTTAGCTAACTGTCGTTATTTGTAATGTCTTACATGTTTAAAATTCAAATACAATGAGCGACAGAAAATTTGGAATCAAATATACGAAATCGGTTGGAATGTGTTATAAAGATCAGCTTTTTAAGTGTGTGTATTAAAATTTATGGCATTATTTCAAGAAGTGTGAGGACAAACTATCTCTTATAACACACGAATTCTGCTGCGAGAAGGCTCTAGAATAGAAGAAGACTCGTGAAACCGTAATACACAAAAAGCGTATTTTGTGATTTAACAGAAGTAGGTTTAAATTATATTTCGATCATGCGATAAGATTCTGAATTCCGAAATCTTAGGCTAAGATCTCATTGTCCGTTTTGATCAAGATAATTCTAAGGATCAATGTTTTTAAGGAATTCAGACTATCAAAAGCAATGCAAAACAAGTTTATGATATATATCTTCTTCTTCAGTTGCTCTATAGCCTATCAAAGGCCAAGGCCGTCTCAACAAGCTTCCTACAACGGATCCGATTAGTTGCTATTATAACTAATCTAGCGATTATATTTCCGCCAACGATTCATTTTTAGAGTTCTGAGATCTGCTTCTACACAGTCTATCCATCTTGGGAGAGGTCTTCCTCTTTTCCTGGTACCCTCTAAATTTGCAAAGGTCACCTTTTTAACAGGGCTTAAGCTGTTACGTCTAAAAATATGTCCAGGCCACCTGATACGATAATATTCGATGATTTGGTCAGGTTGTTTGTATCTTCTGTGTATTTCATAGCTAAACAAACTTCTCGATCTATTATTTCTCTAATTGGGCATTTTTCGCAGTATGCTTCTTTGAAAAATTAGAAGTCTTTATTCAACTGTTTATCTTAATGGCCAGCATTATCTACCATACAATATGATAGGGCTAATAAGAGTTTTATAAAGACTTATTATGACTTGAATTTTAATAATTTAGACACTAAAATTTCTTTAAGCCATGATAACATCTATTAGATCTAAATAATCGATTGTCAAGTTCAAGTTTATATTATTATCCCTTAGAGATGATAGTACCGAGATACGTAATCTGAAAAAGCCCCCGGAAGTAAAAGACTTTATTTGCACTGGAAGTACGTCCAGATTCTAGAGACTGTAGATTCTAAAGAAACAAAAGTCTCCACAACCGCCTGCTTACTTTTGCCAATAATGTCGATGTCATCAGCATACGCTAGTAACTGTATAAATCTCCGAAATGTGGTGCCTTTTGGTTATAATTCCGGCATCTCTAATAGACTTTTCAAAGGCGATATAAAAAAACATGCATGCAAGGGTTGAGGTAGGTGCTAGCTGTCTCAACTCTTTTTCAGTGTTGAATGCCTCTGATAGATCAGACATGATGTTAACTGCAATTTACTCACTTCAAAGACATTCTAGATAAATTGTAGAGATATTAGGAATTTTTTGGAAGCAGAAGAAGGGAAAAATGATCAACATCTTCACCCGGAATTGAGCCACGCAACTCTGGAATAAGCGCCTAGCGTGCAGACTACTACACCACGAAGGCACGCTAAGAAGGCAGGGGAAATACCTTATATACTTCCCCTTTTAAAGGGCGACTGTGATTTAGGGGACCCATTTGCCAAATGCTGGGTGTGGAGAATCATCATGCACCACCTTTTTAGTTCGGGCGCCACTGTAGAAATATTAGGATTTTTTGGAACCAGGAGAATGGAAAAATGAGCAACATCTTCTAGACCTCTGGAATACACGCCCAGCGTAAAGACCACAGACCACTACACCACGAAGGCACGCACACCAAGAACGTGGGAGAAATACCTTATAAGATCAATTAATTTTCTAGGAAATCCAAATTTCAGCATAGCTTCAAACACCTTTTCATGGTACATGCTATCATAAGCAGCTTTAAAAACCGAAAAAATGATGAAAGATATCAATATTATGTTCAAAAAGTTTTACGAAACTTTGTCTAACATAATAGATTTGATGAATAGTAGATTTTCCAGCTTGAAATCCACATCGGTAGCTACCAATAACTGTAGATGCATACGGTAATAACCTATTATATAAAATATGAGAGAAGACTTTAAATGCCACATTTAAGAGGATGATACCTCGATAGTTGGAACATTCGAATCAGTCTCTTTTTTAAAAAATGGGACAAATGGAACCCTCTTTCCATTCAATGGGCAATGACATATACCAGAAAAGACAATTTCTCAGTACTTACAGGACTGACAGGAGAACAAGTGTGTTTATTCTGATGCATGTTTCTATGAAGTTGACTAGATAATAGGTTTTTACATTTTAAGCATAGCTGCTGCACAAAGCTTTTCCACGAACGTTTTGAAGACGGAAATATTCAATTTTGATGCTCAACCTCATCTATGATTACCAGAGATTTCTTAGGGAAAAACAGTTTCCTGAAATTTGTGTTTATTTTTAAACCAGAGGTGGGTTTTAGGTTTTCATTCGGAGGGTTCTGCAATCAAAAATGCGGTAATATTTTCAGTTTAAGAATAATATATAAGGAAAGCATTACGATAATGCTAGGTATATTTATTTAATTTAAAAGAAATGAGAAAAAATATTTATTTCATTGATTTTATTTTTGTACAAATTTTATTTGAGCCTAGATAATAGTATCATACAATAAGTACTTTAAGAACAACAAATTCCTTCTATGCTTCTACGCATCTGTCAACAAAAACCACCACCTGCAAAGAAATAGTATAATGATTATAAAATTTTATACTGAAGTATTTACAGATTCACATTCAGTAACTCGTAGTCTGCGGCAAATTATTATACTTTTCCATTTAAAAGTTAAATAGACTAAGGGAATACTTTTCTATTAAAAAGGTTATTTGTAATTTTGGGAATTTATGAAAGCGAATTATTAAAACTTTTAATATTTTTTCAAAATTCTTCTGTTATTTCGAATTTAATAAATTATTAATTTTTCATAACATATAAATAAAGGATAAAGATAACTATGAGCAGTTTGTATTTAAATTTTTTAAATGTTCTTGTATGAGATCATAGACGTATCAGGATCTAAAAGAAAGTGTTAAACTGTAGATTCAGATATTATAATTTAAAAAAGATTTTGTAATTTTATTTTGTTTAAAACTATAAGAAAGTGCATTCTGCAAATAAAATTATTATTTAAAAAAATTATACAATTTTCACAACATGTTACATTAATTTTTATTTCTTTATCGGAAGTTTGTTCTACTGAGATCTTGCACTATTACTGGAACAAAATATTAGCTAATGTTAGAAATAAATTCATTTGATAAAGTGACTTAAAATTTTAAGATTGTGCAAAAATGGAACACGTGAAAATGGAAATATTTGTAATTTAAGACCAGAACTATTTTTTAATTATTTATGAAATTATGTTTATATAGATGTATAACATACAAACTATGTTTGTCTTCTATATAATTGCAGAAAACAGTTTGAAATCAATATAGTTATATAGGTTTAGAGAATATACTTATAACATAATTTTCTAGGCTAAGCTCATGGAATTAACATCTTGCAAACCACATAACTAAAGTTGTACTTATACTAAGTCCTCTTTTTACAGTACGACAGGTCATGCATCGCTCTAGATTTTCCTCAGCAAGATTTGTTTTCAGTTTTATATTTTTCTTTCAAACTCTGTCCTCTATATAGCAGAATAGATGAGCCGGATGGTAGCGTGCCGGTTGTATGTCGATTCCGTACGGTCTATCACGAGTAGAAAATGTCAAGCAGTGACATGCAGTTATGTTTAAAGAATTATTATATATACAGTTACATAGAGCAACTATGTAACTATGTTTCTACTAAACAACTTTGTTTCTCTTAATATCTTAGATATTTATGCAATAGTTAAAAGGTCTTGTTTTATTTACATAATAAGTAATCAGCTTTCTATATTTTTGTCTTTTCTATGAATTTGATTTCTGATAAATCTGATTGATTTGGTTAAATGTATATGAAATAAAAAGATTAGAAAATATTGTTTTTAAAATACACTATTCGTTGTTACTTGAAGAGTTTGCGAGACTGAAGCATTTTCCTCGAATAAAAGGTAAAAAACTGGTGCAAAATTAAATATAGAAAACTGAATATCAGTCTGAAAATTATAAAGAAATAATATTTTATTTATAGTGTTCAATTAAAAATAAATGAAACAAGAAAGGTAAAACAGCAGTATGAGAAAAAATGACTGGATCATTAAGAAGTTTGATAAAAATGATTTTATCATTTCTAGATATTATATTTTCGAAATCCAAATTGAGCGATAGTTCTCGTTATTTACTTCTGCGGGCCTTTTGAGACTGAGGTAGTATATTACTTCTTCATCTTTTTACACTTGTGGAACCATGTGTAGTTGAGAGATGAAGCGATTTATTTTACAGAGAACGCTGATTGTAGTCGTTGCTGGTTGCCCATAAATAGCATAGAAGCTTATTTGTCAACGGGGACTGAACTGTGGTCCCCTTGATTCATAAGTCGACGTCTGTAAATACAACCAAAATCAGCCTGAAAGAACTCCAATAATGAATGAGCGATGTACCGTCATTTTCTGCTGAAAAGCCTCTTTCATAGTGCCTTTCTTACGATACAAATAAAAAGACAAGAGGATCTGGTGCGAAAGCAAGCCAGTTGAATTGTTGCGCGTGGCTTTCTTTTAAGTCCTCTGACGTTTCTCTTGCTCATTATTATGCATTTGTGTTAAGAGCTCTTTCTACATGTAAAATCACACGATTAATAGACTATGAAAAATAGCGAAAGAGGAAAGAAAATCAACATCACTGGAAATTTTACGAAAGGCCCTTCTATCATGGAAATCACGATGCAGACATTTAGTCCAGGAAAAAGGCTATCAGATCAAATACCTAAAAAATTACATTTTACGTATTAAACATTGATTAAGAGGCTCCTTCTAAAAATATGTAAACACCTTCTATGTTTTGACGAATTTTTATTTTATTAAGTTATAAAATTCTTATTTATTATGATAAGAAATTTATCTTTAATAAGTAATATCTGAAGAAACTTGCGTGTACTATGCTTACTTTTCGGAATTATAATTCTACGTTTCCCACCCTCTGTAGGTTAGGTTTCACTAAAAGTAGTTTTATAAATATATCATAAGTAAATTACATAGATGAACAGAAAAATGAGTGTAGCTGAGTTCAAATAAGGAGGGATAACACAAAAAAGTAATAAATAAAAAACAAAGAATGGATTTTTAGTTATACTGTAGCCTGGAAAGAAAAGCACATTAATAGCCAAAATTTGCATAGTGAAAACAATATCTGGCAAACATATGCCGTGTTTAGATGTAAGAATCATAGATATCAATTTCAAAGTGTTTGAGACATTTTATAGCCAATTTAGTAATTTTTCGGAAGCTATTAAATTTGTTAATACTTGCTAGTAAATTCAGATAGCGAAACAAAACTATAATTTTTTAGACCTTTCTGTTTTTACACCGATGAAAAGCGTAGGTGAGATACTTAAATTAATCGAGTGTTCACAGTGAATTCAAATCAATTTTTACTTGATTTATTTTAAGCGGTTACAAAAACCCAAGGATTAATTATTATGGAGTATCTTTGGTTAAAACTATCTGCTTCCACATTCTAGCATTAATAGTAAGAATATAAAAAGAAATAAGTGCATTATAGAAATTAAAGGAAAATAATGAGGGGTCAACATGACTGAGAAAGTTTTCGAAAGAAATTCGGAACTGACAACGTTTTTATGATTTGCATTTATATTTTTTGGGTCTTCTTTCTTTTTTCCATGTTTTTAAAACCAGGGACAACATTTAAAAGAAAAAAGAGGAAAGAAAAGATTAAATTTAAGAAATTCCTTTGTCACACAGTCATAAATTATAATTTGGCAATGTTAACCTTGCATTTGAAAAAAAAAAGAGGACTGATAATAATGCTAGATGATTACTTCAGGAAATTGATACTGTGGATTACAGATGTCAAAGCAATAGTAATAAACATTTCCTGCAGATATTCCGAGAGCTCACAGCGCAGCATCCTCACTCGGGATCCGATGTCTATGCTGGAACTGCGGCTTTAAACCACTTCCAGCCATTTTCGTTTATTTCCTGATACATACATTCCTAGCTATTGGAGAACTTACCTGCAAATTTTCAGAATTAGTGGGTAACTTTAATTTAATGCTTGGTGTCGCTTTGGTCCAAAGTAGTCTACTTGTATTCTGTGTGTACTTTATAAAAATTAAGTTTCCCTTTCTATTCTAATTATTCAATCAGGAAAATTTCATATTCAAACGAAGTGATAAGTACATAAATACAATACGCTTTCAAAATATTCAGGGGATAAAAAATCAAAACATCATTACTACAAAAAGTGTTCAGAAGAGAAATGTTCTGTCATAGCATTCACAGACTCAAGTAGTTTTCGCACTTCCCATTTTTCAGTTTATCAATAAACTTTCAGGTTGACACTATGCTAGATCGGTAATGTTAGTGCCTCCAATGGAAATCACATATCATCATCTGACTTTGCTTTTGATTAGACCTATAACTTTGGCTCATTTTCATTTATAAAGAAAACAATTGAATTATTGAATTATTTTGAAATATTTTTTATGAATTAATCACACCAATGACTGAACAGTGAAACAGCTGTTCGTTGCTACCTAGACCTAAATTCAAATTTCGGTGAAATAGCTGGCTGCGTTTGAGTTTTATTGGTTTCCTTTATATCTAACGTGAATATGAGTGTCTCTTAAAACGCCATTCACAAAAGCATCTCTTGCTTTAGGCAGAGAGCCCAAAATGCTTTCCTATAATCTAAATAACCCTTTCCTCTCAATTTCAGCCAAAAAGATTTAGCATCGTTCTGTAGATATTAATGTTTGAGGGTTATGGAGCTATAAATTTAATGTTCTTAAAATGCAAGGTCGAGAAAATTTGAGACATTAGTTGTAGTGGACGCGATGCCTGGATTTGAGATACAGGATCTCTATGCAGAAATTAACTGATAAAGGTGACAATGGCTATTAAAAAATGCTGTTTGAGACAGTGAATGTTATTGCTTGACCTTTCCTTTTGGAAGGACCTTTGCGATGTTTTGGGTATATTATATGTTGAATAATTTCTGACTAATATTTATATAACAATACATACATTGTTTTCGTTCTTCTTCTTCTCCGCCATGCATTTGAGTCCTGATGCACAGGGGCAACTAAATCTGTAAATGCCTTCGTCGTTTAATTCCTCAATGTTGTCCAAGCAAAATTCACCTGCAAAAGAAGAGATATTATACCTGTGTAAAAAAAGTTTCTCATAGATAAAGAATGTGGTGACGATGATGATGTTTTCTTGAATAACAGGGCAGCTCTTGGTCTTGCAGAGATAATTTTATTTAAATATAATTTATATTATAATAAAATACAATAAATAATTGAAATGCTATGAGATGCAAATAGATTTTACATATTCATAAAAATATAATTAATGATAGGACAAACTTTTGACGTTAGCAGCACACAGAAGCCTGTGAAATAAGTGAAGATTTTTTTTCCAATGGCAGATTGTGAACAGTTACAAATGTAACCCAGTCCATTTATCTATGCAAGGCCGGATGTGGTGGTCTCTTTATTATGGAGATACCTAATAGGTGGGCCACTATCGCCTTTCCTGTGAAGGGACGGACAGTTACAACCATGCCTTCTCCGGGATTCGAACCCAGGCCTTTCGGCATCGCAATCAGCTTCCCTTACCACTATACTGACTGGGCGGCAATGAGTGAAGATTATAATGTGGATTCCGAATTTAAGAATAGGAATTATAATCTGCTTCATTTCTGTTGATTAATTAAAAATTCTTTTTTTGCAAATTTATCATCATTATTGGGAAGGTATCTCTTATACGTTTGCCTTTACGTAAGTGCATGTGTCATTAGCCTTATATAAGAATCATATGATAGGGATTAATTTAAAAATAACACAGCTCAGAAAGTTTTACCGTAAGCACGTTACCGTTTTTAGAAATTTGTAGCTATTTGTTGTTTTTTTCGCTCAATATGCTAATTTTCGCTTTATTGCTAACTATTAGATGTGAGTATATTTAATAAGCTCAGATAATACTCAGTTTGATATTCTTGAAAAAATTCGCATATATATATTATGTATCCAAATAGAAAGTAGGATTTCTTTTCTAGGGATTTCGCATATTTGTATAATTTTACAGCTCTAGGAATTTATTACTACCCGGACGCTTGCTAGTAATAATTAAATTGCCTTAAATTACTTTGCTTTATATTGTGATATGCAAATAACTCTATAATGCATCACCTCCATTTATGATAAATTAGTTAATGCATTAAAATTTCCTTCACAAAAGGACCTTTTCATCTTTCGTTTCTCTCTGAAATAACAAAAGTAAATTTTATAGAGCAATTAATTATATTTGCAGATTTTTTATTCTATACTAAACATGTCTTAACCACTTCACTGTTCTACAGAACTCAGATATTTGCTTCTTTTTTCCTCTGTAAAGATAAACCTTTTGCTCTGCAACCGGCCTTAGAAATGTGTCTTATCTCCTTTTACTTATTTAGACCTATTTAAAAGTCATTTAGTGAAGACATATTTTGAAACCTGCCCAAATTCAAGGATCTTGAACAGCGTCATCCTAGGCAAGAGATAAAAAATTATTTTCTGTTCTCTTGGCTTTTTTCTAAAAATTAGCAAAGACGATACTCTAAAGGCACATTTTGAATTAGCAGTAGTTATCGTTGCTGTACCATCTGAAAGAAAGTGGAAGATCATTTTTGTTTCCCGTCTTTTTAAGTTAACTTCCTGATATATCCCTGATGCGGAGAAAGAGGAACATTTAAAGCCATCAATCACTTCTTTTCATTTTCGCTGCATTCTGGGACGTTGCAAAACACGATGCGGGAAGTCTTTCTTAGGCAAAATTTAATCCCGAGTATGTCTCGTTGCTGATACCTGACGATACGTTTAAAATTAACTAGCCTATCTCGAGGAAAACGGTGAAGTGGTTGATCAGTATGGACCAACGAACTCAAAACGCATAAAAGGTTTTGTTTTATGACTATAGCAGAGTTTGAACTGCTTATAGTAGAGAGTAATGTATATGAAATTCTTGGTCATGTTGGCAACTAATTTCCCTCCTTTCCAGAGTTTCGGATATGAGTATCTTTAAGAAGTGATTTAATAGGGAAATTTCATATTTTCGATTAGTTATGGTCATCTGCAACTAATCAGTTAATTCCAACAATTTTGCTAATAAAAAGTGCTGCAATAACCTTACTGACATGACTCCACCCACTGACTTTACACGAATAGGAATTTTAAATGAATCCAGTACTTGTTTGCTGAAAATTACATAGCTTATAAGATCACGCAAATTTCTTTATTCCAGTCAAATTAATTCAAATATAATTCACGATATAACAAAATACAATAAATAGTAGAAATGCTGTGAGATGCAGATGAATTGATAGATTTTATTGCTTTCATAATAACTGAAAGTGTGGATTACACGTAATAATTTGTTACGTAGAAAAAATTAAATTAAACTTTAAAATAAACTTTTTTAACTTTTCAAACTGACTGCTTGGTGCCGCGACAAAAATGTACTTACATAATCAAAACCTTTAAAATCTAAGAGACATCAAAGAAAGATATCCTCCCTGGTGTTTTGGTAGAATCACGATTAATTGACAACAAAAACAAAACTTTAAAATGGCATTTCCGTAACTAAATGCTTTAACACGTCCACTAAATTAAAACTCCTTACCAGGCTATCTCTCACTAAATGAAAACTAATTTAGATCTCCAAACCTGAAAACACATAAATTTCAGTACAAAATCTAGAGATAGCCTTAAACCTTCAACATTTCAAATACCAAACAGAAATCTTCAAAACACCGGGGAAAGATACAATCTCACAATTAAGAAATGTACTCAACAAAATCAAAATTAAATTTAGTAAACCGATCGTATAGTCACCAACACTAAAACTTATTTTTCTACTACGGCAATATAATTACCCAGGTTCGGTTGAAAAACCATGTTTCCGTTAGGATCACATGGGTGACCTACAGTAGACCACAATTAATACACACACACACAAAAAAAAACATACAATATTAAAGATAATAAACACATTTATTGAAAATTCCCACACATTATAACTTAAGATAGCTGGCCAGACTACCCCTACAAAATCTTTTAAAGTTACTCATAGTTTTTGTTTTTCATATCAATCTCATATTTAACATTATTCCATTAATAGAAAAATCATCGTGAAACACGTCACAGTTCTTAATCATTTTAAGCAGGAAACCCAGAAGATTAAATTTATTTAAAAAGACTAATTTAGAATAAATCATATTGAACATAGCACTTAAACATTAAAACAAAGATTCACTTCCTTCAATTAGTTCAATCGACTTCTGACTATTAAACATTAAATAAAAAATTACTTTCTCAGCTAGAAATTTGGTAAAAATATTCAATTTTTATCTACTTAACATGTCAACTCTTGCTTTAGTATTAAACATTTCCAAATTTAAAAGGATTATGCATCAAAATAAAACACCAATGAAAATTAAAAAGTCACTCACGAAATCGGCGTACCACCTTTGAGAGACTCGGGGAGCTGCCCCGATCTAAAATTACAAATCCCGAAACAATAACTGCCAAATCTTCATCGATGTTTTCCGGAACCGGAGCCTTTTCATAGTTCCAGTTTAAAGTTTTCAAATTCCTCCGTTAAGCAGCACACTTTCACTCAATCATCTTCCCGTTTTCGAAGTTCCTCTGAAGATAAGAGAACGAGGTCGAAACTGGAGACAAAGACGACCAAAGGCAGACCTCAGGCGATGACGACTTTCCATATTTCCATCTTTTCTAAAGCAAAATAGATACTCCAGCACGAACGAGCAGTTCAGACTATTCCACAAATGGGAAAAAAGAAACATCAGCGACGAAATTGAAAATAATAGGCCGCAAGAAGGGATTGCCGCCGTCAACATGTCCGAGCAACCCGCACTGTCTCGGACCCTCCGTACCCAGAAATCTCGGAGATAAAAACTTAACTGTATACCGCGGTCGACCACCGAAGAACCGCCGCGTTTTTCCTCCGCACCATCTCAGCACCTCACTGACCGCGGCCGGTCCCCGTAGGGGCCGCCGTCAAAGTAGCAAACCCCTAAGGCTCCCAAAAAAAATCTACTAAAAAAGTCTTCTCTAAAAATCGCCTTTTTTTTCAGTCCAAGAAAAAAACGCTCCTGCCTCCCGTGCAACGGCTTAAGAAACCTCGGTTTACCCACACCAAGAAACGCCTCAAAATTACTATTGGTTCAAAGAACACTAAAATTAAAAATTTAGCCAATCTTAAGGAAACTTGGACTCCCTTTCGCCAATTAAAAGAAAGGTAATAAAACACCACTGAAATTCACAGAAATTCAGAACTTTCTACAAGAAGACAGACCCTTTCTTTCCCACGCAACAGAAGAATGTTTCCAACCTATAACTCTGTCAAAAAATCGCTGCCCCTTAGAACTATTCGCCTCTGAACGAGAAAAACACGTGTTTTCAACCCCCGCGAAAAAAAGGGAAAATGCAGCTGGACAGTGACCTCTAACCTCCAAAGAAGCCTACGCGTGAGAAACGGAAATACACCCGCACCCTTTTAATTGTAACACAATTCTGCCAAACTTAAAGGAGCTTAGCCGTAAAGTTTAACAATTTTAAATATTATACATTAATTTTAAATAATTTCAATACAAATTCATTAAACACAATAAAATAATATAATAACTAAGAATACATTATGCACAGTAAAATAACACGCAATAATTATACACAACAAAAAATACATAAGAAATTTTCATAACAAATTTTAAAATGCGTAGAAGGCAATTGGAACTTGAACAGCTTTCGATATTGCTTCGAAAGCCTCAGTGGCTTGAAGGTGGCTGAGTGGAAAAGCATTACGACACATTTAGCACAACGGATCTTGAAGAATCACAATCGTTATTATTTTACGTATATCAAACCATCCTTTTGCAGATAAGATGTTTCCTAATTATATTTGAATACAGTAAGTTCCAATTTGAAGTAAGATGTCATCTTAAGCAAGTAAGTAGCAGCAGCATGAATGAAAAGTGTCTTGCATGCAGGAGAGCTTATTCGAAAAAGGGAAGAGTGTCATAGTACTTCAGAGGAAGAAGGATGGGAATCGTAAAAAGTTTCAGTTCAGAGTTTTGGTTTACAATTAATTTAATTGGACAAGAGGTATCTGCATTAATACGTTACGTAACGGAAAAATCTGAAACCTGGGGAGAAGAGATGAATACAATAATAAAAAAATAAATTTGTCTGTTTGCTCATTTGTGTGTCTATTGCATAATGCAAAGACGGATAGGCTCAGAGCTAAAGAAATTAGCATGCATGTGGTCCGGACGGGGAAGGTATGCACTTCGAAGCGATTTTTTAATAATTCGGTTTAGATTGTTTTCTTTAATGTTGTAGATTCCTTGGACATATATTCACAAATGAAATAATAACCTGTTAGTTTCACTGTTTGTACCACTGGATAGAACAGAAAATAAAGTTTTAAACGAAGTTTATTTGAAATCTTCAATTTAAATACTTAAATAATGTTTCTGATCTGCAGTATCAAAAAATATTCACACATAGTTTTGACAAAAAAATTCATAATTTGAAATCATAGGCGATAGAGCTTTTGCGCTTACTGTACACTAGATTTCATAAAAACCATACCACCGACCTCCATCGAAGCAGAAAGTCCCCTGCGCTGCAGTTAGGGTCATTTGTCACAAAATTGAAACTATACTTAGAATAAAAATAGTAATGCTTTTAGCTTCTTAAGAAGTTATTATTAAAATGTACGGAATACATTTTGACAGCAATAACTGAAATTTTATAAAGCATGAGTATTTTTTAAAAATTACTTACCTTTGAAAAATTGTTTCGTAAGAATTTCGAATATAAGGAAATAACATATTTTAGACATTTTTATTATAATACATTTAATTTTGTTCTGTAGTTATAAATAATCAAAATTTCGAAATTTTTGCAGTTTTCGTCTTCTGAGAAATTTGAGAACTCTAAGAAAGGAAAAATTGCATATTTAATGTAAATATTCAAATTTCTAAATTTATACACCTCCCTGAGAAATTTACGAGGCATCTCGAGGGAAAAAGAACTACATATTTGAAACAAACCAGAGTTGGCTACAATTTGATAAATTTTGGGATAAATTTCTTTATTTAGGAATAAATTTACCATTGGTATTGTACTCTGCCACCATAATCGGGTATCGTGGCTAGCGATGCTGGCTGCCGCTTCCAATCCCGGAGAAGGCAAGGATATTTATTAGTATCTGTGCGGCAGGGAGGCACTTAAAATACTGACGAGCCGGAAGTCCTGTCGAGTAATTTGGTAGTAGGGGAAGAGAGATGGGAGTCCCTCCTATCCGGTTTTTAAGATGTTTTCGTTCAAAGCTGATGTGCTGCTGCATAATTAGTGATGTACGACCCCAATGGGCAAATTCTGGTGCCCTACATACTTCTACCTGAACATGATAACGTAGTTATACGGACCTTGTTTGGTTTGAATAACAAAAGAAAATCAGGAAACATTTGCCTAAATTCTGGAATGGTAAAGCGTGTAGATTATGACGTTATCTTCATTGAACTTATGACTGTATAAAGAACAGGAGGTTCATCTGGGAAATATCCTCCCATCTTTTATAAAACTTATTAAAACTGTTTTTCAGAATTATTGAACACATTATTAGAGTCCATTACTTATAATCACTGCTATTGATTTTGCTAAATTATATCTCAATATTAGGACTAGAAACTGCTGTCTCATGTATTTATATTTTTAATAACTTTGTGAGTTTTATATTAAGTTCTGAAGATGAGGAAAGTTTTGTGTCTTAGAAATTTAAAAGAATTAGCTTTGACATCTTAAATGCGTTTTCTGATGACCTTTTGTAATTTTCTTTGAATATTTTTTTTATGTAATAAAAATTCGTTTAAAATATTTTGCATTCTTCTTTGCCATTTGAAAATTAATTGCAAATTATAATATGTTGGCAATAATACTGCTGAAAAATTTGGAAGAAACTAAGACAACCCCTTAGTATTTTCTGGTGGTGTGTTGGTTAGCACGTAGTAGTTTAATGCATACTTGGTTTCAGTTTATAATGCGATGCATAGTTCAGATTGCAAATTACTTTTCAAATAAGATATTGTAGGGATTTATAATTTTAAGTTCAGACCTTTCTATAAGCCTTCATTCCCCTAATTGTCAGTGCCAGAATAGGTAAATGTTATAGCGCGCGTGAACGAATGCAAATTTTCTGCTTTGAAGGAAGTATTTAAAAGCCGAGTTTCGATAGGAGTTAGGCTCTGGTCGCCACCTCTGCCGTAGTTACGTCTGCTTATTGCTGGTTCAAGTGACTTTATTGTATTATCTGCTGCCACTAGCTTCGAACGGGGTTTAAGTTACGGGACTTCGCTGAGCCCTGTAGTCTAGTTTTATCGTTTGTTAATATCTTCAAATTTTTAGTTTAGTTTCAAATTTTTAGTTGATTTTCATTTACCGCCCAAGCACAGGCGAAGTTTGTTAGCGTCGAATTGACACATTGTAAATTTTCAAAAGATTTAATAAAGGGTATTTTAACTCTTCTCTTGTTTAGTTTTCTGCTTCTCCAGTTTCAGATAGAAGTTCACCCACCTGGACTTTACAATATATAGAAGATCCTCATCCCTATTTATTATTACTTGAACAATAAATGCAATCCAAATTGCTAAATTATCAGTTAGCCAAGTTAGTCAGTTTCACAACATGTTAAACGGGATTAAAAGACTAAAATCGAAAAATTTTATATCACCTTTCTGCCTCAATTTCTTGCATGCTGGGTTTGACAAAATCCCTTTGCTGCAACACTCATCACTTGCACAATCTGCACTCGAACTGCATTGCTGAGACACCTAAATGAAGGAGAGAAATATACTTTGCATAGGCTGCATCTTTAAGGTATTTACAAAATTCTTACTTATAATATTATACCAGCTTTCAAACATTTCTCATTGTTAAAATGTTTGCTTTCCTCTTTCTTATTTGTCGTTAATCATACGAGAAGTTTTCCTTGCATTTAAAAGCTGATACAGATTAAGAACATTTTAAACCCTGAAAAATTAACAAGTTTTTAATTCGAAATATCTATATTTCATCTTATTAGAATTTGAATATTTGAGCGTAACTCGAAAAAAAAATTTTTATGCAGTCTTCTCTTAGAGTAGAAATATACATAGAGTAACAATGTTGTGAAAGACCTTCCCTTTGAAATTGATAGCTGCTTTGTATTAATTAGATCCCATTTGCATCGGAACTGTCGGCCTTGGAGTGATCTGTCACCCAATAGTTTGAAAAATAAGTTCATTGAAAAATGACATTTTTATGTTGTAAATATTATTGAATAAACGTTTTCATCACAAAACAATTGCAAATATGTTATTATAATTAATTATTAAAGCACCGTACAAGATAGCACTTATATTAAACAAAAGTACCACTATTAGGCTGAGAGTAAATTTATTATTATTAAGAAAATCAGTGAAATTATTATTATTAAGAAAGGTTAAATGACTAAACTGAAAGGTTAGCGACATTTCATCATGTAATCAAGAATAAGTTTTAAGAGAAGTGTGCTGCGAATGAATTTCTACTGCATCTGTAGAATAAGTTGAAAATATAAAGGTGGCTAATAAAAAAATAGAGTATTATTTCCAGATATAATCGCTGAAGGCCAGAAGTACTGCAACATTAGTGATATTTATTGCAAATAAGTTATACTATGTACTTTTTTCAAACAAATGGAATAGATGAGCATGGAATAACTATTAGATTCGAAAACTACCTATACTCAAAAACCCTGAGAAAAATGGGACACGAGGAACCTTAATGGGCAAAAGAAAGATTTGCTTACTTCAGGTTCATTTTAAACATATGTCTTAATAAATGTTTGTTAATTCTATACATAAATACTGCATGAATTCTAAGAGTAATTTTCTAATAAAAGTGGGTATAGTGCTTTGATTGACGAGAAAAATGAATTACATGTTTGATTTCAGCAATGTGAAATATGTATGAACCATCCAAAAACGTTACAGGGGAATGTTACATACAGCATGAGAATATAATCATTGAAGATGTTAAAATGAAGACTTAAAATTTTTTTAATTCTCGAGTAAAATTCAATCTATTAGGTTGTAAAGTCATTAGGTTATTTAAGCAAAAGCTGTGGGAAACACGCCATGCACTCCCCGGAACTTGAACCAAGGACCTCTCGAAAACGCTTCCAATTACACCACGAAGGTATATGGAAAAGGAGGAAGAAATAAATTATGAGGTATTATAAACTAAGAATGGGACACACAAAAAAGTAGCCTTCATCAGAACGGTTTATAATTAAACAGTAGTTTTATTTATCTGTTTTTGAAGTTTTGACATTCTTCTACATTTGAATTAGGAATCTGTCGGATTGCTTGTAACAGACATAGTTTTCTCTCGTGAAAAACCTCCTGCCATCATTCACAAAGACTGTCAAGAAATGCACAGTTAAGATTTTCTTGAAATTGAAGTAAAAGTTATAAAGTAAGATTTGTAAAGATTCAGATTTATATTCACCGAAGAAGCATTGAAATTGAGTACATGAATTATTTAAATTAGTAATTAAGAACCTGAAAGTTAGCCCTTAAAATAAAAAATAAAAAAAAAAACCTGAAGAGTAAAAGAGAAGGATTTATGTTCACATAAAAGTTCTTCAGAACAGAATAAACGATCTTTATCTAGACGTTTGGAATAATACATAACTTAAAGAGAATCAGCTACTGATACGTTGCGAGTTAAAATTTACTGTTAAAGCATATTACAAAACAAAACAAGACAAAAAAAATCTGAAAGCTTTCAGATTTTATATTACCCCCAAAAAGTCATTTTTTCCATTTGCATACACATACATATTTCTAGAGTATTTTGGCTAACACCCCTTAAAATATTCAAAAATATCATATCTTTAGAATTTCCGATAAAGAGTCTAGCGGGGGCGCTGGAGATAAAAATATTTTATCCCGTATAGTGTTGCCACTGCTGTGCTCGCTTTGAAATCGTTGAGGTTTTTTTTAATCAAAAATTCGTTAAAGTTTTAGAGCATATGAAATAGACAATAAAATAATTTTGAAAATCAAAATTCGAGCTTTCAGGTGCCCATATTTGTGTGGAGGAGTATTTTATTTAAAATTTGATGGCTCCAGGTATTGCTGTCCTTTTATAATGCAAGAAACATACATTCATGCATATTCTCCATTATTTAATTTTTTAATTATAATATAGGGCGATAATGTTTGGTGGCAACAATTTGGAAAGTGAAACGGACGGACATTTATGATGAACCGACACGAAATGCCGTTTTGATACTAATGCCCCTCTGAGCTAACGCCTGTTTGGGCTAATAACTTAGATTGCATCGAATTTGCTAAAAAAGCTTCAGAATTTTCTCACTCTATACACATTATAAATATTTATTAAGCATCCATAATATACGTGCTTTAATTCTTAAAAATAATTTGTAATTCTCATTTACGACTATGGATATAAACTTGTAACAAATTCTAGTGAGATGAAGACGTATAGTTACTGAACATATCAGTACTTTGTTTTATTACAATATCGAAAATTTCTCCTTTAGTTCTCAAGTACATATTACACACTAAGTTAATTTAATTCTTATTTTAAATTATTATAACTAGATATTACTTACAGCAACACACATGCAGAAAAAGAACGCTACTAAGATGATTGTTCTCATTTTGATAACAAATGGTACCTTTTACCTGCTACATTTTGCATATATATAAAAGTCGTGGGAGATTCCACAGTTGTTGTATGTGATTTCCCAAGAATAAAGTGATAATGGAGTGGCCTTTTAGAGATCTTGATACAAATTTTTCTTTATATTTTAATGTTTTGAACATGAATGTATTCAAATCATAGGTCTAAAATTGAAGTAAACAAGTAGCATACATAAATAATTACTGTCACCTCTAAAATCAGCTGCTGTAGAATTTACGGAAGTACTCATGCATCAAGTTATCAGTAAAATTAGTGCAAATATTTTAATTTAACTTCTGGCTTCATTGCTTTATTCATTGCGTAATATAGAAATATGGCTATTCTGCACAGCCTCCCAAAGAGGTGTAACGAGATACACAATGCTTGGTTTATTATTCGTAAATTATTTTTAATTATACTTATGTGTTAGACTTCGATGTATGGCGTAGTGGTTGATACGGGAAAAACATTAAAAAAATAAAACTTTTATTTTAATTACTGTAGAACCTAAAGTCACGAATGCCTCATCTCCCAAACAATTCGGTTCACGAACAAATTACCTGAACAATAAACACCTGAGATGACGACTGATGTCTCAAATTACCAACATTTAAGTAAGCATCATATGATTTACAAAATGCACATTAACCTATGCAACACAATTAAACTCGTCATTTTCATTAAACTAAACTCATATCATTTAATTAAACTCACCATTCCGATTCTGGAAACACAATATTAATGTATTCTATTGTTAAGCTCTCATTAATAAAGCATGGTAACAAGTGACGTACAAGTCCACGAATTAGGCCTGGAAAAATGTATGACTAGATTGGGTTGGAGGCAGAGAATTTGGGCGCTTTGACAGGAATTTGTTTTGTTAACTGTTAAATTATGTTTCTAGGTAAAACCATGGGTTAAAAAGTTTACAATGAAGATTTGGAGAAATTACTAGAGAGACACAAAAATAAACTGAACAAGAACGAACTACAACAAGTTTAGAAACGGGGAGAAGCAATTGTGGAAGAAACGTCTTCAGAAAGATGAAGAAAGAAATCTGATCTTAGTTCGCTAATCCCCGAAGTTTTTTCAGACGGAAATGATATATAACGTTTTCACATAGCGATATCACTCGAATAAAGCAGTAACAAGCTACAGCGCGAGCATTCTCAATGACAGTGCCGCCATTTCTCACTTTAGAAGCATGTTAAAACGTAGGCAACTACAAATCACATTGGTAAAAGTTTGCTCATTGAGTCTCAAAGTGATGCTTAAAGACAAGAATAAAGAAAAGATAAAAGAAGATATCTTCTAAAGATATTTACCTACGTTTTTATGAAAATGAATTTTACGTCCAAGCAATAACCTCTTCGTTGTCAATATCCACTTATGCGATCCTCTCTTCCTTCGTAAAAATGCAGTAAAATCAATTTAAGTTTCCATAAGTTTTATCTATTTAATATTAGGTTTATCTTTTTTTATTTATTTAATGATTTTTTTTTTGGCTTTTGGGTTATGAACGTGTGCACAGAGTTATTACAGGCAATCATCTGTGGTCATGGAATGAATTATTCCAATTTACATTAATTGCTAAGTGGAAAACTATTATTTCAGTTTACGAACATTTTGGTTGACGAAGGGCATTTAGAAAAGAAATAAATTCGTTAACCGAGGTTTCACTATATTCTAAATGTACATACTATATGTGTGGATATGTATAGAAAGTAAAAGATAGGTAAGATACTGTCAACTTTTTGTTCCTCTTGTAAGGAGAAATACATAATATCTATACAGATTTAGTTGGCTTGAGAATTCTGTCTTACACAGATGCAGAGAGATTTCAATAGATATTAACAAATTAATCAAAAGAAACTGATCGGTTATTCGACATGCGCAGAGGTGGCATTGATAGAAAAAGAGATTAGCTACTTCAGTTTCGACCAAACAACACATCACAGAGCAGACGAAGGTCACAACCGAAGAGGATCTAAGATGGGAAATAGCTGGTAATCTCGTGGACAGTACTACGATAGGCCAGTGAAAACAGAGGTTTTTCTGATCACCGTCCTGCTGGTTTCTGGAAACCCTCAGCGAGAGGTTATTAAGGATGTTTCAATTAAATTTCTGTATCATGGGGACGTCTGACTCTGGGTGTAAAGGGTTCGTCTGCATTTCCTCTATGCGAGTAGTTTGCGGAAATCTTCAATTACAGCCAAGATAAAATTCCTTCCTTGATTAGAATGTAACTTAAGACGCACCCCACATCTGGAATTCCAATGCTGTATCATTAGGATCAGAGATGGGATACGCTTCAGGGTACTTTGTAAAGTAATCAATAATAATGAGGATGTATTTGGTGCTATCAAATTATAAGGTATTTCTCCCGCCTTCTTGGCATGCCTTCGTGGTGTGCTGGTGTGTGAAGACGTTGCATATTTTTCATCTTGCCTGCGTCCAAAAAATACCTAATGTCTATAGTGGCGCCCGAACTAAAAGGACAATGATTCTCCCCACCCAAGACTTGGCGATTGGCTCCCCTGAAACCACAGTCGTCCTTTAAAAAGGGGAGTATATAAGGTATTTTTCCAGCCTTCTTAGCGTGCCTTCGTGGTGTAGTGGTCTGCATGCTGGGCGCGTATTCCAGAGGTCCGTGGTTCGATTTCCCGGGGAAGGCGTTTCTCATTTTTCAATCTCTTCTGCTTCCAAATACTTAATGTCTCTACACTGGTGCCCGCACTAAAAGGGTGATGGCTGATGATTCTCCACACCCAGGATTTGGCGATTGGGTCACCTAAAAACCCAAATCGCCCTTTAAAAGGGGGAGTATATAAGGTTTTTCTCCCGCCTTCTTGCCATGCCTTGGTAGTGTTGTGGTCTGCACGCTGGGCGCGTATTCCAGAGATATGTGGTTCGATTCCCGGAGAAGGCGTTGCATATTTTTGATATCTCCTGCTTCGAATTAACCTAATGTCTCTACAAAGTGTTCCTGCCAGAGATCCCAGAATGTCGTAGGCTATGCGTTCAAAAGGCCATTCTACATTTTAACTTTGCAGCTTTTGTCAGCTGCGTTTCTTCTTTCCTTTCCTCACAGGCATCGCAACACCATTTTTTCACGTCATCAGGGTGTAACCCTAGTAGAAGCTCTCTCGAACTCTATGCAAAATCTTTATTATTGCAAACTGGTCTTCTTCCTTCGGAATGCTATGTACTTCTTTAACGAAATCCTGGATCTTGGAAGTGCCAGCTGCTATTTGAATGCCTTTCTATCATCAGATTCGAATTTCTTTTATATGACGCCGTTTCGAATATGGAGGGAGTCCCAGAGAACCCAATATCATTTTGTCCTCGGAATATACAAAGAAATACTCCAACAAGTAGATGTTCTATGTGAAGACTCCATTAAAACAATTGTGAGTTTAATGTCTCTGTCTTTCAACCGATCCTTCCTGACTTCTTCGTCACTCCATGGGTCTAGGTTAGACGATGTTGAATTTCTAGCTTGGCACATGACCGGATTAAGCAGCTCGCATTTCGCTTCGAACCTCGAATAATATCAGCAGCTTTTCGAGCAAAGTCTTCTAAGACAGGGTGTCTGCGTTTCCTTGTGACAATACTTCCCGATGACGGATAATGATGTCATATTCCTGCAGTATCTGTATCCATCTGGATATTTGACCTTTGGAATTCTTAAAATTTAATAGCCATGTCAATGACGCATGATCTACTTGGAGAGAAATTGTCTGCCGTAGAGTTAATGGTGGAAATGTTCTACCGCTTTAAACTATGGCGCGCAACTCTTTTCTGGTTCCGCAATAATTCCTCTCCGGTTTAGATAGACACTTGCTCCACTATACCATGAAACATTATTCACCAATTATATATTGGAATAAAACAGCACCAACACTCTCATTGCTCGCATCAGTATAAAAAATAAATGGTTTGCTGAGCTAATTATATGGGAGAATTGACGCAGATGTTAAAAAAGCCTCCTTCAGTCTGCAAAATGAATTGTCACATACTTTTGTACAGAAGAAACGTTTGCTTGCTCTCTGCCAGTTTGCGACGAGTTGTTGCGATGGAAGAAAAGTTGCTCACAGATATTCCTTTATTTCGTGCAAAGCCCCAATAGATTTCTTAGATAATAGGAGTTTCGGGGCGTCCCTAGTCTCTAAGTGCCAACACCTTTTCTGGATTCATACAGAAACCTTGGGCAGAGATGATATATCCGAAATACATCTCTGCCTGTCCGAACAATTTACATAAGGATGAGTTAACTTTAGACTGGCTTCCTTCAATTTCTAAAGTACCTTCCTAATATTTTCTGAATCTTCTCCTAAACTTTTCCGGATGATGATGTTGCATCCAGATGTATCAGAGAAGCTTCGTAGGAAAGACCTTTCAGCGCTGTCTCCATTCCGCATTCGAAATGTTAGCATTGAATTGCATAATACAAGCGGTATTACTATGAATTGCCAAAGTCCTTGTCCAGCAACAAATGCCGTCTTTTCTCGGTCATCAGAGTATATCTCTAACTGGGAATACCCACTCTTTAAATCAAGTGTATAAAACCTCACCTCTTGCTTCTAAAAGAGTGTCCAGAATGTCGTTAGTCCTAGGAAGAGGGTGGACGTCTATTTTTGTAACCTGGTTCAACAGGAGACTGTCAACGCAAAATCTTGTTGAACCATCTTGTTTTCTAAAAAATACAATTGGAGAAATCCAAGTAATTGCTCAAGGCTCGATAGCGTCATTTTCTTTCAAAATCATTTTCTTTCAAAATCAAACTAATATCATTTAAAGGTTTTCTGTCCTTTCTGTGTTTAGCAAACGGTAGACGTTTGGGATGTTGCTTTATTGGTGTTTGATCCCCTGAATCAATTCTGTGCTGTGTCAAACTAGTTCGACCTACGTCAGAAGATAAACGGGAGAAAACAGCTGAAAATATTTTACTGTAATTTATAGGGAATTGAAAATTTCCTTCAGATTTTCTCATCTCTAAGTTTTCTCTATGATTCTAAATATGCTTTACTTCTGTTGCTGAAAATATATTATTGTAAATTTCTGTAAATGTTCCATTTCACTGTATTGTGTTTGTGCATTGTTATATTGTTTTGCCCTGTTTTCATTTATTTGTTGATCGGCTCTTATTTTAGAATTCTATGGCCTTTATCGGTCTTTACTACTACGTTTCATTTATTAAAGGAAATCAGTGTTGGCTTGTGAAAAATACTGAAAATGTGCTGTTCCTTTGCCATGTAAGGCGAAATTCAATCAGTAGTTCAGTAATCAGTTAATCCGTAATCAGTAAAGAACCCACAATCTGCTAAACATAGTTTTAAAATATAACAATTTCTTCTTAGTAGGCATTTTCGCGTCGCTGTTAAGCATTGATACGTATGGCGAACTTAATCTTCATCCTCTGCGAATCTCATGATCCTCTGATCTACTTTTAGGCCTTCTATAAAATCTGAAATATCAATGGCAATTATAAGAATAAAAATCATCATAATGTTATTCATTGAATATTTTCTATAATCTGCAGTATTTTCCGAGCGTTAAAGAAGATTGCCTAACTTCTGCTTTCTAATTGCTTTTACAGCTGCTGTGTCTGCTGCATTTTTTATTAAATGCAATAAACAGTTAATTTCTTCCTGCCTGCTATTATCGATTGATTATTTGAAGAAATATCCACGAACATGGAGCTCACAACAACTGGTGTCAGGTGTGGGGTCTCTTTGAATGCTGATAATTAGGAAGATCGAAGAGCAACTGAAAGCCATTGTAGAAATAGTTGTTGCCACATAGTTTTACCATACAGTATTAAAAAGATAAGATAATGTTGTACGTATTGTCATGAATTTTGTTTATGTGTAAATAATATTAGAGGAATTATAATACCTTTTGTATAATGTAACATAATAAGCTTTAAAAAGCGAAGCTCTCTCGTAAAGCTGTTGACGAGACATCGCCAAACTGGCGAAAGTTTTGGCGGCTAATTTTTGTCTCCAAATTTGGCGATAACTAGCCAGAAGTTGCAAAACTTGGCGACATTTGGATGCGGTCCCTAAATAACTGTAATTGATCCCTACATTTAACTCTAACCGCATTCGGTCCTTATAATGTAATTTTAATCGTATATGCTTTTTAGTAATTTCAAGAAATGGAAGGTACTGGAGATTTCTTGGCGGCGGGGAAAAACTATTTAAGACCAGAGAGAGCATCAGCTCTTAATTGTTTAGTTTTGTGTTGAGTTCGGAGTATTGAGAGATTTTCGAGGAAACTTCGCCTTCTAGCATGCTTTACATTACACTGTGTTTAACATTCTTAGTAGTTTTGAAGTGTAACTACTGATACTGTGATTTTTGAAGAGAGTTCTAGAACTGTAAAGTGTTTCTTTTGGTAAAATAAATTTTATCAAGCAATAATCGAAAAGCAATTGAAAGCCACTGTTGAAATAGTTGTTGCCATATAGTTTTCCCATACAATATTAAAAAGATTCTTACAATATTGTACGAATTAAGAAGTAAAATTTGTGTGCGTTCAATCTATTAGGAACCCGTATGCAAGCAATAATAGTTTTCCAGAAAGCCATTAAATCAAACTAATAACTTTTACAGTATGTAGTTTGCTTAAAACGTCAAATGTATGGCCTTCAATCATACGTGTTATAGTAGTTAAATATCTTGCTTAGCTTGCTTTTTGGCAATTACTCTACGAGTCATCGTTTAATCTTCTTTTCTATAAAATGCTAAACAAAAGTGGAGACATTGAAGAAAAGTTAAGAAATTTATAATCTTTTCGTATGGTAATACGATACTGATAACGAAACAAGTGTTGAAAATCTCACACTTGTTTTCAATAAAACGAACATTTATCTTCTACAGTAATATAATTCGCCATCAAAATGAAAGCAGCAATCTTACTGGCGCTCTTCTGTTGCGTAGCCGTTGCCGTAAGTATTGCATAAACTTAAGTTTCTCAATTTTAATTTTAATTATTTTCCAATTATAGAAACTAACATCAACAATAATAATAATATCTGCTTTACATCAAATTTCATTGAACTTCGCAGTTGCTCATAATTTTTCTTTAGGTCAGTGTTTGGTAGAATGTTTATTTTATATTTAGATATTTATTTTATAATTGTTAATTGTAATTACAATTAGCAGCTAAAGTGTTAAAAAATTATCTAATTAGATAAAGAACATAGAATGAGCTGAAAGAAAAAGTAAACACTATTAATAAAAATTCTCAGATACTTGTTAATAAGAACCCAGATAAGTGTAATGACTCGCAATTAAAACCAAGTGCTTCAAAATACTAAAGGAAAAGAATGTGAAGTAGTAGGTAGTTCTGGGAGAATTGTCATCTTAATTTCATAAAACTAAACTAAAATTCCTTAAGCAATAAAAATATAATAAGTTATTGAGACAAATAATTCGTTGCAAAAACTGCTAAACATAGTTTTAAAATATAACAATTTCTTCATTCGATCATTTACAAATTGTAAGAACCGCGTGAAAATGTATTTGTTAGAATTCAGTTTTTTTCAAATTTTTAATGTACATAATGTGTTGTAAGTAGCAGTATTTTATAAAGAAAATAACAGGATTTTATAAATTGACACTTTTATAACCCTCTGATGTTTTATATAGTCTAAAAAGGTCAATTTATGAAATCATGTTATTTTTTAAATAGTCATTTTAAAAATTGTTTCTAGTTTACGGTATTTAAAATAAACGAATTGATATGTAAAATCTGAAAAATAATTAATAAAGAGTTAAGATCTCTTAGTCATACTTGTATTAATATAAATCCATACACACATTTTTTAAAACTCGGATAGGCATCTTCAGTATAACGTTAGAGTGCATTATGTTCTCTTGTAAAAATATGGGCAAAAATTTTATAAATCAATGACATTAAAATTAGGCATTTTTATTTAAAAGTAGTCTGTACAGATGATATAAACATTTGGTTTCACTCTTATGCACGCAGAATAAAAGGTACTCAGCAAACGAAAATGATTACTCATGACAGTTCTATTGATTCACGAATATCCCTCGATAGTGGAAGGTTCAAAAATGGATTTTTTTTCACAAACTAGAAACATACATTATTGAGTTTTGGACAGACTGTTCTAAGTGCTCTAAAATGCAGAATATTAATTGCACGTTTGGTCTGAAATTCTGAAAACGAGTTAAATTCGATCCATGATAACGCCTTCTCATTGTAAAGGGTTAATGTCATATAGAATGTCATATAGAATACATCGCATGTTGTAGAGTCATTAGGTTATTTTGATTCTGGAGACGTGAAAAATGAGCAACGTCCTCTGCGGGACTCGAAACCTGGACCACTCGAATACGCGCCGAGTCTGCTACTGTTACACTATGAAGGCATGCAGAAAGGAGGAAGAAAATACTTTATAATGTGTACACATTTTTAGAATGATTTTGGGGCTTTTAATTAATGTTTAAATTGTAAAGAGTATTTTATTAAATGTTCAATCGGATAGCGTTTATTCTTCACTGTAAGTCTGTATGGTAATTTCTATGATAGAAGGGTTTCTTCCACTACCTTGCAGAGGCCATCAATCGCGGTGAATTTGTGCCTAGAAAGAGCCAAACAGGCCAAAAGCGTAGTAGGCCATAGGTGAAACATCAGAGGACCTTTCAGGAATATGTAGAAAAGATATATATGTGATACTTGCATCAGTCTTCATTTTTTTGTCAATGAATACAATGATATTTTTCAAAATATGCCTTTTTGCTTTGTCTTGACGAAGTTTCATTCTTTGAAAATCATTAGGATAAATAAATGGAATTTCTTCTATAAATATTGAACGTTAGACTTTCTTATGATAGTACATTGAGTTGATTTTAACATTTCATTTCAATCTTCTTATTTTTAATTTCCCATTGTAAGAGAATCTTGCGACATTAATAAGCCTTTTACTGAAACTTTGTGTGCATTGATGGAACCAGGTTATACAGTTTTTCGTTTTTTTTTCGGTAATAAATAGAGCCTTTTTTGTTGCAGTCATTTACATAAATTCTTGCTTCATCGAAGGTTACAATGTATTTCCATTTATTTCCTGCTAAATAAATGTCATATTGTAGAATTCTACATATTGTTCTGCGTTGAGTCACGTGCCTTCTCGGCAAAAACTGGTGAAAATTATGTTCATTAGCTTTTTTAAGTGTGTAAATATTAGTTTATTATTTTATTTATTTTTGCTACAATTGTGTTTAAAGATTCTACCATTGATTTCTGTGTTGGCGAATTTTCTATTGTCACCAACGATAGAAACATTAGAAACAGAACGTACCTTAAAATTAGCGGAACAAAAGCTTGTGTTTGTCGTAGATTAGGCAGGAACTCAGACGATTTAGAGGGCAAACAGGTACAGGTTCTGCTTAATAAGAATCTATAAAATGTAAAGATTCTCTGCTGTCGAAATCGATAGAGCCTGTCTGAGCCTCGAAATCGAATACGTTATTGACTAAATCAACGCCAAACATAAGGTTATTGATTGTTTCTCTAATTTTGTGTTTCACTTTGGCGTGTTTCTCTACTTTTTTCGGATATTCGTTCGGAGTCTTCTTGGAGTTAAATTTAAAAGTAATGATTGACGATTTCTCCCTTTTCAACTAATAATATTGCTTATTTCTCGCTTAGAAATTTCAATATCATACATTTCATGAAGTTTTTAAATTATGAGATAGGAATAGTTTTTTTAGGAAAGCGCAAAAACACATGTTTTAATCCACAACCTTTTTTTCCATGTAACATTTTGAAAGAAGAATAAATAAAAAATAGCAGATGATATTTCGCATTTCAGGTAATAATATGTTACCAGAAATTTTTATTCCAAAAACCTTTGCTTATTGTAACTCTTTATCGAAATCATTCTAAAATGCATAAATTGCATTATTGATTCTACAGGCACTGCACATTTATTACATCTTAAACATATAACTTGGAGAACTGCATATATTTAAAGTAAAACATTAGAAGAATGGTCTGCCTTAGAACAGATATATATTAATTAGGGTTCTTGCAAAAGTTTTTCCATGCAGGATTCATAGGATTAGATATATCACTGCTATATTGTTTCGCTAGGCAGTTCGTTAGGAGAAAGTTTTGTTGTTTTTTATCTTGGTCAAAGATTGATTATCTGCAACACGTTTTTTTGAAAAGGAAAATAATATGTACTTTTATAACATGTGGGAGAGATACACGAGATAGTTAGCCAACTGAGTGTTTTTGAGTAAAAAATTTTAATGCAGGATTACATTTAAAATTATTGCTATAATCAAGAAAATGCATCTAAATTATCCACCAATAGTTAAAAACCCGAATCTTGATTGCGGTAGGAAAGATCCTCTGTACTTGGTGTCTGCAGAAGCGGTGCAAAGAAAATTTTTTTCTGTTTATTTAGGTAGGCAGAGAATGTCAATTGAATAGTGATTGCAACCCTGATGAATGTTGCGTGAGGAGGAATATACATCCTGCAAGATGCTTAAAACTAAGACAGGAAGGTGAGTGTATATACATGTTTTAGCTTTTTTCATTCTGTTAGTTAGTTGCCTAAATTTCTAAATTCCATATTGTAGTTACTTTGAAAAAAAAGTATGAATTGCAGAAATAATTATTCTGTAAAAGATTGGCTGGGTTAAAGATTAACAGCCGTGTTTCATGAATGTTTCAGTGCACAAATATTAAGAAATGGAACACGTTAAAAATTTGTTGATGAATAATTAAGTATAGTGTTTACAGTTTTTTAATATATTCCATAATTTTTAGTATATTCCACAATATTCTAAACTTTCACCTTTTTGGTTAATTCCATAATGTATACTAAAAAGAATAAACGACGTATTTCTTGCCATTCTCTGCCCTACCAATTTAATTCTAACAACAGTATAAATTCAGTAGTTTTCAGAAGATAAGAAAGCAATAAAAAGTATGAGAGAAACCAGTAATTTAAAAAACAGATTTGCATTCCAGTTAAGTTTTAGAGATTATAATTTCATCTGTAATTATGGAGATGTATTGATGTAAGCATCTCTTTCTCCGATGTCGACTGAAACATATCTTTGGCAAAATAAGACAATAATAATACGAGTATCTTTCGATAGTAATCACATTTGAGTAAAGCAAAGAAAGTAAAATTTTGAAATTGATGTTTAAGTTTCTTATACAAAAATCAGTCATTGTCGCTATAGTGAAGATGGGTGGTGTTACAGATGAATTCAAAGGAACTGCCTATTTGATACCGAAAAATCTGTGAAGCGTTTGAAGATTTGAGAGGAAAAAAATAGGGCTATACAATTTGAACCCAGTGCATCATTATCGTTGATGCGCGTTCGCCATTTTAGAGAAAATATGTGTTAACTATATTTCTGATAAAATGTGAGCTTAAAATATCTGCAGTAATAGTAGAGAGGAAGAGGTGGTGATCCAATTTCTAAGCATTTAACAGCTTCTTCCCTAATGACGCTTTCAGTAATTCTATCAATTAACTTTTATTATGTATTAACATTCAAAGGTTTTTGACGCGAACTTCACCGCAGATCACGAAAAATTCGTAATAACTCTAATTACACTTTAGAAACTTATATAAAATAAAATAGCTTTTTAACCTCATTAAAATAGTAACTTTCTGTATTTCTCCGCAGACAGTAATGCTTACATCATGACAGTGCTGTTTAGATGACTTTTTGGAATGATATCCAGGACTTTTATGCTTCGGCTTGAATGTCCTCTACGGAGCTGAAACAGGGAACCTTCATTTGCGATTTTTTGCTAAGGAAAAAATAGTTTTCTTTAAGTGCAATTAAAGAAATTGTCCTTTACATGTACAAATATAGGGAAGGAAGGATGTGGATTAGTATTATTGGAAAGAAATGTGAGGAAGGATGTGGATTAGTATTACTGGAAAGAAATGTGAGGAAGGATGTGGATTAGTATTATTGGAAAGAAATGTGAAGAAGGATGTGGATTAGTATTATTGGAAAGAAATGTGAGGAAGGATGTGGATTAGTATTATTGGAAAGAAATGTGAGGAAGGATGTGGATTAGTATTATTGGAAAGAAATGTGAGGAAGGATGTGGATTAGTATGACTTTCCTTTGTATCAAAACTTATTGTGTTTTCAGGACACTGTAGTTTGGGGCTTCATTGAGTTGAAACAGGTGATTTCTCATATCACACAGGGCATCGGTATTTCCATGTGATGATCCCCTTCGATGATATTTGTGTCCTATTTCTGTAGTCTCTTTATCCATCTGGTTATTTGGTCTTCGAGATTCTTGATATTTAAAAGCCAGATTAAAGACGCATGATCTGTGCGAAGCAAGAATATTCTGACGTAGAAATAATAATGCAAATATTCTAGGGCTTTAACTAAGACGAGCAACATTTTTCAGGTGACAAAGTAATTTCCCTCCATTTTAGATAGACACTTGCTCTTGTATGCTATGACATGTTCTTGATCGTTTACTTCTTGGGAAAAAACAGCCCCGACAATCTTATTGTTCGCCCTTGAGTCCAGAATAAATGGTTTGTCGAGCGGCAGATGCGTGAGGATATTCGCAGATGTTAAAGCTTTCTTCAGTGTGTTAAATGCTTTCTCACCTTTTTTTATTCACAAGAACTTTTGCTTGCTCTCTGTCAGCTTGTAAAGGGGTGTTTGGATGGAAGAAAAGTCCTTCACAAATCTCCTGTAGTAAAGCAATGTCCCACGAAACTCCTCAGCTACTGTACATTTTCAGGGCGTTTTCAATCTTTGACTGCCAACACCTTTTCTGGATACGGACACTCTTTCGAGAGAGATGACATGTCCGTCTTATTTGAATATTTGGATTTGGCAGTACGTAACTTTAGATTGGCTTCTTTCAATTTCTGAAGCACTTTTATACTCTTAAAAAGTTTGCTGACGACGATGATGTCATCTAGGTATATTACACAGGCATCGTAAGAAAGATCCCACACAGTCTCCATAAATTGTTCGAGTGTTGCCGGCACATTATATGATCCAAACGGAATCACCTTGAACTGCCATATTTCTTATCCGATAGTAAATGCTGTTTTTTTCAGTCATGAGGGTGTATCTCTACGTGCCAATATCCACTCTTTAGATCAAGGGTCGAAAACCACTTGCTTCCAGAAAGAGTTTCCAGAATGTCGTCAGTTCAAGGGAGAGGATAGTTGTCTTTCTTCATAACCTCTTTGAAACGGCGATAGTCAACGCAAAATCTAGTTGAAACAACTTTCTTTTTAACCAGGATGACGGGAGAGGCCCAATTTTCTGATTTCTGATGATTTCTGAAGGGTTAAAAACATCAATTTCTTGCATATCCTATGGATAATTTTCTATCTCTTCCTATTTAGCAATCTGTAGATGCCTTGGATATTGCTTGTTGGTGGATGATCACCTGTATCAATTCTGTGCTGTGTCAAACTGGTTCGACCTATGTCAGAAGATGAGCAAGAGAAAAACTTCTTGAAATTCTTAAATGATACGTTCAGCACCACTCTGCTCTTCATCGCTTACTTGTGCATTCTCCAATAACTCCGATATTAAGGTGCCCGAAGTTGCGGCTTCGTTTAATGCAGGCCACTGAAGGACATGCTGCAAACACTTCACCATTCTTAATGACTTTCGCTTTATCAGTTACATTGGCAATTCTAACGGGCATAACGGTCCTCGATAGATTGAGCAGAGGCTGCTAGTACTCGTTTCGAGCTCTTACAGTTAATGGGATATTAAATGATGCTGTACAGGTTATTTTTGTTTTGAATTATAGATATGGGTAGTAAAATTATCTTCTTGCTGCTACTATGATATCGTTTTGAATTATTATTAGATATATGAATTTAACTTTAATTCCGAATTGAGTTATGCCTTCAGAGGCAGAATGCAGTCATTTGATTTTAAATTTCAAGGAAAAATTGTATTTCCGTCCAATCTGAGTATGCAAGAATCTGTAATATCTGCCACATACACCATCTTATGGTAGGTGACATTTGTAAACGTGTTTTTAATCTTTCACTGCAAGTTTCGATTTTATCACCAGAGACAGTCTCTAGGATAAGGCAGGATAGCTTCCAGATGAGTTTCCCTTTCAGCTGTTGAGCTAAATCTTTCCGGATGACGGAAACATTGGCTCTTGTATCGATGGTCATATTGCAAGGAGCTCCACTGATTTTCCCAAGATGGAAAGTCCATTACTGAATCCAGAAATCGTATTCCAGAAATCTGTACCGCTTTAAAATAGGGCTTCTCAATATATGGCCATTTCCGCTTCGCGAGTTGGCTATTAATTTGTTTCCTGTATCTTTGTTCGAAAGCTGTCGAATTGTCCATGCCTTTGGTGTTCTGCAGTTACTTCGTAAGTGGAAGTATTGCTAATATTTGACGCTGTGATAATGCTTCTTCCTTTTCTTTCACTATTGGTTTTTATAGATTTAAATAAATTATAGTTAGTAATTACTCGATGAGTATTAGTGATGTTTTCAGTACTATTAAAGGTTTGGAAAATACGAGGACCGTATTTCATAAATTCGATGTTCTTCATAGTAAATAGCCTATTTAAATATTATTAGGTTATTATGATTTGTGTCGGAAAACGGAGTAAAATTCCGTTCTATAATGTCCAGATTCAGTGAATCTCTTTTAAGAGATGAAGCTATTGATATAAAAATAATGATATCCGATATTATAGTAATTCTTATCGAGGTTTTGAGTGTAATTGTTTGACTTCTGAATGCCCATGGTGGTCCTGCATTCTGTCAGATATATAGCATTTTATGTAGCTTGGTAGTCGCTTTTTTTATCTGTTGTATCCGTGATCAATAAACAAAATCTATTAATATTTAAATACATTAATGAAAAAGAAATTCGAACACCAAGAAAAAACATTATATTAGCTTAATGAAATTTCCGCAATACATTTTCTAGGTAACATATTTAATTGATAATTTTCGAGATCACAGGATAATGCAAGGGCGAGAAGAGCCATTTTAAATGCAAAATACTGGTACATTAATAACCGGTGTAACTGCCAGAATTTTGAATGCAAACGTGCATGCTTTGTCTCGTGCTGGTGCCAGATGTCATTTTTTGGGATAGCGTTGCATGCCTGTTGATCTTTGTCAGTCAATACAAGGAAGTTTAATTCTGGTTGCATATGACACTGAGTTGCCGTCCAATAATGTCCCCTACGTACTCGATTGTAAAATGATCTGGTGCTCTAGCAGGCCAAGGCAACTTGTCGACAATCTGTAGAGCATGAGGGCGAGCGTTACCCTGTTAGAAAACATTCCCATGAATGCTGTTCATGAATGGTAGCAGACCTTGGTGTACAAATTTGCATTAAGTGTGTATGGGATAAACATGAGAGTGCTCCTACTGTCATACGAAATGGCTGCCCAAAGCATATCTCCAAGTGTAGGTCCAGTGTATCTAGTTTCCACGTTGCTTGCAGGCGCTCACCTGGCGTCCTCCTAACCAACACACGGCCATAACTGGCACCAATGTGTAATCGTCTTTCATCAGAACACATAACAGATCTCCATTCTGTCCTCCTTTGAGCTCTAGCTTGACCCCAATGTTGTCGCAAACGACGGTGGTTTGAGAGCAGTTGAATGCAGCTCGTCTGGCTTAAAGCTGCCCTTCAAGTACCGATTTGTAGCAGTTCGTTGTATCACTATGGCTCCAACTGCAGCTCGAATTTCTGCTGCAGACGCAGTACGATGCGCCATTGCCATACGCCGAACATAGCTGTCTTTTCTCTCAGTAGTGCCACTTGGCCGCCGGGAACCCGGTCTTCTTGAGCCAAAGTCTTTCTGTAATTTTGCGGAAAGAAAATCCACCTTCTCGTAGCCCTATTACGTGATCTGGTTCAAACACACTGAGATGTTGATAATGACTTCTTCGTCTTTTTAAAGGCATCATTCTTGACTAACTTCAACTCACTACGTAAATTTTCAATGATAAATAACGCTCACGAACCTTACAGCGCGTATTTAAAGCAAACCTGATTTGCATGTTCATAATGGTGCTACTAGCGCCACACTTAAGCGCGGAGTGAGAAATTTAAATATAGGTCATTTTTCAAACGTATAAACACGACTACCAAATTTCGTTTATCTAGCACAACTCCTTAGGGCTGGGATTTTTTTATTCCATCAATGCATAGTTGCTGTGGCATTGCAATACGTTAGACGTCCAGTAATCTAGAGCGCAATAAGTTAAGCTTCAACTACCGACTTCTCTAAACAGATCAGTTAATAATATTTATTTACCATTCAAACTGGAACCTCCAAATGGAAAGCTTGCTCACGAAATTGAGAAATTGAGGGTTTTTAATAGAATAGAACTAAACACAATCAGTAAAATCGGTAGGATTCCAAAGTTGTTCTAAGGAGCAATAATAATAATTCTTGGCTAGCATCCATTTGTCTTTACACACTGTTTCATCTTTCACATCAAATTAATCTGCATTTACTGAAAGAATAAATGTAACTTAAGATGAAGAGAGTCGATGCGGCAAGCCTATTTAAAATGCTATTCTTTATCAAAATTATAAGTAAAATAAATAAAAAAAATTAAAAATCTTACTACAAGCCATGAGTTTTTTTAAAACGTTTCGTTTACGTCATACTGTCATAAAAAGTCAGTTATCATTCCTTTAAAAAGAAATATAGTAAACATAGTGTTTGAAGAATGCAGTGCATGTTTTTTCTCAGATCTTTAAATTCAAATTTTTTAAAATTTCTGTTAGAAATTAAAAATATTTTGACATTTTATACGAATTTTTTAGAAATTAGTATAAGAAAATTGTTCATTAGCTTGATTTTTGGTTGGACAGCGACAAGTTTAAATTATATATCTTGGAACTGGCTCTCGTATCTGGTAGTTTTAAAAACGAGTAAGTTTTATATAATTTTAATTTGACTAGGCGCGGGAAATCGACAAGGAAAGGTATTTGAGAATTTGATAAAACAGCTGGCACAAAACCGTCCTACATATTCATCAACTATTCATGAAACTTTTCTGTCGCAGTGTGACTCAGAGCCAGCTGGAGAAACAGCATCTTCTTGGAAGATTATGATTTTATTTGTTTTGAATTTGACTGCCCTTGGTGTAAAAAAGCGTGCGCTCGTGGAAATCTACAACAGGAAGCTACCTTTTTGACTAAAATTTATGCTTGCAGGTTCTCAAAAATGTATTTGAGTCACGCTGTTTTAATTCTAATGTTGTTAGAAATATAGTTAAATTTTAGATGCTTTTAATTATCTCTCGACTTAAATAGAAATTCTGTTAATTAATTAATTAAAAAAATCTGTTAATTAATTTAAAAATAAGCAGTAAATTTCATAGAATTTTGTAGAGAAGCATAAAACAGGACTAAAATAAAAAATTGTCCAAAAAAGTTATTCCCTTATTTACTATGAAATGGAAGTATATTTTGTTATCAATTTTGAATTTTTTATATTTCTTAGGAGCTGAAGCATCAACTGGTCAATATGGAATCATGTTTTAGTTGTGCTGCAATTAAAAAGCATGTTTCACTTAATAAAAAAAAGAAAATTCTCTTTTTTATTGTAATTTATAATTTTTTATCTCAAACGAACATCTATTCCAGAGCTTGCTTTTTGTCTTTCTTATTCTTTTTGTCTTTACTTTCTGAAATACATCACATTTAAATATTTTGAATCATAAGTAATGTGTATAAAATACAACGGACATGAGAAAAGCAACAATATTTTGAGATGATTTTTATTTATTGTGTGAAAATTTCTTACTGTAAAATGGCATTATAAGTATAAAACCATACTTTAATAATTTAAAAAAATTTTTTGTTTATCATTTTGTGAGACTTTAATTTACCATCTCTTTAAGGGGAATACTGTGTTCTTGAGGATGAAGGGAAGGAAGAAAGCGAGTACCGTCACATGTGCCCTTGTGCAGAAGGACTAACATGCGGAAGGAAGGCAGATAATCGACAATATGTACGTCTTCATTACTTCTTTTGAAATTTTATATTGATTGTCTGACCTCTTAGCATATTAAACTTAAAAACTGTCATATCGTATCAGATAAAAGAAACTCTCAGAATTAATAAATAATAAAACAAATCCATCAAATTAAAACTAAATATAAGCATATAGATTTTTTATAAAGTATTGAAATACAATAAATCGAACACTCCTGTTAACGCTCAGTTGTCTTTACTACAAAATCATATTACATGAAATTGCCTTTCACTGAGATCGTGTTAAGAAGACCTTTATTGTATTTGCTCACTCTGGAATTCTGGAAAGAAGGGGAATAAGAAATGAATTTAAATTGATTTGAAAATCTAAATATAGTGATATATAAATCTCTTTATTAAATTGATTCATGCGTTCTTCATTGAACCTTAATTACAGGATGAATAATTGAAATAATTACCCTTAATTGTAGCCAAAAATACAGTTATCGTCTCAAAAACGAAAGAGATTTGTCCTTTTATTCTACTCCACAAAAAAAGGAGGGGGGGGGTGAGACAAAACAGAAACTTGTGTATCTCAGATGCGTTTTAAACACAATGTCAGATTTATCTAATGGCTATCTATGTCTTTTTTAATTTAATGATATTTTTTTGCTTTAGTAAATGCTGTTTAAAGATGCTTATTCCCTGAATAAAATTTTCTTATATCGTGTAATGCAATTTCTCATAAGTCTTCGTTGTTTTCCCTCTTGTAGCATTATGAATTATATATAATCTTGTACAAAAGTATTTCTTTCATGTAAATTGAACATATATGACAAGTAACCTAACAAATAAATAATTGCAAATATTCGCACATTGCCCAATAATTGAGAATGCAAAAATCTGGAGACGTTTAGAAATCATTTTACTAAACAATAAATTACGCAAAAAACAGCATTCCGTGAAATTATAGATCCAAAGACCGAAGTTTAGGGAACGCGGCGTTAAAAACTGCAAGTGAAGTGTTGGAATACGAGTTGGAAAATGGTTTCAAGAAAATGTTTTACAACGTTTATTCGTTTTATTTATTTTGGACAAAGCTCAGGGAAATTGGTGATATTCTGCGTTGAATATTTGGGATTATGAAGCAACACAACTATTGAGTGGCGTAAATTACAAAAGATAAGTGTGCATGTCTTGCCTGCACAAAGTATAAAATATATTGCTTTGGACTGCTGAATATCCATGAAATGTAAAGATAAGAAAACAAACGTTTTACTGCCAATCCACAAATTCACCAATATTTTGGCGACTCATCGTGAGTCAAAATCTACGACTAGAAAATTTAGCTCATATAGAAGAAGAAATTTACTTGTCATTTCAACTTTATTCATATTTATTCTCTTTGAAAAGGTTTTTCGAGCTTGGCTATAGGGTTGCCTAGCTTTTTGGCCAACCTGTTTGTATTGTAAATTCCCCATATATATATTACTCTTCAAATTGCCACATTGTCTTTCAGTATGTCATCAAACATACTCAAACAGTGGCTCCCATGATGGTGCTCAAACCATCATGGGAACCACTGTTTTGAGAAATACACACCAAAGTTATGATTACATGCAAAACATTTAACAAAATTCGAAAATAAAAATTTCAAAGGTGTAAGTATTTTGAAAATGGCGTTGAAATCTCCTTGAGTATTAATGACCGGGATAATAAACTTACATCTTGAATCTTATCTAATATATCTAATATAAGGTAATTCCAATGAATATGGCTGCTAAGCCAGATATATATGCGAATTCAAAAAAGTTTAACTTCTATAATGTTATGTTATTTCATTTCAGAGTCCTTTCATCACTGTGAGCATCTGCAGAAAAGTCACTGAATGAATCACTTGGTTAAAGCTATGTGCTGATACGCTTTGTTTCAGTAAAACTCAAATGCCATTTTTAGCAAAATATATAAGGAAAAATACTTTATTCTTTTATTCATATAGTATAGTACGCTGTATTACCTCCAATGATATTACATAAATTTGAAAATATTTAATGTTATTTTGGATGTAGAAACTGAAGTCCAGTACAATAATCGAAATTTTGCTGGAGTAAGATGTTATGTAATGTGATAATGTTATGATAAATGTTCAATAAAAAGAAGTGTTGTTAAAATTGTATTTTTATTCCATACTAGATGTAGAATGGCGAAGTGGCAAAACCTCGCTAATATTATACTAAGAAATAAATGATCATATAAAATTATCCAAAATAAAATGTACTGTGGAAAATACTTTTGCAATTACACGAACAAAAACGTGACATTTGTTTAATTTAATATACGTATAATAAGATGAGTACAATTGAGCTATCGCAATAAACGGCATATTATAAAACATACGTAAAATTTAAATTCATTCTGTAAAGACATTAGATATTTTTTTGAAGCAGCCAAGATGAAAAATGAGCAATCGCCTTTGCCGGGAATTGAACCACGGACCTCTGGAATACCCGCCCAGCGTGCAGAACCACTACACTCCGAAGGCACGCTAGGAAGGCGGGAGAAATACCTTATAATTCTTCAAATATGTATATAAAGATACTAAAATGTTTATTCAGTTTTTAAAAATTTTGTCTATACTATTATTAATAAACAAAAAATTATTTATGCTTGATTACTACTAGACTAGTATGTGACTACTGTTACTCGTATCTTTCCTTGTATAGAACGTTGTTAGATTCACTAATTTAGTAAATGCAATTTATCGATTTTAACGTAAAAGTTGAATTGCTGTATATGAAAATACTTTTCAAATTCTCGAAGGTATATTTAACGCTTTCCTTTTTGCGTATTTGCCATTCTCATTATAAGCGCACTGGTGGGAGTAATTTTTGATTAGTTCGCACTCAGTGAATTACTGCTTAAGATATAAAGTTAAACCTGATTTCATTTATGCTAAACATTTATTTAACCTTCCCGGACTGCGAATGAATTGTTGTCCCTTCTTTATCTTGTTCCCTAAAACACTATGTAAATATAACAGAGGTAAAATTAGCTAAGAGCTTATTTGTAATTTGATCTACATTACATAACTTATCAACCACTTGCTGCGGGATGAGATATAAAAAGAAAAGAAATATTTATAAAACAAATAGATTGGTTTGGTTTATTTAATTACGGCAAAGCACACTAGGACTATCTGCTTAAGGGGAGGGATGCCTTCGTGGAGGACTTTCTAAAATAAACTGGCTTGTACACACGTTACACATGGGGAAAACCACGAAAACGCCCATGCAGGCAGCCGTTCGCGGGATTCGAACCTCGAACCGAACTACCAGTGTTCAGCGACTTTGCCGCTCGGCCGCTGGGGCGCCAAAAAAAAACAGAATATTAGAGACTAATAACCTGGCTTTAACATGGCTTCGAACGGTCAATGCTAGCCAAAGCTAGAAATTCAGCAAAATTAATACACCTGCTATTGCAGCTGAAATACACTGATTGCCATAAAAATTTGCGCACCAAGAAAGAGTTGTCAGAATGAAACAAAATTCCCCATATGTAAGTACTACTTTGATATAAGTAAGTTATTAGAAAATCAAAGAAAAAAGAAACATTTATTGCAGAAAAAAGTACAGAGGAACGGAAGTTTTAGTACTCTGTTGGACCACCTCCAGCGCGAATGCACTATGCGATACGAGCGGGCATTGAGGCATACTACTTCCGTATGATGTCCTGAGACATCGCGTTCCACAGTTGCTGTAAATGCGCCTCTAGTTCGGCCAATCTCGTAGGCTGTCCAACTTGCCATCCCAAATGATCTCGCATATGCTCGATTGGTGTCAAATCTGGGGATCGAGCAGGCCAGGTAAGGGTGTTAATGTGGCTAAGGCAGTCTGCGAGATTCGTGCTGTGTGTGGCCTAGCATTTTCGTGTTGAAAACAGGCTCCTGGAAGCCCTGTCATGAGTGGCAACACACGTAACTGAAGGATGTCCTGGACGTACCGCTGACCTGTCATTGTGTCATCGATCAATATTAGGGGTGACCGTGTATCGTAAGCAATGGCACACTATACCATCACACCTACTGTGGGAATGGTGTGTCGCTGTAAAGCGAAGGCAGGATTGAGGCGGTCAACACGGGACCTTCACACACGAACACATTGTCATTAGTGGTCAAATTGAATCTAGATTCGTCGCTGAATACGGCCTGGTTCCTTTCCGTTAAATTCTGTCGTGCGCGACACATTCCAAACGGAGGCATCGGTGGGTGGGTGTCATTGGCAGCACACGTAATGGCAACCGCGATACCAGATGTCCTTCAAGTAGGCGCCTTGCGATGGTTCGGGAATACACAAGGGTCCGTAATGAAGCTGCTGCCTGTGTCTGGATAGAGGCCAATGAGGCAGTTAGCTCTACTCGTGCGTGTCGTACGATGTGACGGTCTTCTCAACGACTGGTCTGTCGAGGGCGTCCTGAGCCTGGTCGCCGTGTAAATGACGTCGCTTCTGTCCACTGGTTCCAACACAGCTTCACAGCAAAATCAGAACAGCCTACCTGACGAGCTACTCGCCGAGCTGACCACCCAGCATTCATCGTCCCTATGATTCTTCCCCTGTCGAACTCCGCTGATATTGGCTTCGATGGCGGCTTAGCGGCATTTCTACTTTAGCGTTTCCTTAGCAAAAGATTAAGTACACTGAAAGAAGCTCTGCTTATCTGTTCTATAACTCCAAGAAGAACGAAATTCAACGCCGTCTAGTGACATTACGCAATGCTCAATCACGCTGCATTTCTAATCATTTGCATATCTATCCGACATGTACCATCAAACCAAGTTTCGTTACGATCCCACAATTATTTCTTGGTGCACAAATTTTTATGGCAATGAGTGTATAAGAGTTGCAGCATTACTAGGTGAGTTACCAATCCTCTCTCTCTCTCCCTAACCTGCATTTGCGTTCTTACTCCTTATTTAAACTCGTTTGATTTGCATTACGCTGGAGCTGATAAAAAAGAAGTGCAGGACAGTTCAGCATAAGAAATATCGTGCAAATTTATGTTAATCTTTCAAAGATATATATAAACTTACTCAAATAAATTTATTTAAACTACAAAAGTATCATGTATTACCAAATTATTGAATTTTTCGTATAGATTTACTTTAGGTATGTTGCGCAGTTTTACTAGAGCAGTAGTCTGCGGAAATTATGTTCCGTGCATCAAAATAAAAATTCGAAAAGAAGATTATAAAGTGTTCACACTAGTTGACTATTTTTTATTAATTAAAAAATATAAAGATACATTTAGTTATAAAGAAGTTTTAAAACTTAATATAAAAGTGTTAAAAATTATGCAAAGGAATATCTTTTGCAATTGTATGTAAAAGATTATTTTCACGCACAGCTATAAACATTTTAATGCTCTTCGAAATAACTTTTTGAGTGAAAAATCTTTCTCAACGTATGTGGCAACAAAAGCAAAATGTAGAAATGAAAACAGAATATGAAATGCGATTCCAGACAACATGCATTATATTTAGTGACAGGGAATGCAAGCAATTCCCTGCCACTAAATATAATGCAAGGGTAGGTGATACCTGAAGAACGAGCTGATGCTATTAATGAGTAAATTACATTAATTTTACGTTAAAATTTTAAAAAATGAAAGTATTAACATATCTTTAAAACAAAATAAAAAACTCACTTTCTTGCAAATAAAATTAAGCAACAATGTTATTATTTTTCTTTTAAATGAAGACCTATTTCTATGCCCACGGAAGTAAAACAATGAAATTAATTTTTTTTAAATGTAAAAGCCTATAATATTGTTTATATTTTTATTCTACTAGCAATAATCAATGACATTACTTTTATCTATATAAAACAAAATAAATAATCTTCTAATTAACTAACTATAAATTCAATTTAATTTACTAATAACTATAGTATAAATACTTACTATACTGTAAATTAACTATAATATACTATAAATTAATAATATAGTAGTAATTATAAAGTATTTTATATTAACTACCAATGCCAAATTCAACTAAAATTTAAAAAAAATTTTCTGTCTTTGTAAGTGTAAAATCTTAGGATATTAAGAATGAACTCTCTATGATATATTATTAATTTTTTAACTTAATATTGCTTATTCAAATAAATGAAAAATTTGAAAAGATGAATAACTGCAGTTTTGAGAAACTGCCATGGAGGTAATAGAAGTTCTACTGCACCTAAAAAATTACAAATACATATTAAATACATATTCATAAAATATTAGGTTCTGCTCTGTACGGCTACGCTACACTTGAATATAAGAAAGATCATCAGGTAACTCTATAGATTGATATCAATAAGATAGGTTGGTTTCAGTTACTGAATATTGCTTTTTTGAGCTGTTTTTTCTTATCCAGTCTGCTGACAAAAGCATATTTTATCAGTACATTTTATTTTATAAAAAGGATCTCTGATATATCATTATACAAATTTTATTTTATCTTTTTATAAGAGTTCATTCTTGTAATTTAGCTTTTAGCAAATCTTTTTCAAAATTAAGCATGAAATGCGTAAGCAAAAATTAAAAATAATACATACTCATTCATTTTTGCAGATTTTTGTTAAATGCTTATCTTCTACACTGGAGAAAACGAAGATGAGACATCTGCAAGTTTAACATCAACTTGCAGATGTCTCATCTTCATTATAATAAAACATATCCTAATCAGTAGCTGAAACTTGCAAAATATCCAAACTAAAAATACTCTAAGATTGCCTTAAACGGTTACAGATGGTTTTGATATTTTGTCAAGGTGGTCACTTTACAGAATATGACTAGCGGTGATGCTCAAAGCAGTTAGTTAATTATGATTTCAAAAATACTGGTCATTTTTTGAAGAAGAGAAAACCTCTCTTTGCAAGAGATTTTGCAGTTATAGAATTAGTTATATACCTTTCATAATTCATTTTATTCAAGCAAATTGTAAAAGAATAAACAATTATCTTTAATTTTAAGAACGAAGATTTATAATGCGAACATAAATTAATTTAATTTCTATACTTTAATTTTCCCTATCTGTGGGAAATCTTAGAATGTTAAAAGACTGACATCATTGTTCTTGTTATTCTATTTATATTGCTTGAATAAAAAGTATTATTTATCTGCATATTTTTTCTGCAATCTACATTTAAAAATTAAAAATTATTAACAACAATATTAATGGAAACTTCAGAATGAATATTGGAGGCATAAGCAAAAAATATAAACACAATAAAAGAAACTTCTGATAAGGATTGCTGTGTAAATGATGTAAATTAAACCATTTTCATCTTATAAAACGAAAATTAGAAACCAGCTGAGAATTAGAAATCAGCTCAATAAAAAATAAATTAAATCTTTGGAGTATAAAAAAATAAATTCAGTGATATTCGAAATATCTGGTCGTAAGGTACGTTTTGCGCCAAAAAAACGTTCCTTACGATAAGTTAAAAAGAAAACATGAAACATTAAAGTTAGAAAAGAAAACATGAAACAGTAAAGTTAGAAAAGAAAACATGAAAGCAGCACCTTTAGTTACGGGTAGTAATCATCCTCCAAATCTATGATTTTCTGCCAAGGTTTTGGTAGTTTTACAAAGCCTTCGGGACCAGAAACTTAGTGGCCCTGATTCCAGTAACAAATGAACCTCATTTCAGACATCCTGTGCAGAAGGGAAAATAGCACCAGCAAGATGTCACAGCAAGTGTGAAAAAATGTAGAAGTCCCGAAGGAACGATGTTGAAGCTAAGTGGTGAGTGTGGAAAAAATCCCACTCGAGTCCAGTCGATGAATGCAGACACATGTGGTCTTGCATTATCTTGATGGAACATTACTTTATTGCGCCAGAATCCATTCCGATGCTTTTCCTTGATAATAGCGTCAACACGGACTAGCATCTCGCTGTACACTATATTGTTGCGGGTTTTACCATTTTTCAGATACTCTGTGGATAATACCACGGCAAACAGATACAAAACATGATCTTTTCGTTAGTCAAATTGCGCTTTGCAACTCTGCTGACGGGCACATCGGGCGCAGACTAACCTCCTTTTCGGCCTGTGTTGCTGAAGTAAATTCACGTTTCATCACAAGTGACGATCCGGTCCGGACAGAATTCTGTCCTTGCGTTGACATTCGACATTAATGCAGGCCCGAACACATCTGTTCTTATCTGCTTCAAGCAACTTATGCGGCACCCAGCGATTGAACTTGTACGTCAAACTTATGCGAAGTATAGCGCAACTAGTGGAGATGGCACTAACGTCGAACTTCTTAGCAAGCTGTCAAAGCGGTTGCGTACTGATCTTCTTCCACAAGTTCTAGCAGGCCGGCTTCATCAACATCGGTAGGCCAGCCAGAGCGCTCTGCTTCCTGTACGTCATAGTCCTTGGTTTTACCAGACTTTCGGTACCAAACTTTCACAGTGTCATATGATACAACATTATTACCTAAAGTTGCACACATGATTTGGTGATATGCTGTTGCTGACCTTTTGCAATGATTGTTCTAAGTAAATGATTGTTCTAATCTGGTAGCGTGATAGTTCCATTTCAGACACCTTGCACATAATGATAAAGATATTGTTTTTACATATTTCACAATACAATGTTATAAAGCATATACAGTGCATATACAGTGTTATAAAGTCTTACTCTTCCATATGCCAGAAAGCGTTTAATAAAATTGATTAAACATACCAATGGGAACTGTTTGCGCAGACTATATTTGCAGTGGCGGGAAACTTTCGTTGAAACTCGATGTATCTTTGGAGTTATCACAATATTTTCACAGAAAATTATAAAAGATAAAAAATTAATTTGAGAAACCAAAGAATGATTCATATTAGCAACGAAATACAAATGGAGTAAAAAACATCAATTGATTTTTTTAGAATAACTTTTTAGTTATTAGTGGACATTTAAATGCATTAGTTTAAATCATTATTATTATTTAATAATTATGTCATTAATTGCAGTAATAACAGAAGTTCACGAGAGAAGAAAATTTTCAAAGGACATTTACCGCAAAGAAAAGACAAGGAAAAGTCAAAATAATTATTAATAAGATAATTATTAAGACATAATTAATAAACTCCTCAACATTATTAATAAACTACATTATAATAAACTACAGATATAAAAACCACATTATTAATAAACTCGAATATTCTAAAACTTAAAATTTCGTGGTTTAGCATTCCTGAAAATGATAATTCTAATGCAAATGTTACCTTTTAGAATCTGTGCGCAAACACTTAATGTGTGTAACTGTTTCTCACTTAAAATGTTTATCTGATACATACCATTTAAACCACATTATTATCGTTTAATCCCGAGGTACAGTGTACTTCAGAATGATATCTTAACTAAATATCTCTGAAATATTTGACCGTAAGCTCATGGATCTAATTTTAAAATGACTGAAATAACAAAGTTTTTTTATCTACATCAAATTTGGTTACATTCAGTTGCTCAGAAAAATAAATCTGAGTATAGAAAATGTCATTGTAGTATAAAATTTTCATTGCCAAATTAGAAAATAAGCTCAAGATAATTACTACACATATTAGGGCTCATGTACAAATTGAAAAGATAAGGTCATTCACGTTAAGGAGGTGGAAACAATGACATAATTGACTGTTCCCTTTTTCCTTTTATACGATAAAAATGATTTTATACGATGAAAATTTACCTAAATTAAACGGTAACTTCCTTATCAGAAGTTTCTTTTATTGTTCAATAATATTTACTTATACCTCCATATATATTATGAAGTTTCCATTAATGATATTATTAATAATTTTTTATTTCTCAAAATAGATTGCAGAAAGAATATGAAGTACAGATAAATAAGATTTTTTTTCAAGCAATATGAATAGAATAACATGAACAGTGATGTCAGGCTTTTAACATCCTAAGATTTCTCACAGATAATTTCCTTTAGGTATGGAAAAATTAAAGTATAAAAATTAAAATAATTTATATTCGTATTATAACTCTTCTTTGTTAAAATTAGAGCTAATTGTTTATTCTTTTACAATCTGCTTGAAGAAATGAATTATGAAAGGTATACTTTAAACAAAAGATTTTAAGAAACATTCCTGTTGTCTTATTATTCATTAAACAAAATACCTGTACGTAGTAATAGAGAGCACGAAGATATGGAATTAAATATTCTTTGCTTATACAATGAATACCAACTTTGCAGAATGAAATTTTATCTTGAAAAACAAATTAAGAAGTATCTATATAGTTTTAAAATACAGTTCGAAATGTGAGAGCAATCATAAAACAAAATTTTAAATGGTGAACTAAAATGAGTATTTTCTTTTCTTTATTAAAATCTAAAAATACGTAAAAAAGTACATCATATATGAGATTTTTAATATATATTGGAAGTTTTAAATTACTATCTAATAAAAATAAGATATCTGGAAGTTCACATGTTGACGCCTTTTCACAAAGCGACTAACTTAAGATTAACTTGCTGTCGGAGTATCGAGTTCTGTTCTTTTCTCTATCAACAATGGAAGCTCTTTGACGCTTAACAATCCAAAGCCTGGAATATACTCTAGAGGTTCCTAGAGAGAAAAAAATCACATTAACAGTTTAAAAATTTTCCTGATAAATATGAGTAAGAATACACAAATGCAAGTTATAAAATTTTAAGCTCAAGGTATTTAAAACACTACATATTTCTGTTTGCGTTAAAATTGCAAGCATATTTCAACAAGAGGGGGAAGTCTCTGCGGCTCAAAACTGTCATCTTTAAACAAAAAGCAATATAGCTATTCATATTTCTGTTTTGGAAATTGGTCTTGAAGGTTTAAAATGTATGTAATTATAGAATTATGTCTTTGTAATTTATGGTTTAGTTAATTAATTGTTAGTTAGGAGAAATGTCTAATGAATTTAATTGTAGCTGATTTTATCATAAAAGATGTGACATCAAATGACAGTAACATAACTACCTTCTTAATAAATTAGTTGAATATTACCACATTCTTTAAGTGCAATATTAACTCATTGGAAGACTTTATTTTACAGAAAAGTAACAGAGCAGCTCTTTTTAGATGCTTGGAAAAATCCAAAATTAAATTAGTAGATTTCATTCCGAAAGAATGGACCACCGGGTTTTGGATAATAAAGAATAGCTTCAATGCTATCTAACCAAGTACACAGAAATCATCAACAACAGCACACATGCGTAAATTCCGTGAAAATTTTCGCCAAAGAATTCAAAAGAAATAATTTTTAGTGTAAAGTACTCTTCTTATAAAACTTGTTACAACGATGTTTCCAGACAGTACATTTTTTTAGCTGCCCTATTAATGACATGGCAAGATGACAATTGACAAGTTAATTCTGAAGGCGCTCGTATGATGTGTTCACATTTAACTCGTATACCAATAATTACGTAAAAATAAAAGGTCAGATGGCTTATGAGTTTGGACTAATTGAACCTTCTTTGGTGACAATTGCTAACTTAAAAGAAAATTTTCTGTAAAACGTGGTTAGCCGAAAACAACAAAGATGAAAAGTAAACTAGTGAAAGTAAGTGATCGCGAAAGAGAAAAAGGACGGAGGCAAAAATGTGTTAGATTACTCGCCGATGAAACCAAAATCCTCTTATATGTTTTTAGAACTACAATTTTTAAGCCCATTTGTTACGATTTAAATTCCTTAACTTTCGTTTTCGTCAGTTCGTTTGGAAAATGGTGTAACGTTTTGCGCGCTACGCTACGCAAGACAAAAAATTTTGTAGAGTTTGTAAATTTTGTAAACTTTAAATCTCTGGATATTCTTGCTCATGTGCAGACTAAAAATATATATTGTTTGATGTGGTCAGTGCGATTAGTATTTTCAGACCGGACACCTCTACATCATATTATTTTTGCAAATTTATGTCACTTTTGTGTTATTTTTTGTATATTTAGGCTGAATGCATGAAGACCTAGTCAAACTACACCACCTGGCTTCGGCACTTTGAAAATGTTCTTCAGAGAGAAAACTCTAAAAAGAGAATTAGGATAAGACTGTGTGAGAACTGGATTTGAATTGCATGCAAGCATATCAAACAGGGACGGAAGTGTCGTTTCATAATTTGTGTATTATAATTTTTGTTTGCTTTTTATTATCAAATTAGTATTTTCGCTGTTTAAATTAATTCTGAAGGTTAAAAGAAATCTGGAATCTACAAGACAACAACTATCTTTTGGAAAGAACAAATCAACTGGTCAAAATCCATCTTGTGAAAGCATAAATAGTAAAAACCGAGGCTAAGAACATAGCTAGTAATGCTTTTCAGAATCTTTGCTGGTTAATAACATATTTAAAATATTGAAAACACAGCATATTATCTAACATATTACATTAAGAGTTGAAATTTCAAAATTGTTTTCAGTATTTATTCACATAATTCATTTCAATTACCTTGAGAGTTTTTGCTTTTTTAAATCTGTAGTGTCGCAGAAAATTTGCCATGCCCATCTTTATTTCCATCAAAGCAAAACGCATGCCCAAGCAGTTTCGAGGCCCTGCACCGAACGGTAAGTAGGCATATTGAGGGTGACTTAGCTTACCTGAACCATCTTTAACCCTAGAAGTTAAATAAATGTAAAAGTAAATATGATATAATATGCCATGATTCTTAATGATTAATATTTATGAACTGTATAAGGAGTGATTTTAATATTTATCTATCATCAAAAGAAGAAAATATTTCATTGTAAGTTACGTAAAGCGTTTCAAAGGACTACGTAATTAAATATCGCTCCAATATCAGACCCTTTAATTTAAGAAATGGAATGAATAAAATAAGTTTTCAAACAGCAATAAATATGGTTACTCCGCAATGTTGAGGAAAAATAAATTAATTTTAATTTTCATGAGAGCACTATATTAAAATCTGAGCAAAAGGTTGACTATTTTATACAGAAAAGCATTCAAAGAGAGAAAATTGTTTTTCTTACGATAGTAATGACATCTTTATAATAAGAATTTTGAGAACCATACAGAAAAATTCTTATTATAAACTAAAACATGATTGCTTTTCCTATGCAAATGATTGAAAATACCTTTTACTCAGACAAAGATAAATTTAAGATCATTGCTTCCAAATTACCATTTGTAGGAATTCTAAAATTTTAAATACCATATTTAAGAGAATTTAGTATTGTACAATTTTTAAAACCCAGATATAACATAAGCGAAACATTCTCAAAATATAGGCGAGTGGCTTTTCCTGAATGAAAGTTGTTTAAGATATATAAGTTTTTCAGTTTGTTTCTTTTTTCCCTCTTTTAGGAAACAAGGATGATTACAGAAATTATTTTGTATGTATTATAAACTTTTTATCTTAATAAACATAAATAAAAAAAGATGAAGAAGAAACACATACATCAAAAGGAAGTATAAAAAAGGTAAATTAACAAATATAAGAAATAACAGAGAAAATAAAATAAAAAGAATTATGATGACATAAAAATTGAGGTTCTTGTAAAACTCTGTCAGAAAGGAAGTCAATTATGATTCAACTACTTTAGATATATATGCTGTGTTATCAAATTTGAACGACTAGTTGAGTGGCTGCAAAATCTCAAAAAGCATTCCCGCTTTAAAACAGTTTCTGCAATGCGTTTACTACGTGATCTTATTCCCCGGATTTACTAGGAAGCATCAAACAAATCGCCCGCACAACAAGAAAAGACTCCCATTTTCATTCAAAACTGAATATTATAATTCTTCATTTCTTAGTGTTAACGTAATCAAAACAAATATTAAAAGTTAATCAATGTTCTATGCTGGAAAGTAGTGTTAAAATTATATAGTGAACTTGAAAAAAATGTTTCACTGTTATTGAGAATGTACTAATAACGATTTTACACATATAAGAGTTTTATCAACTGAAAGAATTGAAAAAGCGATATAGCATCTCAAATGATTCAGAGGACATTTATTCGGAACTCATTAATCAACTGTGTTTAAGGCTTCAAAACACTTTTCCTTTGACACGTTCTGTTTGAAGCGTTTAAATACAGGAAAGTAATTTTTTCGTCCATTTGTGTAGCACTTTGCACTTTTTTCAAGTCTCTTATACATCATACAGTTTTTTATTTTTTTCTTTGGATCACTTTTGTTTTATAGATGTACCCTTCAATAGACATTACTCTTTTTGTTACCAATTTCACGGAGGTAAAAAATGGGTTGGCCTTTATATTTTTTGGAACTAAATTTATATTTAATTTAGGTTCCGACATTTTATTTCACTTTGAAATTATATATATATACAGCGCGTCCTGTAAACAATGTTTCAAAGATAATTGAATCATAGGTGACATCAGCTAAGCAACCGCCTGATATTTTTTCGAAACCTAGCATTGTATTTAAATAAAAATGCCAATCATTTTTTGTCAGTTCTTCCAGCTTTTTGTTTTAAACTGACAATTGCAGGGAAACCACAAATTAAGTATTGAGTATTTTAATTTATTCCTGAATTGAACTAAAGTGGGTTTGAAAAGATAAGGCTATTTACAATGAATAATTAAAAAAATTTTGAAGAGAAGATTCACTGACCATAAAGTATGGCATCAGTTTGTATGAAAGCTACTTCGCCAATTGCTTTAATAAATTAAACTGTTACAACTGATTAATACGGAGTAATAATTTCACAAGAAGCTGCTCGAAATGCGGAATGTTACAACTAAAAGTGAATACCGATTCATCTAATTGGTTGTAATTTTTCAGAAATTCTTAGATTACTTCAAATAATGTTAAACATGTGTGTTCCGTCTTTTTGGTAGATAGGTGGCGCTATTGATGCGCGCCGATGAAAAATATATCACTTGACGCTTGAACATGAAGAATGACGCATGTCATATATATTTGATGCTTGATTATGTTTCATGGCCGCTATAAGCGGAAGTAATATAAGTTTATCGTTAATAAATGTTATTTCTATGTTCCGTGAACTCTTGAAATTTTGATTTGAAATTCTAATGCTCTCCCAACCTTGACTCCTGAAACGAAACGATCTTTGAATTTATGACTCATGAAGAGAGACAACATACAATGTGTTTCTATTAAAATCTCTTTTTCCATTTTTAACATTTACCTTCTCTTCCAGTCAAATTTTGGATACACCTCCAACAAAAAATATAGGCAGAGAACGATTATAAGTAGATTTAGGGCAGATAATCAAGCAAGCGTCTAGTTGCCCGCCTTCGAAACAATTTTTACTCAGCGAATATGATTTTTTCTAAATTTTCTACTAAAATATTTCCGCAGCAAAGCGGACATTTGCTAAAATCTGAAAAAGATTTTCTTATGATAATGACATTATCTACCACTCCTCAACCACTGCAACACTGTCTGAAAGTTATGTGTATAACAGAGGCGCAGAAAAATAAAATAAAGAAATCATTTATAAAATATAATTTTACCATCTTTCTGGAAGAAACTTTTCGGGTTCAGGAAATAATTCCGGATCATAATGCATGGCATACACAAGGAATGCTACCCTTATACCTTTTTCAATAGTTATTCCTGTGTTTCCTAGTTTGTAATCAGTTGAAGCTGTCCTCTCTGTCCTGTAAGATTTCAATTCATTTAATGAACTTTCTTTACTTCTGAGAATGAAATTTAAACTATGTAAAAGACAGCTGAAGTTAAAAGCCAATGAATTCTTTAAAAAACAATAGAACTAAAAAAACCTTTGAAGCATTTTTGATTAAATTAAAAATGCTTAATACATCTGGGCGGATGTCTGGGTCTGCTAGTTTAGTATTGGTAAGGAGGAAACTGAAACAGCAATTTCATATCAGCATTTAAAATGGTGCAGTCATTGTTTTGAAAAGAAAAACTGCAATGTTAGTATTTAAATTTTCTATGACAGAGAACAGATTTCCCCCTACTTAATAGAAGTAAAGCTTTATCGTAAATTGGAAAAGCGAAAATATAATTACCTTTAGTTAAAAATGGATGCATTTTTTATTGTTCTGTTATTTTCAGAAATACCTATAAAATCATAAAAATAACAAATAAAACCTATTTGAAAAAATATGCAGTCCTTATAGACCGAAAATATACACACACTTCACTTCTGCTAATCTGTTCCATCACTGCTAAGATAGTCATCACGGTGGAAAAAATGGGTTGGCCTTTATATTTTTTGGAACTAAATTTATATTTAATTTAGGTTCCGACATTTTATTTCACTTTGAAATTATATATATATACAGCGCGTCCTGTAAACAATGTTTCAAAGATAATTGAATCATAGGTGACATCAGCTAAGCAACCGCCTGATATTTTTTCGAAACCTAGCATTGTATTTAAATAAAAATGCCAATCATTTTTTGTCAGTTCTTCCAGCTTTTTGTTTTAAAGGCTGTGACGATGCTGGTTTTAAAGGCTGGAAGGCTTGTGACGATACTACATTAAACGTAGTTATCGGAGATTTTATAGAACGGATTTACTCGTAAAAGAGATAGGCAGAAAATCTTCGGTTGACATATGTCACTCTATTGTATTGTTAAGTCCCTACACATATATTTCTGCCTTTTTTTTATACAAAAGTTTAAAGTTTATCGTCTTCTCAAGCTTTTTAAAAGACTTGAAGCATAACAGAATGCTTAACTGCTTAGACTAAAGAATTCGTTTTCTCATGCAATTCTTCGCAGGTAATCAAGGCTTTCAGGAAAACTAACTTAATCTTAATGCCATCCATATTTTTTGTTATGATTTGCATTAAACAAAATATTATCAATAGTATGCTCAATCAACAACGTTTTACAGCCAGTAATATCTCTGTCTCACAATCGTTTTTCATAAAAAGATAAATCTTTCTCGGGTATTTTTTCTATAACGAGAATGATAGCAATGCAAGTATTTTATAACGTGGCATTAAATGAACGCTTGTGAAGTAACAGAATATTTACAATGTTAAATTTTAACCAATTTACCACGATTTTCAATAAACAATAAAAGTAAATTATAAAATACTTTTATGTTTCGTAATAAAATAAACTTTACATGAAAAACAAAATAAAAGATCTTTTCCCTCTTATAGTGCTTTTAAGGAAACATAATATTGAATGGAAAGCTATCAGGTTTTATTTGAAGATAGCAGTGTATGAAGTCAGTGCTATGGTTCTTTAGTATAAGACGACTTTCAAATTTTCAAGAAAGACCATCAGATTTAAAAAAAAGCAAGATTTTTAAGATTACTGAATTTAACAACCTGAGATTGCATTTGATATTATTTATTAAAAACTCAAATTCCTTGAAGGAAAATAATGCTTTTTATTAAAATTTTAAATTAGCAGTTTTATGTATTATTATATAAAATTTGTTATCATGCTGCAAATGAAGTTCTATTGCAAAGATCCCTTTCCAAAAATGACCATGAGTAATATTTTGAAAAGGCAATGAGTAATATTTCTGAAAACATAATTAAATAATATCGAACATCACCGATAGTCACGTTCTAAAAGGTAATCACTTTCAGAAAGTATTTAAATGTACTAAAACCACACTTTTTAGGGAAGTTTCATACTAGTAAATTTACCTAAATTTAGTACTAAAATTAAATCTTAATTAGTAATTTTGATCAAATATATAACTTAAATTTTTTCCTAATCCAAATTCTTGCAAAAGTAGGCAATTTATAATTAACACTAAAATTACAAAATACGAATTTCTAAATATTTTAACGGTTACGTTATTAGTTCTCCTCATAATAAATGAAAAAAAACTGCTTTAAGAGATTAATTTATACTTCGAAAGTAAAAATTACTCACATTGTCAAGATAGGATACATTCGTAGCGTTTCGGATATAACGCAGTCTAAATACTTCATGTCCCGGGTAATATCATGGTCCACATGACCCTATTAGAAAACAATCATTGGTTACTTTAATACCTTAATGCTTTAACGAAGCTCGCATGTACGTCTTCACTCGACATATATTTAAGGTTATTCAAGAAGAAGAAGACTATTTTGTGCATTTAGTATAAAGTAACAATTTATGAGTAAAGGATGAAGAAATGAGTTACTAGCAGGCAGATAAAATAACGAAAATTTACCTAAATGAACATCTGCAATGGGCTGGATTTGAAAATAGCCTAATATTTAACATTCACCCACCAAATCCACGTTGTATTTCATCCTGCTATACGTGGAGAATTCTCAGCATATTTACTGGCTGAACGTCAACAGCACAACGTAATCAGACACCCATCGAAGTTGGCAATAAATTAAATTCTGTATGGACCGGTGCCATGTAGTTTAAACATAAACCATTAGCTAACTTTCGTGAAGTGGGTAAAATTTTGTGAAGATACATAAAATTTTATTACATAAGCTAATATTGGAATTTAGTGGTTTCTCTCTTAGAAATAGTTACTTAAGAAATGTGTGCAAAACATTGAATTTCCGTGCTAATGTTTCACTCTTTTTTAATAAAAAATGTTGAGGTAAGAAAGTAAGGGAATTTTTGCATCAATATACCTTGGTTTTGATTCTTACAGGACACTTAAATTAACATAGATGATAATTTTATAAGATAGATTTAACACTTAAAACACAAAAAGTTTCAAATTTCTGAATAATTTGAAAGATTTTTATTCTTCAGGATCATGTAAGTAAATGAAATTTGCTCAGACACGAAAGGAACATTGAGCTAACAGTTGACTTTCGGTATTTAGAACCAACCAATCGATCAGAAATTATTAAATGGGGTAACTAGTTTCTCTATTTGTTATACATTAAATAAAAAAATCGTACCCTTTTTGCCAACTTTCCCCAACTGTAAACTGCTTTGCTTTCATTTTGTGATATTTCGTTTGAGTTTAATTAACAGTCAAAAGTTTTAATTTAGTATATTCTATATCTCATTTGATCACATACTCTCTCAGTCCAGAGATATATGCAGATTTGATTGACATGCGGAATAGTATAGATTGAGCGAAACAGTTATAACTTGTGATATACACATGTCTGATTGTAACAGCTTCCGCATTCCCATCACACCCGCTTCATCACAGAAGCCGCTGCTCTAGTGAAATAGATTGCCATATACAGAGGCTGTTCGCACATTTTTTAGACGATTTCGGTAAGCGGTAGAAAAAAAAATCGTTTGCTGCAAAAGAAGTAATTGCAATTGTACTATTTTTTTAAAAGTCAAAATTATTATCTGTGGCCTGAAAGTTTTGTTTTTATTCAAATTGGTGAATTTAACAAAGCAGTGGTTCGAACGCTACATTTACGCTCTTTCCGAAGAGAAATATGCATACTCCGTTATCCGAAAACGATGTGAGAGTCATGGTTTTGTGATAGCTAAATCGTCGATAGGCAATATCATCAACAAGAAAGGAAAAAACGTCAAATTGGAGCCTCAAGTGGGACAAAAATTCCTAACAAGTATCCAAGGAAAAAACGGACATCTTCGACTATTGCAAAGGCACGTTGTTTAATGTTAAAAGAAAATCCCCCTAGTCAAAGGACAGTTGCAAAATCATGAAAATGCTCGGTGTCCACTGCAAAAAAAATGATAAACGTTGATTTAAATCTTAAGAAAGCGAAAAAACGCAATGTGCATCGTCTTCTTCCATAGCATATCTCTCAACGCAGGACACGCTGCAGAATTCTATATGAGAAACACTTATCCAAAGAAAAATGGAAAACAATTGTCACAATAGAAGCATGGGTGTATTTAAATGATTGTAACAAAAAAAAAAAAAAAAAAGCAAACGATTTTTTTTTCTACCGCTTACCGAAATCGTCTAAAAAATGTGCGAACAGCCTCTGTATATGGCAATCTATTTCACTAGAGCAGCGGCTTCTGTGATGAATTTATTTATTATCATAAAAGGGGAGAAAAAAATTTAAGTACATGTTTCAAAGAATCGAAACAAAGTTTTTCTAAGGGATTCATGATTGTTGCTCGTTTTTCTTATAATGGCAAGTTAGAAATAAAGAGAGTGCAAAAAAATGTCAAGATTAAATCCAAATACTATCAAGAATATATTTGATCGCCAATTTTCTGAATGAAATACCATCGTTACCCACAGTGCCATCAATCTGTGAGGCTCCATCAGGACAAAATTAACTGTAAATTTCTTAAAAGAAATGGAACAAAAAACTGGTATCAAGGCCATACCCTTCACTGATGTCCCTACTAAATCTCCCGATGTGTCACCTATGGATTTTTGTGCTTTCGGACTTTTAAAACTACATTATCCAAACGTTGTCCCAAAACCCTAACAGGACTCTGGAAAGCTGTTCGGTAGGAATGGGATAGAATACTCTTCTGCCACTTCAAAAGGCATTATTATCCTGGAAGTTGCGGTGTCGAAAGATAGTTTGGAATAAGGGATGTCAAATAGAAGATTTAAAACACAAGAATTTTATGTAATTTAGTTTTGTGAATACAATATACATCGTCTAAAAATGTGTGAACAGCCTCTGTAGTAGACCAGTTCGTAAGTTAATCTTATATTTCAAGGTTTCGACCCAGAGTATTGTGGCTTTAAATAAAAATACTTGGATGGTATCCAGCTGTACACTACGTCAGATGTACCAGTACTGTAGGTAGAGTATGTACAACAAAGTCAAGAAGACTTACTTTTGCTTTGTAATATTTTAATTTAGTACTCACAAGTCTTGAGATTTCAAATAAAATCAAGGTAAAGTTTTGCATGCTAATAGTCAGCTCAAGCTGCAGGCGATAACTAATAATATATCATAAATTATATATCATATATAGTGATATTTAATATCATATATATGATATTTATATATCATATATAATGATATCATAAATATATTATATTTATGATATATCATAAATAATATATCATAAATTTATACTGTATATGCTTCCTCCTTTCCGCATGCCTTCGTGGTGTAACTGGAAGCATACTAGGTGAGTATTTGAGAGATCTAGGGTTCGAGTTCCGGCGAAGCCCTGCACATGTTTCTCGTCTCTGCTTCAAAATAGCCTAATGACTCTACAGCTTTAGGGTAACATTGAAAGGTGCAGCCGCTAGAAAAACTGCGCAGAAATACTGAGGCAAATATGCACCGCTTTACCGCATAACAGGAATAGGCAAATAGATGTAAAGAATCATAGTAGAAGATACATGCAGTGGTGGACCCGCGAGACCTGATTTAGGGTATTTCACAAAACCCACAACTTCAAAATCATTCTTCATAGGAAAAGGTATACATAATAAGTGCAATAAAACATTGATTAATTAATTAAAGCACTTGAAAAAAAAAAGGCCATTTAAACTTGATGTATGTCATTAGAAAGTACTGTTAAAAGCAAAGTTTTGAAAAATTAGACGGGTTGTTCCTTTTCTTATCTTACAGAATCAATGTTTTGGAACTCTGAATTTAAGTGTATTATTATTATCCTTTAAGAGAATTAACAGGCTCTGAAAATGAGAATTCATTTTCATCAAAATCATAGAGTTACGATTCTTATTTTAGCATCCTCGGAATAATGCTAAAATAAGAACAGGCTTAATAATATTCTCAGCAGAACTTAAAAAACTAAGCACGTACTCTGAATACCTAAGGTAGTTAAATTATTATCAGCCCTAACACCTTAGTTAAAATATTTTCAGCCTTAACGCCTAAGTTAGTTAAAATATTGTCAGTCTCCAGGGCTATGGCAACTTGTCTGATGACAATTTCTTGTTACGCAGACATCCTATGAAAAGTGCTGGTCATTATCTGGTCTGAAATGCACTGACACTGAACTGCTGCTTTTCTCGGAAAGAACGAGAATGCGTTTGAGTTTCCTGCATTCTGAAAGTTCTCCAAATATGTCGGAAACGAGATCCATTCCTATTAGTTAATTAAATGGCTGACATTTATAGATTGACATGCCTTATTATGTCATTGTATGTACAGTCAAGTTTCAAATAAAAATTTAGGAGTATATTGTTCTCTAGGCTTCCTTTGCTGCTTAAATCTATTTTAATATTCATATTTCATTGTATAATTTCTAAAATGCTACTAATAGAAATGTTGCAATTAAATGCTTTAGCTGATACAGTTGCTTTGTATTAGAGTTTAGAATCTAGGTATCTTTTAAATTAAGTTATAAAAAGTTAAAACCAAAATGTGCGAAGTCCGTATGACGGAAATTGACTGAGATAATTAATTTCAGCGTTTGGGATTTCATTTGACATATTCCATTTGATTATATACCATGACACGCCGCCCAGCCGGTATAGTGGTATAATGGTTAGTGACCCTGACTGCCGTAGCGATGGGTCCGGGCTCTAATCCCGGAGAGGGTAGGTTTGTAACTGTCCGTTCCTTCATCGGAGGCAGCAGTGGCTAACTATTAGGCTCTTCCATAATGAAAGGATCACCAAGGATATTAAATAAAGCAGCCGGCCATTAAAATATATATTTCCTGACATAATATTCCATTAATAAATTAGAATAACGCAGGTATACTATCCCTACTTAAATGCCGTTCAATGATAGATACCCTTTTGTGATTTACTAAGGTGTAATATTCTTTAGTTTATAATATTTTACGGCAGGTAGGCTGAAAGAATTTTACACAAGCCATTCATAAAAACAAATACTATTATGTTATTCAAATTATTAGATTCTCACCAAGGTTTAAGTATTTACAACCATAATATAATAATCATACAAAAATTTTTTAAATAGAAATATTTTTTATTAATGCAAGTAACGTTACAAGATAACTGTGTAACACTACTAACTTGCCAGTGTTTCTTAAAACACGAATTCTGTGAATAAGAGACACTTTTTATAAAGCTTTATATTAAGCAATACTTTCCCGACAAATCTGCACAGAAATGCTCTCTCGTCACGTAGTATATGTTGCAAAAATAAAGGCCAAGTAAGGAGATCTCTACGGTTTATTAATAATTATAAATAAACAAATTCGTTCTACAAATTATAAATAATCGAATGAAAATATAAGGCTGAGAGATTTTGGATCTTAAATTAATCTTCGTACTTGAATTGGAAATTTCATGTGTGTTTTTCTTACTTATCTCGTGGAAATTATATTCACGAAGCATCTGCATTTGTATCCTTACTTGATAATTCAGAAGACGAGAAAGCTGCGTGGTTCTCTCCATTGCGTCTGGGATATTGTCCCAAAAATTATACAGCCATTTGAGAAATATAACCGTATTGTGCAACTACACTGTCATTCATTAGATAATTTTACATAAAGATAGAATGCCAACAAGTGGTTTATTTTATTGTACAAATTCCTAACTTAAGTTGAAATTGAAATATTTATGAGATGATCAATTCCGTATGAAACTTACAAAACATTAATAATGCAATAATAATGAAGTTTCGATGAATTATACCGTAATATCTCGCATTCTTAACAAGCATAAACTAAATAGACGTTAACAGACTGTGTAAGAGTTATCCTTAAGTACGATCAAGTCTAGACAAAACTATAAAGAACCCTTTGAAAAATCAATATATTCACAGATGGCACCGAATTGTGCTTACAAAAGCCAACACTTTTGACTTAACTCAAAAATTAACAAGTAACTTAAAAATAGAATAAAATTACAGTAGCCGAACAGCTTTTCACAGGTTACTTAAGGTGCAGGCAGGCTCGTAAAAGTTGATGTAAAGAAGCCTTATGGCTAGAAGCGCTCAAAGCCATAAAAATCGAATCGCTGGTAAATTAATGATGGCAACGTAGCCTTCAGACAGACAAAATACGCTCTAAAATCATCTTCCCAAACCCTTCCTTTAAATACTAACTTCTATCCATATTATTTGAATACACGAGCGCTAACATTATGGCAAGTAAGCGTGGGTTGAAAACAAGAGCGATAGAAAAGGTTGCTTCGAAATAGAATTAACTGTAAAGTAACTTAATACATCCCCGCAATACCTTAACGAATTATCCGTTTGACTCATTTCAAGGTTAATTTACTAATCTTTTTATATTATTATTAATAGTTTTTTTTAAATGAAGCAAACGATAAGTTTATGTTACGTATTTCTGAAAGACACCGTCTGTTTGTTGAATACGCTTATTTTGGCAGTAAGCAAAGGAACACGCCATGAACTATGAAGTTTTATGTTAACTTAGTTAGATTAGTTAAGTTAACCCAGTAAACGGTTGATCATGTTGTTTTTAAGTTTTATTAATCGTATCCCTTACGTTATTATTATTATCGTTGACATTTTTATTGCAGAATAAAAAAATATAAATTCAACTCACATATTTGTTAAAAGCATCGTCCACTTCTTGAATGAGTTTTTCTTGACAGTCAGGATTAGAAGCAAGACAGTAGGCCATGAAAGTGAGAGTTGATGCTGTGGTTTCGTAGCCAACAAAGAAAAACAACACACATTGGGCTATGAGTTCGTCTTGAGATATATCTGAAATGTGTTTGTTAGAAATTATACTATAAATCTAAAATATACTCACAGCTGACTGCGCTCAGAATTACTTTTAAAACATTTTTAAGAAACATTTTATGTGAACAGAGCGGGTATCATTATAATAATAAACTTAAGTCTTAACTTTCCAGCTGTTCTAAAACAGAGGATTCCAATTTTATATATGCTGTACAGCTCCTGCAAAGTAATTTTTCATTGTTCGTATTCTTTATAAATGTGTTCGGCTATTACATTAGTCTTTGGCTATGCGATAACATATGATTTGTCAGGCAAATAGATATACCCTCTTTATCACACACATTACAAATTGGGAATTCGTGTTGTAAATTTTTGTAAAGAATATCTCATTAGCAGTCCCAGTATTTAAGTATACTACTGCATCGTAATGGAGAGAAGCAAGCCAGTTTCTGTAATAGAAAATTAAATACTCAGTAATTTTTAAAAAACTTTGGTCTGTCCATATTTTGTGGCATGAAAACATCTATCCTGTAATCAAAATTTAGCTAAAATTGCTTCAGCGGTGCCTGATCCGTCTGGATGATTATTCGTAGTTTTAGTTCTAAATTTCATGACATTATAGGACAAGGATTGGTAGTCCGTAGTTACATTAGAAGGTTTAATGATTAATGGAGGCTGACTCTACACGGTCTGAACGAGGCATGAATATCTGTGAGTGTATTGATCTTGATCGTTTATAACAAGCACTTAGCTTGAGATTCTGTATGATGGCGTGATGAACCTCTATGACTCATTTAATAAACACTAAGTGTGGCCACAATCTCTATGCGTAATTTGAACCATCGAGCTTGCTTTTTAAATGCTATGTAGCCTGCCAACAACAGCGACCAAGTTCAAATTAGGTATCCAAAGAAACTGGTATTATTTGCCTATAACATTGCAGTCTTTTCAAAATGCAGTTTTAAGACGTCATTACGCTGTTTATGAGAAAGTGTCATTGTTCTTTTTTGCGGTGTTTCTTTCTTTTCTTTTCTTTTTTTCTTTTCTTTTTTTTTTTTTTTTTTTTTGTCACTGATCTTTATGCATAGTCAGGCTATGAAACTCTTGGACCTATATCGTACATCTTCGATCCATGTTATACTTTAACTGTAATATATTGTTGCTACCTCATCTGCAAATTTGTATTGGTATCTCTAAGTTTCTTATGTTCAATCAAAGTAGCTTGGCTATCGCTCGATAAACTCGTTCCAAGGCTTTGTGCTGTTTTCAGAAAGGCAGAACTTCATGCCATTGTGAAATTCTAGTATTTGTACTGAACGGTTATGTTAACTGCAACTGTGATATGTTTTCTATTCCTAATTTCATGTATTGTGAATTCTTTTCATATTTACCTAATTATGTAAAATTTGTGAAGGTTTCTCGATTTTGCTACGGCTTCTCTGCCATTAGTTGGTCAAGTTGATTTTTAACCACTCTGTTTATTCAGAAATAAGCCGCAATATTTTGTTAAATCAATTCTATTTATTCAAGAATCAATTTAAATTTCCTGACTTCGTAGTTGCATTGAAGGGTTCTATTGCTCCTGCTAGTGCGATGGAAAACTTAACAGAATTAATAGTTAGAAACGGACAATAAACTTATATTCTTATATCTTTTAAATTAAGATATTTTTCCTTTGTTATAAGAAATCAGATATCATACAAGGTATGATTCTACTGTAGATGCTAATCAGTTTACTACCTAAGACATTTGTTCTGTCTGGTTCTACTGCGGGCCATCCAAAATGCAGCATTAAGAAAGACAAGAGATATCAAAGTCAAATTTATTTTATAGATTACACATAGTATCAATATTTCTTGCTTTGAAATACCCCCTGCGGTCGACGTAGAGAATTCTGCAAAGCTACTGGCTAAGGATCTGTACCTATGCAGTCTCGGCCACGGGGGTATAAAATTTATGAACTTGGTGGTTCTGAAGGCCCCGGAAAAGGTCACTCTTTGGACAGCCCGGTAGTCTGGCACGTCCTAGCGTGGAGTAGTTCTAGTAGCCCAGGGGTTAGCGTCTTCGGGTAGGCTGGGTAATGTCTCGCTGTGGCGGACAGCCCGAGCGATTGGCAGGTAGCAAATCGACGACCAATACCGTCTGGCGATCCCAGGAGATGCGTATCGCTCCCCAAGGTGTTAGAGCGGAGGTTGAACCTCCGCGCCTCGTGCTGAGGGGGTTGGGAACCTGTATATGCGGTTAAGTCTCACTAAGACAGGGAAGCCTATACTTGCTTTGAAATACAGCCTTCTTTAAGGTGAGGAAGAAAATCACTAATTAGTGTTGCCTCCTAGTTTGCCATTAACTGCTGCTACATCGCGGCACTGAGCGAAAGAGGCTTTGGATGTTTTGCTGGAGGATGGCAGTCCATACTGCCTTCATAAGTAGCTAAAGTTCCTCTAGTATACCTGCGGTTCCGGCATGCGGAACTTACGCTTTTTATAATCATTACTCCTGTCCGTCAGACATTCCCTCCCGCTTCCACATTCACATGACGGTTGCTTGGCTACGTCCGATACGATTACCGATTTCCCGGAAGGATAATCTGCAATTTCTGTATGCAACGATTCTACCTCGATAGAACTCAAAAACGGGCTCGAATGATGCTCTTGTTTTCTACGGGACATACTAAAGCTGCACACTCAAAAAATCTCGTGAAAAAACAATTAACGTCATTAAAGGGAGGCAATCTTACCTCCCTTTGGATTATAAGGAGCGCTGTTGTCGCCCATGATGTACACGTGCTCTGAAATCGTAATCATTTGCTTATTTCATCGCCGTATACACATGATGCAAGTTTCATGCTGTTTGGATGCTTTCTGCATAGTGTGAATTTTAGAACAGGTTACTTAACTACTGAATTCGCTGTTGAATTAGGAAAGGTTTTTCATACCATTCAAAACTTTATAGTTTAATAGAAAGAGGAAATTTGAGAAAAGTTGGATAACATACATAACAGATTCACTCAGCTAGTTTTCGATATATATCGCAAAAAATGATCAGACTTAAAAAAACATTAAGAAATAGCAACTGTGTAATATTTCGATTCATGTAAGCTTTTCAATTTAAATTATCATAGAAAGCTAAGTTAATTATCATAGAAGGTCAAATTAAAAGAGCTCATACAGGGTTATAAACCTATAAGAATTTTGCAGTCAAAAAAATATTTCTATGGCTTACTTGTGTACTTTAGAGAATAGGATGTATCCTTATTCGTTACACTTCCAAACTGATCAACTTCATCATCGTTTGCCTCTAATGATTTGAAACCTGCATTTGAAGCAATTTCAGGTTCTCGAATCTCTTCGTCAGCAGCATCCATCAAGAGTTGCAGGAAATCATTGTGTTTCTGTATGCACACAAACCATCACATTATTTAAGATCAAGATACTACAAGATTAAAAATAATCTAATGGTAAAAGCAGTCTTTCAGTTCCAACTTCAGGCAAATGAATTTCTAACAAAAATCTTGAAGACATAAGAAAGCCCTGTTATAAAAGGAACTAAAAATCAAATGTTAAATTTTTTTTAAGGGTTGTAATAAATTAAAAATGAAAAAAAATTAAATTTTATAAAAAAATTCAGATTTTTTAAAAGATAAATTTCAACAAAAGTATTTTAATTGTGGAGAAAAATAAAATTAGTTTTTAAGTTTAAAAAACTTAAAAATTTTAAATTTATAACTAAAAGTAATTTGTAAAAAATGAGGAGTAGAAAAATAGCGAAAAGGAGAGAAACAATAAATATCTTAAACTGCTTGACGAATAACAGAAATATATATATATATGCAGGGGTTTCACAAATCGGTTACAAACTTTCAGAAGACATAGAGTACACTTAGGCGATAGAAAATCACATAGCAATGCATGGTCGGAAAGGCTTTACTGGCAAAGCAGTGACACAAGAAAGGAAGGACACGAACAGGATGAGAATAATGTTTATTCTGCTTGATGCAGCGCAAACAGAGAAATAAGAACAAAAACAGATGATCGTCATCAAAGAAGGTGTTTGAAATTACGAACCGTCCCATGATGCAGGAATCGTGCGTTATGCATTTTCCATGTGTGATACATATCTTCCATGCATCGAAGATGTGAGGACTATATCCCGGTCCGGAGTCGTAATTTCTAACACCTTCTTTAATGACGATCGTTGCCTAATTTTTCCTTATTTGTTGTATTACGTTGTACTAAAAATACTAAAATATGTTTTGTCACATTGTTCGTGTCCTTTCTTTTTTGCGTTTTGTGTCGTCACTATCGCGCCAAGAAAGCGTTTCCGACCATGCATTGCTGTGTGATTTTCCATTGGCTAGGTGTACTCTAGCTTTCCTGAAAGTTTGTAACCGATTTGCTGAAACACCCTGTATATATGGGCAAATTATATATATATATAATATATATATGTGTGTGTAATGAAAGTGCAACTTTAGAAGCACTGGTGTAAGAACACTGAGATATACAAGCGTAGCAATGTTGTTTAGCATAGGTACTTGATTCATATTAAAGAGGAACAAGTCGAGCCGGATTAATTTCCTTTTTTTTATTTAAATTTACATTTGTGGCCACAATTCACTTGGCACTCCAATTGTGCCTATTTCCAGAACATTTGCATTTTTGATACTATGGCGATTGTAGCGAGTATAGCAAAGCATCCATGCAGCACAAAAGTTGAAGCGAAAAGTGACGTACCAATTCAGAAGAAGGGAAGGAGTCAAATGTTTCAGTTTGAGTTATAAAGTTTTGATTTACAATTATTTGATTGGGCAAGAAATATTTGTATTAAGGGTTAAGTAAGATTGCATGATTAATTTGAATGACGCAGTTTAGACGTATAACGCTAGTTTTAAAATCACTTCCCAAAGTTAATTCCCAAAGATAAGCACGAAGATGTAAAATGCAAAAAAAATCAACACATACTGCTTTGATTGACACAAAATTCGGCAGGAAAGTAGCATATATATTTATGCATGAAACAAAATCAATAATTATATACACAAATGAAAACAATATTAAATTTTTGAAAGTTATCAAATAATGACATACTGGAGACTTTAACAGAATTATGTATAAAGTGAAAATAAACAGCCTAAAATGAAAGAAAAGGACATTAATAGGGTATGTGATCCCACCCCCTGGTCTGTATACAAAGTTTACACTTTGTGACCATGCTTTCAATTAGGTGGTCAACCACCGCAGAATTAAGCAATCGCCATTCTTCTTGTAGAGCAGTTTCCAGCTCAATAAGAGTGGCTGGAGGTGGCAAACGTGAAGATACAGCACGGCCCAGAGCATCCCAAAGATTTTCAATGGGATTAAGGTAGGGCGAATATGCTGGCCACGCCATACGCGCAATCCCTTCACTCTCCAGGTAGTCATCGACGATGTCAGCTCTATGGGGACGTGCGTTATCGTCCATTAAATACAAAAGTAGGGCCAACTGCTGCAGCGTACAATCTCACAATGGGTTCTAGGACTTCATCTCGATACTGGACAGCCGTCAAAGAACACCGTTTAAAGACAGGCAGGTCGATGCGGTATCGTAATGAAATCTCTGCCCACACCATAATGCTTCCGCCTCGGGATGCGTGATGTTTGGTGATGTTTTGGGATTGATTGCGTGTTCGTTGTTCACGCCATATCCTTATACGTTTGTCATCTGGCTGCAGAGCAAATCTTGACTCATCAGTAAACGTAACATTGGTCCAGTCAGACACATTCCAATTGACATATTCCCGGCACCAGTGTAATCTTGACCCTCTTGATTGGACGGATAGAAGAACACAAACTCGAGGTACCCGGGCGTACTGTCCACTCATATGTAATCTTCGGCGTACAGTAGCTGCAGATATCGCCTTACCAATAGACGCTGTAACCATAGATGTCACGCGTGGGGAGGTCGCTCTGCGATTCCGCTTGGTTACAATAGCAATATATCGATCTTCCGCGGGTGTTATAACCCTTGGGCGACCGACTACGGGCCTTCAGACAACTGTCTGTGTGGTTTGGAATTGTTTCCATAAACGGGAAATTACAGAATGATGAACACCGAAGAAAAAGAGCAACATCTGTGATCGACTGTTCTGTTCCAATGCTCCCCACAGCACGCCAGCGCTCAGAACCTTCCATTCGTCTTCTGGCAGTCATAGAAACACGTATGTCTTAAAAACAAATTGTATGAAAGTTTTAAACACCTTCTATCAGCACTTACAATCAACTTCTGTAACCCTTCATAGAGCTGGCTTCTTATAAAACTGCCTTTTTTGCACATTTCTTGACATGAAAGCGCGATTTGGCTGTTACCTAACATATTTGCATACTTCCATCTACCTCTGCAGCGAATTGCATCCTCTTCAATTGTGATTGGCTTTCGGAAATTAGCATTTTCCTCTCCGTGCTTAACTTTTGGAAGTGGATGTAGAAAGAGGAATACCCTAAATTAATTAAAAAATAAGAGGTTAAAGCCAATTAAATTTAGAAGCTTGCTTTCATATTTTTTATCTTACATATTCCCCCTTTTGAAAGAGGAAAAGTCGGAGCGATAGAGAAACCTTTTTGAGAGAAAAATCATTAGAGCAGCAAAATATGAGATATAATTTTGGAAATATCAAACATAAAATTAACCTTTTGAACAATGAAAAAATTACAAGTCATAAAATTTTGAATTTAATGATAATTTTAAGCACTCCATTTTTTTATAACTATTGGCACACTTTTAGAGTCCTATTAAGATTCGAGTCCAATCTGTAAAACGTTCTTGTTTCTGGAACATTCACATCACAATTTTGATACTTCAGGGAATGATTTCCAAAACTTTTTCCACAGAATATCACAATTATAAAAATTTTATGTACCCATTAATTATTACGAATAATAATTAATCTTAAAATTTTGAACCATAGTAATTTTCATATTTATAATATTTTATCATTTGTGATACCATTATTGAAATTATGGTTTTTACTTTTATTATTATATTTTACAATTTTCTCATTTTACACAAATTGGAAGACACCACAGCTTTCTTCTAGTACACACATATCCAGCTATTTGGGCATTACCCACTTTAACGAACACATGTACTAAATTTTCATGAGTGGTTAAGGGGTACTCGGCAATTACCTAGAAAGCCCTCCGTTCCTTATTTAAAGGCAACTGGCCTTTTGAACTGCATTACAACATTCAACTATATTAAAAAAATCACACTCCATTATATGAAAAAATAAAAATCCTATATAAAAACTTAAATAAAGTGGGAACCTTCAAAGTTTATATTATATGAGGAGGGGAAAAGGAACAATTATGCTGAGGCAAAATAGATTTTCGAAACCAGTACTCCCTCAACATACTTTATATTTAACATACAATTATTGATAATTATAATATTCATTTACCACAATTCTAAACAAAGTTTAATACATTTTACTCTTAATTAAATTCTCATATAAATTTTATTACGATTATTGAATTTTTTAAATCTTTGATATTTCTATATTAATTTTAACAATATTTAATATTCTCCCATTTAATAATTATTTCATTCATATTTTATATGCGCATCATTCTCAAAATAGTTAGAAAATTCTTAAAATTAAAATTTTTAAACAATGATCTTATTTACAAAATAATTCCAAAATTCTTAACATTAATTCAAAATTTTTGAAGGAACATATAATTACATAATTATAATAAAAGTAATAACAATGAAATTTAATAATCTTCCCTGAATAAAATCTTAGAATACGTATGCATTTTAATTTGATATTGTGATAAAACAGTGCTACATTATATTTTTAGATTTCAAAATATAACCAACTAGCCGCTACGCGGCCAGCCATCGTCTAGCTTTTAAATGTACCGTAAAAATGCTTGAAGGGAACATGAAATTTAAAAACTGCACAAAAGTTAACTCTGACGGACAACTTTATCAAAAAAAAAAAAAAAAAAAAAAAAAAAAAACTTCTCTGAACAAACGTCCAGTATCGAAGAGAAACATTAAATTTAAAAACTGAACAGAATTATCGCCCTCATTTTTCCAAGTGGCAACACTGCTGATTTTCAACATTTAGCAGTCCAGTATACAAAGCGTTGAATGAAAAACTGTTGCGAAAAACCACATTTTTAAAAGAATGAAACTATTTCGAAATGATGCGATTTCATCAAAAGAGATAAAATAGAAAAAAAGTCTGATTCAAAATTTTGAAAAAATCGCTTCGAGGTGCACTGGCTCTTGCACCTATATACCAAATTTCGTAGCCCTGGGTATGTTAGCTTACGCGCAGCACGAACGAAAGCACACACACACACAGACAGACTCTTTCTTTTATTATATGTAGAGATTATATATTATTTATAACAATGCAGTTGGAGAGAACCCCCCCCCCCAAAAAAAAAAAATTCTGCACGTAACATCACATTTTTTTCAATATATTTCACTTGATTTCCTCGTTGGAAACAACTTTGAACATTTAATTTGGAACCGAAGAAATTAGTCACACTTTGATACCACTTTTGATAATATTTCACTTTAACAAATAAGATAAACACTTTTGAAGACGCCATTAGATCATTTCATACTTGTTGAAAAACACATTAATTATTAACGCTGTTAAAAATAAATTTTCGCTCACCATATTTCGACGTTACAGTGACCTCGACCTGATTCGGAATTCAGGTAGCGATGAACACTTTCTTTTTATTTCCATTATTGTAGCCGAAATACTAAATCCAATACTTCTTTTCAAAAGACATTCAAACTTTTGTATTTTGGACATGCAGATGAACGAAGGACTTATATGTATATATTTATTCTTCTGTGTAGAAGCATTTATAAATTACTTGATATTCTAAAATTCTGAATTTTTTTTTCTTTTCAGAAAACTAGGATTTGAAGTTTTACTTACGTAGCCCTTTTGTTTTCTTTCTTTGATCACTTCCAAGGTCACATTCCGGAAAAAATCTCCTGTAGGAAGACTTTTGAATCCTAATGCCAGTCTTAACCAGTTTGGTAAGAAGACTGAAAGATTTGATTAGCGTACATTGGAATTAGTACACATTTACTAAAATGGCTTAACATCAAAAGTTCGTTATTTTATTTACTCATACATTTTCTAATATCAGGGGAAAGAGAAAGCGCAATGAGCAGGAAGTTTTCATTTTTGCTAATAATTGTAATAATAACAATTATAAAGCAGAAATTTTGCGTCTGTCATGTTAATGGCTACAGTGTAGGGAAAAACACATCAGATCCACTTTAAGCGCTTCATACAAATTTGCTCACAATTTTCACTTCGCCTTAATTACTTCTTGTCATAATTACTTAATAACTGCCCTCGCAAACTCTCGAATGTTAAGAATATATTTGATTTTCTTTCATACGCCAGAAACTTCTACTAATCAAATATGAGAAATTTCTGTTAATCTAAAAGCATTTTGATAAATTTTAAAACATTAAAAAATGTAATTTTGGCCCAAAATTTTAAAAGAAAATTATATTTGTTTTAATGATTTCATTAACTTCCTTTATATTAAAATAATGACTTTATTTTTACAATCAGGGGTTTGTACATTTAGAATTCGTTTCACATATCAGATTATTAATATGAGACTTAATCGAATTTAATTGTGACTAGACAGCAACTGTATGCGCAACATGAAAGCACACTCGCTAACGCAGAATTTAAACATAAGGAGCTTTTAAGTCATACACAAGATCATATTCTTCATCACTTTACGAGCCAAATTTAACTCCGTATGATTGCTTCGCTTTCTCAAGCAGAAATTCTAGTTGAAAGGTGGTAATTTAATACCCTAAAACACATTTACAGTGAATTACAGATGGTTCTGGCGCAATAGAAAAATGAGACTTTCAAAAAAAGTAAAAGCATTGCCAGTGGTATATTGGTGCACAAAGGGATTCAAAAGGGGATAGTGTTCAATTTAAATGTAGTAAGTATTTTATTTATGTTCTAGTTTCAAAATGTTTTGACTGCATAACGCATTTTCAACATATGCACAGTTTATGAATGGGCAAAGGTACGCTCTGTAATCTAATTCGGTCGATGCTGGTTGAAAGTTCAATAGACAGTTGTGCTATTACAATCTTGGCTAGTCTCAGTATTGCCTGGTCACCTTAACGATACGTATATATTGTATATATTGACGTAATTTTGCTTGGGGCAGCAAAAGGGAAATTTCCCATATTTAAGTGGAAGTTTTTGACTATCTAAATAAGGCTGATTAAACGTACTGGGCTACCATAAAGAACAGATATTTTTACCTCTGTTGTTCTGACAACATGTTTAATTTTCAGCAGTTGATAATGATTCTATCACAAAATGCTGCTCGAGGGCCCTATAGCTTTCATTACTGGAAACTAGTATTGAAAGAGAACATTCTGCTTTCCGAAAAGGCAATACTCACAAAGATATTAGTTTTTCATGATATGTTTACGCGAAATAATAATTATGGACTTAGTCGTTGTCTAAGTGGCAAGCAGGGCATTTTTCTAAACTGCACTAGCAACAGTTTTTGAGCATCGCGTAGGTTCATTTATCGAAATTACTGGAAGCTAAGCAACGTACTAATCCTTCTCTTTCCATTCCATGACTGGCTAGATTAATTAATCATCTTTGCTTTTAAATTAAAAAACTGTTTTTTATTATAGCGACATCATTGAATTTGGAAAAATGCTTTTTGTAGGTACTTAGGTGACGTCAGAATGACAAACATGCAACATTAAGATGAAAAACTTTAAATCAAATATGAGAAATTTCAGTTATTGTTATTATTATTATATAAGGTGTTTCCAATGTTTAGGACTTTAGTCATACATTTGTTGTTTCAAATTTTCAGCGATATTACAATGCAATTTTTGACACAATCTCTATTTAATTAAATGAACGAACTTCAATTTTTTCCAAGCCGTCCTCAAAGAATATTTTCTACGTCCCTTCCATCCACCTATTTATGGCACAATTATACTCTCAAATCGACCACACCAAAGAGGTTTTTTTCAGATGGAAATGGAGGCGAGAACAGAATGTTCCTTAACAACAGCCGTTGAACATTTTCTAAAGTTTTCAGACACTCTTTCCACAAAAAGAAAATGATAGCTCTTCGCATTTTCCATAATTGCAAAAAAGGTGCTACAAAAATGCGCCTTTATCACTCAAACAACTAAACCGGACTAAACAACAGAGCACGAGATAGCTGTATAAGCATGTGAAATCTTCTCTTTGGCCGATAGCGTTGTTAAGTTCTAAGAATTGAACAAAAATTAAATTCCAGAACTTCGGAAACATGGCACGTATTTCTCAGTTCAGTTGTAGTTTAACAACTAGTTATACACGTTTAGCTACTGTGAAGACAATTTTGCTAACTCTATAACTCTACTAATGGTTATGGCTTAATACTGCAAGGTTTCTGCAAATTAATTGTATGAGGATTTAATCGAATTTGACCATTTTATGTATACTACAAAATTTAACAAATCAGGAGTTTTTAAGGTCTATAAATATTATTAATAAACATTTCTCGTTAGCTACTATTAATTATCTTGAATTATTCCTTTCCGTTAAAATATGCTGACGAATTAAAAATTTGCAGAATTATGGTTACATATTAAAGAGATTAGATATTTTCTTTAAAAAAGTTGTTGGATTTGATAAAATTAAATGAACGATGCAATAAACCTCAAGATGAAAGCAAAAGTGAAATTTTTAGATTGAAAAATGCCAATGATTCTGTAAGGATTTATTTTATTCTAACCAATTATTTTTAGTTTTACCTTTCCTTTCCGTCCTGATTTCAGTTTCCTGCCAGAATGTAAATTTTGTTATGGCGTAGTATTCAGGTTTAAACGTGTTTCAGAAGCAGCATTTAAGCTGCGTATCAAGAGTTCGAAAAGAGTAGTAGCGGACTTAGTTTCGAGTTTATGCTGCTTGTTTGAATTTAGCTCTCTAGCCGATGTTAGACACCTTTCGGTTTATACTAATTTTCCCCGTCTCGGCTTTGCTGTGTGCAGCCGACTTTGCATTAGTTAAGCTAAGGAGTTAGTCATTAGATATTTTAATTTACTAGTGATTTGTTACATTCTTATTTTCTGTTAATTTACGTAGCCACAAGTGGTGGTAGTTTGTGAGCACGAAGTGTGTGCATCTGTTTTAAATAAAAATGTTGTTTAAACCTTCCTTCTGCAGTATCTATTCTTAAAAACATAGCAAGAACTCGCTACTTCTTCTTTACCTCAGAGAAGAAGTAGCGAGTTCTTGCTATGTTTTTAAGAATAGATACTGCAGAAGGGAAGGTTTAAACAACATTTTTATTTATACTAAATTAAAACAACATTTTTATTTATACTAAATTGCTATGTGAGTCAACGTTTTATGCTCCCTAAAAGAACACGTACACTCCACAATTCTTTTCAAAGGAGTATTACAATACGTTTGATAAAATTATTTTTGTCTCAAAACAATAAAATTGGAATTTTTGTATTATTATTCGAATTTAGGAAACTAACTTGAGAAACAAAGTGCAAAATAATATTTCACCAAAGCAACTTGGATAAATAATGAAATCTTTGTTCATGTTTCATTACTTACAGCAAAGCATACAAGGGCTATATACGTAAGAAAGCACGCACGTTGTGGAGAGCACTTTAATGGAAACTGGCTCGTATTCTATTTACAATGAAACAAAGAAAAACACATGTGTCATTTGCCGGAATGCTAACCTATGTATTTCGATGTTCAGAGATTTTAATCATTCGGCTAGCGTTGGAAAAATAATCAAATAAATTAGATTAATAATAAAGTTTCGAATAATCTTTATTTAGAAACATGGAGAATATTAGCAGAGATATTTAACATAATATAAGAAAAACGTGGCAGTTCTGATCAATATTTCTTCGCCGACAGCTGGCAACAAAATGCGAAACGAAAGGTGTCCACATGTAGAGACACAGAAAAAGAGCATTCGAAAAGAGCCTTCAGAGTGACAGATAAGATATATGTAACGTCTTCTACTACTGACAAATGAACCAGAAATATTATTCTTTAAAGAATTAGATATATATATAGGCAGTAGCTTGTTAGCATTCCCCTTAAGACAAAGAGAAGGTCACTTTATGGATGAAAGAAACTTGTAGGAATTTTAATTATTCAACTTGAGAGTTAGTTAAATAAATTTGATGGCTGAAAAGTAAGATTTTCCGACCAAACTTATTCCATAGTATATAATTTATGATTTTATAGTTTCCCAGAATACTTTCAAGTTCCTAAGCACGAAATTTCAGTATTTGTCTAGTTTAACCAATGTATGGGGAGCAAGCAATACTGTGCATTCACAAGAGTTCTAATATGGAATAGAGTTATTAAAGGCAAAATTTCGAATTAAGATAATATGAAAGTTATACTTACGCAAAATATAATGCAATTTGGTAATTACTCTTGTGTTTTTCCTTCGATTAGTTAGGAAATTTCACATATTTTGCATAAACTTAAAACTCATCTACTCCTCTTATTAAATTTTGCACTTTGTTGCTTTAAAGATTCTATTGCTAATATTCACTTCTAAGGTACTTACAATATTCCTTGCTAGAATGACTTAATGGTCAAAATAGACAGATCCTTCAAATAGCACATTAGAACATTAAACTTCTGTTTGGAAAAATTTCACTAAATATGCACTGATGTGTCAGGTGAACATGCTGCGGCTGAGTTCCTAAACTCAAATAGCGTTATCCCGAAGTATTTAATCCGTAAAAATATGCAATAGCATATATGCCATATATGCAAAGTTGTATGATGTAGAGAGAGATTCTGACACAGAAGAATTCGGCTAGCGTTCCTATTAACACATGATAGGACAGGTAGTGTTTGTTGCCAGAATTATTCAAAAATCTTTTTCAGTCTACTAACGTTTCAAAAGATTTTCATACACATACAGTTCCTTCTTGGTTAAAGATCCACAATAGGCGTGTGACGTCTTCGTACTTGAATAAGGCACCATTTAACAAGACGAAACAAACATTTATTAAAATAACATTCGAAGCATTACATTAAACTCAAGCAGTACGTCGCTCCTACAGCATAGCAAAATCTAGTGCCTTCCTCTTCTGAGGCTAACATGCAACTCTCCTAAAATACAGTAACCCTCCTTGGAGAAGAGGCTAAACACGCCAAGGACGCTTTGTTGATCACCAAACAGCCGCCAGATACTACAACTCGGAGTAATTATCACTTCAGAGTACTGAAAGATCGACCCGCGTTTCATTCAGACGAACATTAAAATGAACTAACTTTCTCCTCATCAGTGGTCCAGGAGTTAAAACCATTAAACTTTGGGTGTTCAATCTGGTTTCATCCAGTTGAACAGGCTACTACTTGGATGGTTAGTTTGTGTGTTTTTCCTCACGCTTAACGTGAATATGAGTCAGTTTGCCTTAGAAAGCTCTTCACAACAGCATCCCTTTCTTTAGGCTGAGAGCTTCTGTATGCTTTGCCATGTTCAAATGCTCGAATCTTTGTTTTATTTAATATCCTTTCTCGAATTTTCTTTTTTGTATCTATGCAGCAGCTCGTGATCCTGGGTTGCATTTCCTTGCTAATAGCTGAAATAGAAAGTACGATTACACCTTCGAAACGTTTATTACTAGTTACTTATATTACTTGAAAACCTATGTAATAGTTTTCCTCTTTCAAACAAACTTCATTTAGTGTGGTCTGTTTTTAATATTTTAATTTTTCTTTAGTGTTAAAAATGAGAGTATAATCGTTTAGCTCAAAATTCTCGTAAACATGCTTCTTTAATATGTAAATGTGAGAAAACGAAGAGCAAGAATTCGTTTCAGAGAAAAGACTGGAACATTTTTGATTTCATTGGCAGTTTATGGAAAATTTTACTGAATAAAATTCTTGTGTTAAAATATTTTCGACGAATGAGGTGTGTGCTTACGTATTCACTAGAACTACACAACCGTTTTTCATCGCACAGCTAATTACTTCCGTGAATACTTACAAAAAAGCAAAAGCCGTATGCCAGTAAATTCTCCAAATGCCCTTCTCACGTTCTTCAGGAAGATATTATCAGGATCGTTGTGGGAATCAATCTTCGTTGCAAACGCTGAAGTGGCAATGACGTCCATGGTAAAAGCACCAAATAACCTGCAAGAAACGTAAGTAAAAATACATAAAGATTGCATCCCATTCTTATCTGCAATTATCGTCGAAAATTAAAAGAGTAAGATTTTCACTAAACCTGCTAACTTGCTGATATAACATACTAAAAAATAACTGGCTTTTTTCTTTTTTACTTCCTTGTATGAAGTAAAAAGTAAGTATTGTAATCGCGAAAAGTTTCAGGCATCATATTTCAAAGCAAATATCCATTTTCACCGCTATCCAATGCAATTTAACGATGTTTTTGCTTGACAGCTGTACGTAAGGGCAGAATAAAGGACTCTTCTCCCCAAAAAATTGTAAAACTAATTTAAAATGAATTCTAAAGAGAATTTTTCGTGACGTCTGTGCTTACGCACGTATGTATCGCGCATAACTCAAAAACGAGTAGCCTCAGAAAGCTGAAATTTAGTATATACTACTGCTATAACATGCAGATGTGCACCCCGTGTTTTGGGTGCAATCGGCAGCACCAAATGTATATAAATATATGTACATGTATATATATTCACTCTGTTACTTGGCTCAGTGATCACAGTTTCTTTATTCTTATATGTTTGTAAATTGTACATTTTTTGATTTAAAAATGATTGAATTATGCTGTTCTTATCTTCTGGTTAAGGTTTTTATGCCTTTAGTAAATCTGTATGCAATATTTTTAGAATTATCAATAATTTAAACGTTGTTTAAGTGCCGCTAAGCCTAATAACTTTTGCCATGGTGGCCATTGCTTGTTTATATTTGAAACAACAGAATAGTAGATTTGTTGCCAATCTAGAGAAAATAAGCTTCGCAATAACAAAGATAACCCTTCATTTATTATTGCGAATTAAATCATGTTTAATCCTTTCTGGAATTTTTTCGAGGAAATAAGTGTTTAAGATTTACTTCATAATTTTCAATACGTACATTTTGAGATTTTATGTATTTTTGCCCTGAACCGAATTAATTGAAGGAGAAATACTGAATTGTCTGTGAAAAACTGTTTCTTATTTTTTTATTTTTTTGTTGTTCTTCTTCTTTGCTTAATTTCTTTTATATATCGTTTTAGATTGATTATAGTATTTGAATAGAACACGTGACAACGATTAGATAATTCTTAAGATGATATAAATTTTGTGCATTCTAGTTAAAAAATGAGAACGGAGTGCATTCTGAGTTAAAAAATGGGACGCTTTTTGAGTTATAATATGAGATTCTGAGTTAAAAAAATGAACGAGAAAAAGTCAGCATGAGGTAGTTTCTCTCTTGCGAAGATGACTGCTCTTCTTGATTTTTGGTAAATATCATTTTTGCTTTTTCTCCTCGGATATGGAGCGAATCACCTGATAGGGACAAAATACCTTGGCATGCTACTTTCAGCGATTATGATAGCGATAATGATTCTACTTATTCGAATTATTGAAGAAAACTGACTACATCCAAAGAGATGCCTGTAATTGCTCAAGATTACCCGAGGCTTCAGAGTATAATTGCTACTCTAATTTCTACTAAGAAAAGTAAATCCAAGAAAAAAGAAAAGAAAACCGCAGGAAGTCCTAAGAAAATAGCCGATAAATTCAAGCCCTGAAATAATGTAATAATTATGTAAGTTATGTAATTATGTTCTGAGCCATAACGGCAACAATATTTTGCAGTGTTATTTGACATATCTTTTAATGCTAGATATGCGGGGACGCGCAACAATAGCACTTAACAGTACCGACATTATACATTTATAAACATACATGTCTTACCCGGGATTCGAACCCGGGTAGACTACTCTAACCACTACACGTAGTAGACTCCCCTAAACAACTACACCGTCTGGGCGACTGACAGCTGTAGTTTTCCCTAACATCAATCTTGATTTCCTAGGTGACAACTCTAGGCGAGAAATGCTTTTACCACGCTTGCGTTTTTAGCTTCCCATGACGAATTATATATGACGCATTTTCTAAAAACGATTAGCAATGCCAAGCAATTTTGCCCTTTATTGAAGCATTTCTGCTTATTTTATCCCTCCCCGCCTTTGGCTTGATGTTACACGAAATGGAGCGATTAGGAACAGAAACAAAAAATATACACTGCTGATCATTAAAATTATAATACCAGGAAGGAATGACGTCAAAATCATGTGAAAAGAAGAAGTTGTGATATGCAAACGATTAGTACGTATGTCAGCACATTTAGACGACGCAGAAGGGAGAACGTCATCTGAAGCACTGCGTAAGAGAAAAGTTGTGCGGTGGATTTCTCATTCGGAAAGCTCTTTGTAAAGTTGGAGTTTGCTCACTATGCCTGGAATTACAAGAAGAAATGCTTACCAGCAGATGTCGGAATTCGATAGAGGCAGGATCGTTGCCTATCGCAAGTGTGGATTATCGTTCCGTGATTCGCCCGCCGCACTGGTCGACATGCAACCATTGTCATGGGAATATGGAATTTATAGGTTGCTGAGGATCATACTGAACGGCATTCAGGCTCTCAACGCCTTCCCATGACTAACGCCTGAGTGGACAGACATATTTTGACATCAACACTGTAAAACCGTACGACACATCGCGGACCATTAGTGCGGAAATGGGCATGTTTGCAGCACGCTCAGTATTCGCTTGTACGGTGCAGCTGCGTGGACTATCAGGACGGCGACCATTACTTCGGTTTTGAGAATGCAGCATAGAGAAGACGGCAACTCTGCTGTGCCGAACCACAAAGATGGATACAAGAGTGGCAAAATGTCATCTTTTCAGACGAGTCCCGGTTCTGCGAGCAGTGTTCTGATGGCCGTATATGGATCTGGAGGCTCCGAGGACACCGCACGTCGTCTGCTTGCATTTGATATTGGCATAGGGGTTCTGCAGCTGGAATAATGGTTTGGGCAGCCATTGAGTACACGACACGCACATCTATAGTCCGGATCGACAGTAATTTGAAAACAGATTGGCACTTTCTGATATCTTACATCCAGTAGTTGTGCCTATCTTCTCGGTCTGCCAAGCGCCATCTTCCAACAAGATAATGCAAGATACCATGTTGCACGTCGTCGTGTTCTGAGCTTTCTCTATACACAAGGTATTCGATTACTGCCTTGGCCAGCACAGTCTCCAGATCTGTCACTGATTAAAAACATCTGGTCTGAGTTGCCTAAGAGACTGGCCCGCCACCCCTCTCCAGCTAATACGGTGGATGAAGTGTGTCATAGACTTAAAGCAGCATGAAAAGAGTGGCCCGTTTCTGTCATTCAAGCCCAGTTCGACTCCATGCCTAACTGGGTAAGGGCCGTTTTAGCTGCCAGGGGTGGCAGCTGTTTCTATTAATTTCGCTTCCCTGTAAACACCCCAACTGGTTACAAATTTTATCATTTTGTCTTCATGCCACACTGTTTACCTACAATAAATATTTTTATTGTATTTGCTTTGCTTCATGGTGTTGCGATTTGAATGACCAGCAGTGTATTTCTTGCTTGAAATCAAACATTCACTTTAACTCTTTGGTAGGGGTTAACCACTTTACTTCCTCAAAAATATGATGGCATTGAACACTGAATGCAGAATTTGAGGAATTCTTGAAACTGGCAGTGATTCAACCCTGTGGGTGGCTGGGGTAACTACTGTGGTGAGTGGAGTGGAGACTGGCAGAGCATCTGACTTCGTATAATGATTGATGCATTTGCGAGGTTGCTTAAGACTTACTACATTTTAAACTGAAAACATATTTATTACAATTACGAGAAGCATTTTACAAAAATGAGTTTCATAGAATAGCTATGAAAGTAAATTATAGTCCTCATGGTATGAGTAGCTTTTCAGCAAGGGTCTCTCTGGTCGAGAGTTCAGGAGCCTTCTCACGTGCTGTTCCGATGGAAAAAATCTTCAGACTGAATTAACCACGCTTCCCTAATTTTTCAGTGGTATTTTACGTACTCTGATTCGTTATATTCGGAACGACAGACGACAAAGCTGGATACGGAAATGGTACAATGTCGTCTTTTCAAACGCGTCCCGGCTCTACGTGTAGTATTCTGATAGCCGTATACGTGCCTGGAGGCTCTGAAGAAAACGCACGTCGCCTGCATGCATTTCGATATCAGCATAGGGGTCCTGCACCTGGTGTGATAATTTGGGCAGCCATTGGGTAAATGACATGGTAACCGGAAAAATGTCCACAGGAAAAATGCTCTCAGAATAATGCTCACAGGTATAAATGCTCGCAAGAAAAGAGCCCACATAGAAATATGCCCACATAGAAAAAATCTCACACGGAAAAATGTTCACTTAGAAATATGCTCACACGGAAAAGAAACTCACATAGATATATGCTCACATGGAAATAAGCCCACTGATAAATAAAATACGTTATCATTACATTAATCAATCAATAATTAATCGATTTGAACATCGTACACCTACTTGAACTTATGATACACATAAAGAAACCACAACCATAAAGGGACAATAACTTACCTTTTGCAATCGACTGGCTCTTTACTTATGGCATGTTTCTCCAGCGTTTGTAACACAGATTTCGAGCAGTCATTCATGATATGGGACATCTATAATATATAAATAAGCAAATTCATATTTATCGATATGCATTCACTTGCATCTTTCAGTAATTATTTAATAATGTTATAGAAGCAACATTTTCCTCAAATGTTTGCAGAAGTTAATGATTTTCTCAATGTTCGCAGAGAATGATATGCTCAAATGTTTGCAGAAGTTAATGATTTTCTCAATGTTCGCAGAGAATGATATGCTCAAATGTTTGCAGAAAATTAATGATTTTCTCAAATGTTTGCAGAGAATGATATGCTCAAATGTTTACAGAGAGTTAATAATTTACTCAAATGTTTGCAGACAATGATATGCTGAAATATTTGCAGAGAGTTAATGATTTGCTCAAAGGTTTTCAGAGAATGATTGCTGAAATGTTTGCATAGAATATGCTCAAATGTTTGCAGAGAGTTAATTTCCAGTGTTTACGCGTAGAATATGAAAAAATTTAAAATCAACTTTAGGTGTTAATTATCACAATTATGAAAATATTTATTTTTTATTGCTTAAACGTTTTATGAGTTTTTAAATAGAGTTTCAGTGGGAACACATATCCAGGAATACATCGATAAGAGTTCCGTTATTTCCTTTGAAATTATGCTTTTCTTCTTAATTTTCTGTGGCTTAAAAATCTGCTTCTTAGCCTATATTTGATAATTCTTCAAGCACTGTTCGACAAAGTTCCCAGAAAACTGCATTATGTTTTGGGAAATCAGGATAATACGATAAAATTCAAAACATTTTGCTTATAAATTCTTATAATGACTTTATTGATAAATGGGACACTTTGTGAGAAATAATAAAATACTTATAAAGCAATATATTCCTTCACTCGCACTGTTTTGTTTTTATTAACCGGTTATCCTATTATGTTTGCGTTTACTGTCGCTTGTATTTTCGTAAGCTTTTATTAAAATTCAAATTAGTTAATGTGTATAAGTACAGAGATTTGGAGCTTAATAGAGAGATTTTGGCCAGAAACCGTTAAATGCATTTGTTACGTAGAAAATAAACGTTAAAACTACATTTTTCATTTAACTTTTAAGCTAACTAGCTACAGTTTGGTGCCGCAATATAAAAAAACTCTTACTAAAACTAAATTAAATACTTACTACTTACTATTGTCATAATCAAAATCCTAACCCTATATATCAAAGAATGTGAAAGATTCGTCCCTGGTGTTTTGTTAGACTCAACAATTATTTGTCAAAACAAAATGTGAAAAAGCATTTCCACAACAAAATCATTAACACGCTATCTTTTACTAAAATAAAGCTAATTCAGATCTTCAACCTGAAAACATATAAATTTCATTACAAATCTAGAGATAGCCATAAACCCAATGCCTTTAAAATACAGCGCAGAACTCTTCAAAACACCTGGGAAAAATAAATCTCCCACCAAAGAAGTCTAAACACAAAATCAAAATAAATTAAATAAGCTGGTCGTAAAGTCACAAACACTTAAAACTGATTTTCTACTACCCAGGTTAAAAAATAACCATATTTTCCGCAAAGGATCATATAGGTGACCTACAGCAGACCACAAGATAAAACTCAAAATAAACATATACTAATTAAATCAATAAACAATAAACGCATTTATTAAACAATCATAAAATTATAATTTAAAATAGCTGGCTAGACTACCCTTACAAAATCTTTTTTAAAAGTTACTCATAGTTTTTTTCATATCAATCTCATTTTTAACATTATTCAATTCACACAAAAATCATAGTGAAACACCTCACAGTTATTAATCTTTTTAACATGTACTCAAGAATTTAAACTCATGTATAAAGCTAATTTAGAATAAATCCTATTTCTTTCAACTGTGACATATCAGTATATTTATCTTTGGTCATATTGAAATTAAATGAACATAGCAAATAAACATTAAAACAAAATTTCACTCCCTCAAATTAGTTCAATTATAACTTCTCACAGTTGAAAACATTAATAAAAATAAAAACCACTTTCTCAGCTATAAATTGAGTAACAAAAATTATTCAAATTTTTGTCTACAAGCTTTAGAATTTGACGCTTCCAAAATCCTAACGATTATTAAAAGGAAAGCAAAAATGAAAATAAAAATATGCACTCACGAATAACACAAGTCTGAGAGACTCGAGGAGCTACGATCCAGTCATAAAACTGTCGAAACAATAACTGCCAAAACTTCATTGTTGTCAGGATAACCGATACTGAAGTCAGTTCAACGGGAAGCACAACGGCAATTTTCATTTCAAAGCACAACGGGCATTTTCATTTCAATGTTCCAGGACTATCCTCCGTCTAGCAGCATTTTAACTCAAAATTCGAAGTTCCTCTGAAGACAACAGAAGGAGATTGACAACAGATGACAACAGACCACGGCAGACATTAGGAGTCGAGGACTCTTTCCGAAGTTTCCAAAGTAAACTGGAATTTCAGCGCGAGCAATTCAGATTCAACTCTTCCACAAGTGAAAAACGCCAGAAACATGATTAAAACGCTGGACCTAGCCCCCAGATCTTCATCCAATTTCGCCTCAGTTTAACGGATGGGAGCCCGCAACGAGCTCGGACCTGTCCCCGCAGCCAGTAGCTTTGAGATAAACAGTATTAACCTTAACCGCGGTCATCTACAAAGGGTCGCCGGGCTATTCTCCTCTCAAAAGTAGATCAAAACTGGACCGAATCTCACAAAATTCTCTCTCCTCCTTCCGTGCAATGGCTTAAGAAACCTCGGTAGACGCTCACAACGTAAACACCTCTAATTCACTATTGGCTAAAACATTAAAAAATTAAAAATTTAGCCAATCTTAAACAAAACTTGAATTCCCCCTAGCCAACTAGAACAGAGGCAATAAATAGCCTCTAAAGTTCGAATTAATTTAGACCCCTAACAAAAATGACGTACCCTTAGTTCCCACGCAACAGAGGAATGTTTCCAACATTAATTCAGTTAAACTTGCGACATCCGTAAGTAATAAACATGTCACCATGTTCTCTAATTAATTCTCTAATTTAAAAATACTCTCTCGCCTACACACAGTAAACAAGTGGTCAACCCCGCGAAAAAAAAAGAGGAAATTGCAGCTGGGGAGTCCGACCCCTGACCCGCAAAGAAGCCGCTTCGTGAGACACGGAAATACATCCGCGCCCTTTTACTGTATCAAACTCTTCAGCTAAACTTAAAAGAGCTTTGCCGTAATTGAGTTAAAGTTTAAACAATACTAAATATTAAACATTAATTCTTAAATAAGAGCATTACAAATTCATTATTTACAGTAAAATAATAAGTAATAACTGTACACAACAAAATAATGCGTAACAAAAATAATAAATAACATTTTCCATAACACGTCATTACTTTTTCCCGTATTCTGAAGTACTGGAATTGATTTAGCCTTGCTACACGAAGCTGCTCGCTTAATTTGAATGCCTGCTTCCTGAGTCGCTCAGGCAAAGCTTGTGGGAGTTCTTTGTTTGGTAAATCTCACATTTTAATGCATAATGATTGACTTTAATTTTGTTTCTATTATTTTCACGTGTTTCATAAGCTATTTTTGCAGTTACTCACGTTATGTACTACAGTGGTTATCATAAATTAAGGAAAAATCACAAAAATAGCGATAACTTCCTCAAAAATACGCCAAACCGTGTGAAATTTGAATATGTTGCCAAATAAGAGTAACCGAGTAAAACTGCAATATGCAAATTAGTGGCGCTGCACTCGGAATACGTCATCTGCGAGGAGAATAAAAGTCCATGTTTGAGAGCAAGCCCACATATTTTACTGTGATAGTGACATCAGAAATGTAAGATAGCCAATTCGTTCAATGACCTCCAGGCATCATTTGCCTGCAGAACTACGATGGAAAGCCATTGGGAGACTAGAGGCAGGATAAAGTCAAAAAGAAGTGGCCAGATGGGTAAATGTGAGTCCTTCTGTGGTTCATAGACTTTGGAGGCGATTTCAACCCTGTTCTCTAATTAATTCGGCATCTAGAGGTTCAGCCAAGGACGGGCAACTGCTACAACGAGCGCCGATGACCGATATTTGACATTATGTGCACGCAGGATTAGAACCGCTACTCCGACTCTTTTTAGATCCTCCCTTGCTGCAGCCACCGGAAGGTTCGTGTCAACGTCAACTGTGCGTAGAAGGCTTCACGAAGGTGGTCTGTATGCGAGGCGACCAGTCATTTGTGTCCCGCTCACGTCACGCCATAGGAGGTACCGTTTTCAGTGGGCACGACAACATGTCCACTGGACGCCTGATCAATGGAGGGCGGTTCTCTTTACGGATGAGTCTAGGTTTAGTCTAGAAAGCGATAGTAGGCGTTATTTGATATGGAGAGAACCTGGAACCCGTTATCATCTGTCAAACATCCGTTAAAGAGATGCATATGGAAGGGGCAGTGTCTGTGTTTGGGGTGGCATCTCTTTGGGTGGACGCGTAGACCTCTATGTCTTTCCAACGGAAACCGTGAATGCTCCGGTTTATAAAGATGACATCCTTGATGCTTATGTGCGACCATGTGCCGGGGCAATAGGTGATGCTTTCCTGTTACAGGACGATAACGCAAGACACCACAGGGCTTGCATCGTAGATGATTATCTTCAACAGGAAAAACTTATGCGCATGGAGTGGCCAGCTCGATCCCCGGACTTGAATCCTATCGAGCACTTTTAGGATGCTTTAGAGAGACGTCTAGCTGCTCTCAATCCGCCCCCTCAGACCTTTGCCTTATTTGCAACTGCTTTACAAGAGCAATGGCTCTCACTTCCTATGGAACTGATAGACCGCATAATTGAAAGCATCACGCATCGCTGTATTACTTCTAGAGGCGACCATATTCCATATTGAAGGTACTTTTCCTATAGCAAACTGACACCTTCGATTTGTTCATTTTATACATGTGCTAATTTCTATACTACCATAATTGTCTGGTAATTTATTTTTATATTATTTGATACCTTACTATATGTTGTATATTGCGGGTAAGTTTTATAAAATTCTACATGTAACTTTTTCAGTATTCGTGATTTTTGTGATTTTTCCTTAATTTATGATAACCAGTATATTAGGCAGGCGAACTAATAAAAAGGTTAATTTTAGCTTTCTTCTCTGAAGTTACTTTATTGATAGTTTAGGACGGAGCGATGAGCAGTTTGGTAATTTCTCGGGTTGAGAAATTAGAAGTTACGTTCCGTGCACACTAAACTAAAACAAACGCATTAGTTGTGACTAAAAATATTAGGTCTTTTCTTCTTCCTTTCCGCTTGACTCCGTGATGTAACTGGAAACATGCTCGACGCGTATTCGGGAGGTCATGAGTTCGAATCCCGGCTAAGGGCATTGCGGATATCTTCGATTTTCTTTCTTCGAAAAATTCTAAAGGACTCTAGAAACAAATTATATCGTAATGTTTAAATTTAGAAACAAAGCTCATTATAATTAAACTTAAGTACTGCTGTAATTTCGGCGTAAATTTTGATTTGTGTTCTTTTCCTAACTCCTTTTCGAAATGTTTGGTTAGTGTCAGCATATTCAGGTTCTTCATATTGCTTTAAAACTCCATGACTCATTACGTTTGATATTTGACTATTTTTGTAAACACTGCAGTTTTGCTTCTTGTGGCACAATCATCGCACAGTACAAAATCACCGCACAGTTTTTCTCAAAATGAAGTACTATAAACATTTCTAGCATTTAAACGAAAATGAAGACAAGGAATAATAAAGTAATCTGTTAACACCGTAAGTTGTAAAATGCGCTATTTAACTTTTATTTTAACATTTATAAATTTGTATTTTATCAGTGTTATTATCTCATTCTTATCCGTTGCGTTATTTGACTGAACATTTTAATGGCATAAGTATTAAACTCAACGATGCGCAAAGTTTATTCTCAGGTCAAAAGAAAACTACAAAATAAAGCAGAAGATTGACTCTTACGATTAAAAAATTGGTGAGTCCATTGGAAAACATAAAAGTTAGGAAGAAAAAAATAAATAAGCAGACGAGGTTTCTAGAAATGTCATTTTTGAGGGTTAAATTGCTAGCCCAAAAGGGCTGTTAGTCTCGAAACCATAATTTTGCGTTGTTTCACCTTAAAAATATTTTTTACTTTTTAATCTATTCGATTTAAATAAAAATGCATTTATTTCATGATATACTCAATTAAAAACGTTAAATCAATTTAAAGAATTACAGTACATATTTTTTCACATGGAGGTAGGAAAGGGAGGAGGGCCAACCCGCGCTAAAAGTGAAGCACTGCTTTGAAGCTTGGGTCACCAGATGGGGTGTTCATTGTTTACATTCAGAAGCTCGCTTGACAAGATTCTGATAGTATTTCGACACACGACAGTTCCATAGAAATCGAAAAAGGGACACTTTCGCATGAAAGAAACATTCATAGTGTGATGGATAATAGCAATTTGTATAGTTTAGTGACATTTACGCAAAAATCACATCTTGGTTATTTTCCGATAACTAACAAGCGATTTTGATTATGAATTTGTTTTATAAAATTATAAGCTGTTGCACTACAAAAATATAGATTTTAAGAAAAATGTTATGCTTAAAGAATGAAAAATACCTTAAGGTACATTTAAAATTGTATACGTCTTTCGAAACCCTTGATAGATTATTCGCTACTTTTATTTTTTTTTCCAAACGTCAAAATGTTTTAAATAAAACAATTTTTTTTTTCACATCCATATATTATTGTAACATGTACCTTTTAAAATTTTTTAGAGGAGAGGCTTTACTGCTGCTCATTTTAAACCCATCGTTTTAATTTTATATATCTGAAAAATAATCACTTTGGACTTACACGTTTTATAAATATAAAATTATGTATGTTAAAATATTTGTAATTAGGCACATAGGTCAGATTAAGTTTTTATTAAATAGAGTAACGCATGCAAAGGCTATCTGCCTAAAGAGAGAGATGCCATCGTGGAGGAATTTTGAAGAAAAACTGACCTTTGAGTGGGTATTAAAATATATACTTATAATTTTCATTCAAATTATATTCATATATATTTTTTATGTAAAACTTTCGGGTGTATGCTAAATTAGTGTAAATTACTTTACACGAAAAATATAGTGAATGCACAGAAATTAAAGATTTGCACATGCCGGAAATGAAAAATAGGAAATATGTATGGGTATTTATGCATGTGCTTGCAAAAAGCATGTATCTGCCTTTGACAAAATACTTAAGTATTCATTAAATTATTTATAAATATATTTGAAATGAAGAATTTATTCACTTATAAACAAAGTACTGTGAAGAAATCTAATTATTAAATGTATCTAATTTATAATGATTATAAATGTTATCTAAATATATAATAACCTTAATATTGAATTGTAAACATAAATTGAAATCCTGTTGACAAATGCGTTATAAAACTATTCAATAAAGAATTGTTCGTATTGGAAAGCAATCTGTTAAAATATATTGTAAAGCAAATGCTATAAACGCACTTAAGAACGTAAGAAAGAGTTTTGGAATATGTATTGTTGAAATGAAGGGTAAAAAAAAATCTGATAAGTATAATTAAAAGAATTATTCCCCTTACATTTTATAATAACTCAGTTACAAGTTTTAAATAATACTAAAAAAAAAAAAAAAAAAAAACTTATTTTATTCCCTTTCAGAAATGTTCAGAGAAAGTCAAGTGCTATTTAATACCTATTTAATTATTAGGAATTAGCGAAATACTTATTTAAAGTATTTCGCTAATTCCTAATAATTCTCTAATTTAAAATGAACCGAATAGAGCATTAATTATAAATTGACTAACATTTTTCGATTTAAAAGATGCCTCAGAAGCCAAAAAATCATGTCATATTTAAGAAAGTATTTTAGGAAGAAGCTCTATAAATAGAAAAGAAACAATGCATAATTTTAATATTAATAATACAATAAACTTTGATCTTAATTTTTGTACCTTAACCGAATAAAATCGAATTACCTTAATTTTTTTTTTCTAATGTAATTAACGAAAACTTGTGAAAATATTTCATTCAAATTAAACCATTCTGAGAAAACTGTCTTGTGAAAAGTATAGCATTTAATTCCGTTCAGAATGAAATTTTGTTTAAAAATATGTTGTTTTCACATACTTAGGTCTCTGAAGTGTTGTAGAAAAAGAAAATATATACATTTGTATGTATATTTACGACGTAATTACAAAATATTTACATCCGAACGCTTCAAATCCCATAGAACTCAATGGTAGATGACCCAATGTTTTGGTCACCACGTAGGGATCGCCGGTGCTTCAGAGCAGGGTACGGGAGAAACGTGTTTAGAGTGACTCCATCTTACTTCCTACCTCCATGTTTTTTCACGCTTTTAATATACAGTAGATGTATAACATTACCATCTTAGTCTAAACGAAAATTTATATAATATCCTATAAAATGTTTCGTCATTCTGCCTTGGCCATGTCTATTGATAAACCATATAAAACTTTAAAACAGCCCATTTCGGGGTATCGTGAAAATCCTAACGCTTAGATATAAAAAAAAGTTTTTTTTTAGACTTCTGTTTCAGATTTTTCATTTTTGTGCACATTATTATTTTCTTTAGTGGAGAACTGTGTCAAATGATGGTTTCTTTTTTACTATTTTGGTTTTTTCCGCTTAAGGCTACAATATTAAATTTAACTGATTTCTTAAGTAAATTATTGAAGTAAGCGGTATTAATAACTTTATTAGATTTAAATGCCTTTCGTTTCTTATCAAGAACAAAATCACTTAGTGAGCACAATTCGCCCCTCCGCTTTCTTTCTTTCTTATAATTAAGTTGGCAGTCGCATTATTTATCAATCTTCTTGTCTCCATTACAATAACCGAAATTTGAACCTATTAACGAGTGAAATCTTTAAAGTTTAATTTTCCCCTATTATCAAATAACTCTCTGCTCAATTTGTAAAAATTTTTAAGTTTCGTATATTTTTAATAAAATTATCCTGTGATCAAAATTATTGTTAATTGAAAAATCTACTTTTATACAGTTTCAAAAGATATTTAGAAGTGTAATCGTTTTAAAAGAAACCTGCATAAATCTTCGATTTATATAGGAATTTTCCATTCATTCTGGTTTCTAAGTAATAAAAAAAAAAAAAAAAAAAAAAAAAAAAAATCAATTCCGGTTAGTTTGGTTGTTCTGTGTTCTGATTATGTTTGTTACCTAAGACACTCATTGCGAAGGTAAACAGAGGTGGACTTCGTTTATATTTATAATGAATATTGGATAAAGAAAGGTTAAGCTTTACATAAAACATTAGCAAAAAAATTACCACATTTGCTTATAAATGAACATATGTTCATGCATAACTCAAATTTCATGGAACACAACTTACTTTCCTCATTTTTCTGGATGTAAAAGCTGGCGTGATGATAGTCCGCACTCTTTTCCAGGTTTCGCCTCTCAGTGCTGAAACCATGTTTTCAAACAACGGATCACCCGTGAAAAAATCGTCCTGTGGAATATAATGATAGGCTTGTCTTTTCAAGTCTCCGATATTTTTAATAGAAAATCAAAATAAAAGGTATGACAATAAAGTTCACTGAATGTTTCATAAATAAAAGATTTTTACTAAATCAGAAAAACGTTTTATATGCCTTTCAAGCAAGGTCCTTCATTTGCAATGCATTTTTGATAACGCCTGAGCAGTTCCTGAAAACTGTGGGCAAAATCTGTGTGTACAGCCCTCACCACATGATTTTGAATGTCTAAGATATCCGATAAACGTTCTCGTTTAGAGATCGCATCAAACGCGAGAACAGAATGAAATCTGCAAGAGCAGAATCAGATCAGTACGTTGGATGATCGAGACAAAAACTCTTCCATAGGCCACAGACCATTTCATGACCAATGCCCAATGAGGCGGGTATTTTCAGCAAAAAGCAACTAAGAGCCCACCTCTGCATCTTCCGGACGTGTTCCTCTGCAGTAAATGCTCCTGAACATTATTGTAGCCCTCCAGACAATATAATTATTAATTACGCTCACGTACCAATTGGTCAGGATTAGAATCTCGGAGAACTCAAAATATATCACGGCGAGCCTAAAATCCTCTCGAGTGGTTTGTGGTAAGGGGAGAAGGATGGCCGTCTTCTACGGTTGTTCTCCATGAAAATCAGTGCGGAGCTGCGCAGTTAGTGCAGTGCGACTATACAATTTATGGTAAATTTCTGGTATCCTGTTCACTTATGTCTGTACCTGAACATTCTTGTAAATGTTAGCATTCATTGTTGGTAACATCATCTGCACTTTTTTGTTTTTTTAATAAGAGACGTCGTAGGCCTAACACTTAATTTTAGAGATGCGGGTCCTTCTCCGTAATCTTTTATTTCAGTATTTAATAACTTTCTTCTATGGTTTCATAAAGCTTTGAACAGAACTTTAAATTTATTTGATGCTCTGTTTTACAGCTAATGTTATACCAGTAATGCCAGAACATTTTTAACAAAAATCTATAATGTCTGTTCAACATTCTTCATCAAGAGTGATTGTTGAGTTCAGATATGTTGAAACACTCAATGAATATTTTCTTCGTACTTCGTCGATCTTCCAGTATCGCGCAGACGCAGCGTATGACATGATTCATTGAACTTAATTGTCACATCTTTTATATTTTTGTAAATACCTTTTAACATAAGAAACAGAAAATATGTAAGCTGTTTAATAAAGAACGACTCTGGAGATAACATTGCCGAACTTCACGCGCATTTGAAGACAGAATTAGTCAGAATGAACGAAGTTTCACAATTGTTTGACTCCAATAACAACTTGCTTAGCATTCACAGCGAAATGTGTACAAAGTATACTTCTGTCTCACTGTAAAACAAAAGTTCCTTTCAAAATATTCAGCATCTGTGAATAACATGCTTGTTTACATATGCTGCCATCTGGAAATAACTGCTATAAAAATTACGAAATTTCTTACTTAGCATTTATAGAAGCCTGCACATCGTGAACTTTAGTATCTTAAATATTATTCAGGAAAGATATGTTCAAAATTGTTTCTTTTATAAGTTTTAAAAAATCTGATGTGTACACCACATGACTTCCCTGTACGGAATATTAAATTATACGCATTTTTTCCTGCCTTTCATTTAAACCTATTTCCTCGAATTTCATTAGCGATATATTTCTCATTCAATTAATTCAGTTTTCCCTTCGTGACAAGGCAAAAATACATAAAAACTTAAAATATCTATTTTAAAAGCTGAAAGATATAGAAAAACATAAAACACCACAAACTGTTAAAAAAATTAAAAAATTACAATTAAAATTACAGTTTCAAAACAAGCAATTCCGCCTGCAGGAAAGAAGGCAGGTTTTTCGGTGCACGAAACTGAAAGTTTACTTTTGGTCTTCGGCAAAAGAACAAGAAGGCGTAGAAGCTGAGAAGATTTCTTGTGGAGGCTATGCTGAGTCAATATATGAGATAATTTAATAACTTAAATGATAATTCCAGAATGGATTAAGCATAATTTAATTCGCAATAATAATAGAAAACATAACTTCATGCTTCGAAGCTTAGTTTTCTAGATATATATATATATATTTATACACTTTTGGTGCGGCCTATTGCAACCAAAATAGGAGGTGCACATCTACATGTTATAGCAGTCCTATATATAAAATTGCAACGTTCTGAGGCTACTCGTTTTTGAGTTATGAAAGATAAATGCACACCAACGTACAGACGCCACGGAAAAAAATCTCTTCTGAATCCATTTTAATTCATCCTTTTTACCTGGTACAAGGAAATAAAAACAACATGAGGCAATATGGTTTCAGCATTGTGTAAGATTATATGTAGAAAAAGGAATAAAATAAGTACACTATAGTCCTGCTAATGATCAGAGACCCATAAAAAGGAAAGCAGAATCGCCAATACGTTTCTAATGCCCATCGTGAGCCCATAAAAACACAGTGAGTAATCAACAGAAACGTATACTAGCGACTTCTACCGAAATGTAACAGGTCTAGAGCTGAGACTGAAGCGGTGAGTATGCTCAGCGCACACTAATTAAGTCATACTTCTGGAAAATTACAGATGCCGTATAACATAGAATAAATTATTGAAAAAAAATAAAAATCTGAAAGCTTTCAGATTTTACATTACGTGTTTACATGCTGTTATGTTATTATATTTTGTGTCATTCCAACAGAAGCGTGTAGACCTAGTATACTACGTGAGAATTTAGACTGCACTGTTCCCCGCACCTAGTTTTCTTTAGTTTAATTTTGACCCACTAGTTTTTGTGCTTTGAAGCCTGAATGATGAAGATTATCAGGAATTCTCTAATGCCTACCGTGTGGCAACAATTTAAAACTTGTCCTTGATTTCAACATGACAATTCATCCATCAGAACTTGGAAGCTGTACTTCTTTGAGGAAATGGGACTGAATGAAATTGATTGGCTAGTAAGTAATCCTGATCTCAACTGAAAGTATCTCTGGCATGTCTTAGGGTACCAAATGAGACATAAATCAAACTGGTTCAAAGTCGCTTTAGAATGTTCATAATTTTACAGGAGGAACAGAAAAAGATGCCTGCTGATTCCATCGAAACGTTTTCCTCGAACAGCAGAGGCTGAGGATAGCGATGGATGGAAACCTGCGTCATTCTGACACTATAACTAGCTCCAATTAGTGAATTTCCTATGGGTGTATAATCATTAATGTCGCCATAATGAACTTCAGATGCATTACATTAAAATGTGGCTAGATCTTTGGATGTTTTCTCTTTATCCTATTGCTAAGAAATAATTACAGGAGAGTTTCGAGATAAAAATGATATCTATAAGGCTTTTAGAGGCAAATTTAAAGAAATTTGCAGAAAACTTAGATCAATTTCGCCAAAAATAGCAATGACGAAAAAATGGACAAATATTATATATAATGAAATAATATTCGAAATAAATGGGCGTAGATATTTTGGATAACCGACAACCAAGTTTGAGTTCATAAATAAGTAAAAGACTTTTCTTGCAATTTGTGCAGCATACATAAGCCTTCCCTATTGAAGACACGAATATTCACGCGCAAGTTTTACTCCGGTTAAAATAATTATTATCTAATTATCCATTCTTGAGGAACTTTCGACTTAATTTACCATCGGGTAAACTAAGAACAATCAAAAACAGCGTAAGCATAAAAAACAAGGAACTCAATAATTATTAAGATCGTCTTACCCTTCTATTTGGGAAAAGATGAAAGTCTTTCACTAGTATTTCTTTCGCGAGCTCTGGATCAGCTATTGCAAGAAAAGGTGATCGAAATTCGAAGGCGCTAACAAAAAAAAAAATGCATATGAGTCAATAACTGATAAAAGAAAACATCATTTGGCATTAATTTCTGTTATTTTCGCAAGGTTAGACTATCTTATACTTGAAAAAGTTGTATATTAGCATATAACTTAGCATTTTTACATTATTTCCCTGAGAAACGAGAATGTAATTTATTGTATATATATATATATATATATATATATATATATATATAAACACCAAAAAATACACCCGTATATCTATCTATATATATGCCTGTGTATTTTTTGTGTGGTCTTGGTCATAAAAAACGGTGGTCATAAAAAAAGTCTCCGACCAATGAACTCTTGGCTGCCTAACTGTTCAACTTATCGAATTGAAATTTATGATATTGTTATTTGAAGATATGCACTCGATATTGTGATGATTTGAAACAACAGAGTTTTCACCGTTATGGTTGCAATGGAAATTTCGAAAGGCAAAACCCACTTTTTCCTGCGCAAATTGGAAAACCATAAATGGGGTTGGAACGATACAAGTATGATGAAAATTTCTAGTGTAAAACATTTGCAAAGAAGAACATTATAGAGGAATAGTGACACCACAATAAGAAAAGAAGGGAGGGAAAAGCGTTTATTCGAATTACAAGTTTTCAATATGCCCACCTTCGCAGGCGATGACGGCCTGCATGCGGAAGATTGTTGACAACAATTACAACACAACGTATTGCGACTCGAAAATTTCGAAATGTTTTCACTGTAACCGGGACCACGAGAGCTCTGTTGTTTTGAATCATCACAATCTGAAGCGTATAATTTTAAATAACAAGTATTTGCAATTTCTTTTCGATTGCTTCAACGGATAGGACACTAGGAATTCATATATCGGGCAAGTTTTGTATGAGCTCCCTGTATATTATCTATAATATGTAAAAATACGTAAATTAAAAGTCTACCTTAAATCTTTCAAGAGCCTCTTAATTCTTCATTTTAATTTGGCTATTTCCCCTATCCACCTTAACAATCTTATACTAAATGTCTTTAAACTACGTCATTTCTAAATTTTTTCAAGCCATATGATTCTTACTTAACGTTAATGGTGCAGATAATTTTGCCAATTGAAACTCAACCAGACAATCAAAATGGAGTAAAAATCAGTGTTCGCCAAATTTTCATTTTGGACAAGTCGCATTTCACCTCAAGCTTGCTTTCTGGGTTGCTTGGTGGTTGGTCTGTCTTGATAATTATACTATTTCAGAATTATCAGTGTAGTTATTCACAACGAGACACACTTTTGGCACCGAATTGTTTGTGGTTGCAAATGCAAACAATTAAAAAAATATTTAAATTCAGCCATTACAGGAGTTATGCCTTTATGCTATCTACAGAAGATGTCTACATATTTTTAAAAAAAAATTTGATAACGATTTTAAAAAAGCAAATGTTTTGGAATTAAACTTTCTGGCACCAGCTTATTATTTGAAATAAGAAATATCATCTGTTATTTGAAAATTTATTTTTTCAGAATGTCGCATGTAAACAAGATGTGGAGGGTATATGCTTGGCACTTTATGAGGAGAAATATTTCTAATCTATCATTCAGAAACGTTGTGAAATGCATGGATTAAAATTTCTAAGTGCAAAATTAGCAAATGTGTTAATCGGAGAGGGAAAAACCGTCAATGATTACTTCTACGTGGGAAGAAAGCTCCAAACAAGTATCGGGAACACTGCGCGCACACACACACACCAAAAAAAAAAAAAAAAAAAAAAAAAAAAAAAAAAAAAAAAGATCATTTAAAAAAATTGGGATATTTCTATATCCTCCATTCTACTGAACTAATTAATTGACGAAAATTCAACTTGTGTTTGTGTTTTTCATGTCTCGGAAGCACTATTAAAGATATACATTAGATTTATACGTAGCATTTCTCTAACATAAGTATCTAACACAAAATTGAGCATTTTCTAAAATGACATACCGAATGTTTTCCATATTTCCAATGAGAAAATAACTTGAAATTTTTCTTTGTGCGCTTTTTTCAGTTTGCACCAAGAATAATTCACTTAGCGAAATACTTAATTTATGGTAACATATTTGTTTTTCTCTTTTATTATGCGAGACCGGAAAAAAAGGTGCATCGATCATTATTTCAAATAATTTTCTTTATATTATAATTTTTTAATCATAAGTGTTATTTTTAGATATTTTTTTTCCTTTTTAGAATTTCATTTTCATTGCTTGAGTAGCATGGTTTCTTCAAATAATTGTTTCAAAATTTTCTATTTATTCGTTCGTATATTTATTAATATAAATCTTGGAGAAATTGATTTTTAATATTTGAATTTCATTAATTTTGAAAAATACTGTGTGACCTCATCTAAAATTACAATTTTTGTGGAATATTTTATAAATTTTGTCTATTGATTTATAACTGTATTGTCTATTGATTTATTACTGTATTGTCTATTGATTTATTACGGTGGTCTACTGTCGATCACCCATGTGAGCTTTACGGAAAGCATGGTTATTTCCTTTCAGTTCGATCCTCGGTAACTTAGCGGGTAGTAGGAAAATTAATTTTAAGTGTGTTGTAACTATACAATCAGATTAATTAATTAATCTGAACTGGCGATTGTCTTTATACTAGTAGTATTTATCTTTCCCTGGCGTTTTGAAGTGTTCTGTGTTATGTTTAAATGAAAAGTGTTTATGGTTATCTCTAGAGTTAAATGAAATTTGCGTGTTTTCAGGAGGGAAAGCTGATATAGTTTTATTTTAGCGAGATATAGCATTTTGAGGACTTTTTTACAGAAATGCATTTTTACATTTTTCTTTGATAAATAATCTTTGATTTTACCAAAACACCAGGGAGGATATTATCCTTTCAGTATAGACTCAAGGAGTATGGAGATTTGCAAATTATAAACTTTATTTTACTGTGTTGATAATTTATGTTATTTAGTCTCACTTAAAGTCTTAGTTTTTCAATCGCCAGACACTACAGAGTTCAGATATTTTTATGAGAGTTTTTGTTTTCTGTCGCGGCATCAAGCGAAAGTTAAGAAGTCAGTAGTTAAAAATAAAAGTAATATTAACAAATTTTCTCCGTAATATACCATTTTTCACACTTGCAGCTACATCTTGTTGGTGTTATCTTCCATTCATGCAGACAACGTTTGAAATGAGGTTGATTTGTTTTTGGACTCGCCGCCACCAGGTTTCTGAGCCGAAGGCTTTGAAAAACTACCAAATTGTATTATATTGCAGTAAATTATAGATTTAGGTTGTCATTACTACACGTACAAAAGGTACTGCTTTCATGTGTTTTTCCTTCTTTATTAAGAATGTTTTTTGGTGGAAAAGTTACTTTCGTTACAACCAAACATATTAAAAGTTTTAAGAAATGTAATTTATTGGCAAACAAAATGTAATCTATTCACAAACTAAACAAAAATTTAGTTCAGTTTATTACATTTTGTTTTACTTGTAAAATCCCGAATAACAACTTCGCTATAAAACAGGCCCCCTAAATAATATTTTACTATTAATATCTCAACGATTACGCATGGTGTCTCTGCACAGTACGCAGTAATGACCAGACGTTATGTAGTAGAAGGTCTGCAGTTTTTATTTGAAATATTTTTTATATTTTTTTTAAAACGCTGTGCGTAGCTAATAGGTCCGACATTTAACTGCCCATACAGAAATACCAATACATCGTAAATGGCATACGGAAGAACATCCAAAATAAAATTTATAAAAATAGATAAAAAAAATGGTTATCTTTTCTTTATCTATTATAAAAATCAACAAGCCTGTCAAAGACTTTTTCCCTCTTTTCCTTTAATATGTCTCAACAGTCTTCGAGGAAGTGATTTCTCAACCTGGTAATCTAATTGACGCTTTGTATATTTATAACTGATATGGTCTTTCCTGATTTCAAACTTCCGTTGTGAGCATTTTGCAAGTTATGTTAGCTAATACTGCCATCTCTATTCAGTAACAAAACGTGTCAAATGAGTGAAATTATAAAAAAGTGAATATAACAAAAAAAGTATTTTTAATTTTTCCCACACTGAAGATAAGAATATTCTGATTCTTACTTGACAACTTTAAGATTGCCCATATTTCTTTTAGGTTTAAAAATATGTTATTTTTTAATTAATTATTATTAATATTATAGTGGAACTACGTATTATTATTCATATCTCGTTCAGAATATGCAAACATTATTTCGTAGCTATCGGATGGAAAACCACAAGGGGCAGGACATAAATTGCTGGGTAATTTTCGCAATTTAACATGAACGATAAAAAAAAATTGTACTGGAAGACAGTAGAGGAGTTCGGGTATATGCCGAGGCAGAGGCGTTAATAAGTGGGATCGAGGTCAATTACACATAGACAAGAATGAAAAAAAAGGGGGAAATCGAAGTTTATTTATGGCAATGGCAAAAGAGTTAAGGGCACGACATCATATGATATATCATTTACTGTCTGCGAAAATTATATAAAATCACACGTAAAACTGAACAAGCTTCTTAAATGTAGTGGTAAATATATAGTAAACGCTTTGAAATCCTTTAGAAGTTGCCTGATATCAACAATGAATTACAAAAATAGACGTCAAGTAATTAATACTAATTACTTAGTTTCATGAAGGTCACCTTCCAGCATAATCTCAGTCTAGTCTATAGGCCCTTAGAGGTATTCAATAATTTGTGTTTTCAATATATTTTGAAGCATATACCAGCAAATAGTAGTGTAATAACAACATTTCCATATGAATATTTGGGTTACTAAAAACGACTTTTAATTGGATGAAGTTTTCATTAAATTTCATATTCACCGCAACAGAATTCGATGCAAAAAGTATTCTCATTAATTCTTAGGCAATTTCTTTGTTGAAATCTTTGATGAGTTTAATTGAGTGCTTTTTTTTTCTATAATCAAAAATCCGAAATAATGGAATTTCAGGTTTCAAAATTTCTCGCAATTTCTATTAAAGTAAGTAATAATC